AACGACTCAATCAACTCCTCTGGTATCAATTAATGAATGTGTATTGTGCCTGCATCTACAGCAGAAGACTCTGGACTGTGCTGGGACACGCTGATCAAACCTGGTCACCATGAGAACCCTCTTTTGGTTCTCCTTTTTTTATATATACATATATATATATGAACTCAAACTTTGGAAACAGAAAGGGACTGATGTGATGGAAAAGAAAACACTGAACATACGTAAGGTTTCTCACCTGTGTTGAATGCAGTTTTACAGGAACTACCTTGGGAATGCATTTGGAATCATATCAAGGATTTGAGACGACAAGGCAGATTTATACTGACAGCTCAGTCATGGTTTTATCCCCGCGTGGCAGTTTTTTCTAGAAACTGTTTCTTTTTTTCAGTCCACAGGTTGATTTTGGTAGACTGAGTTTCACAGGGCCCGTTTTATTCCGGATAAGATGCACAAGGTTTCGAGATGTGTGAAACATGCGTTATCGGTCTGAAAGCATGTTTTCTGAACAAATTCGGTTCACAAAAGAGGGTCGAATATTAAAATTTTTCTTTCAGCCTTTGAGCAAAATGACCATCATATCTGGAAAGAAGAAGATAAACAGTGATGGTCTTCTTTCAGGGCTGCTTTGGGAAGGTATAGTTTGGGCGGTCTGACTGACGTCTCCATCGCTGCTTCAGATTTTATCACCATCAGCTGTCTGTGCAGGAATCATTTCAACACATTTTCAGATTTTTATGAAGGACAGCTGTCATGTAACTCGATTTTTTTTTTCTTTTCTACTGAAATTGTTTTACGTTTGAATCTGTTTTTGTCTCATTTGAGTTCAACACCTTATCCTGTGTGGGAAAGAAAATCGCCTTGCAGTGTTTTATATGCTTTGATATGTTTCTCCTCTTCCTTATTTTTTATGTTTCCCTCATCTCTACTGTTGATGCTGTTACTGTTGACGCCTAAACACCGAACTGATGCCTTCAGTAGTCATTGTTTCGAAGGGGCTGGAAAGATGTGTTCAATATATGAAAGGACGTGTGTGTTTTTTTATTTTACGGGAGCCCTGAGAGGACAAACAGCAACGCATTTTAATTACGAGTTGTTTTTGGAGATCTTGACATTTCTGTCTTTTTACCTTAAGATTAATGTAGCCCTTTAATACAAATTATGGCCAGAAAATTCTAATTGTTTTGGAGCTTAAATGTTTGTATCACTTGAAGTCAAAAAATTGAAATTGAACAAATATATATATTCATCTCGTTTGATACTTTAGATGTTTTTGGAAACTGATAAACCACGAGAGGACATTTTTTATCATTTATCAGACTGTATTCAGGTGTTTTTTTAGTATTTTGTTGATCATATCGATTTGATAGAAGTATCATAAAAGTATGTATCAAATATGATACAAAAGGCATTAAAGGGTTGAATCAGTTAACAGCAGATTCACTTGTAATCTCAATCAACCATACGAAATAAGATGTTTTGATTTGTGTCCGCTTAGGGCATCAAACATTATCAAGAAAAACTAATGTAATATTACCCCCTGCCTTCTGAATTTTAAACAGATGTAAGAATTTTGTGTGTAATCCTCTTAAAGTTCAGTGTCTGTCTCATTCAAAACAATGTGAGGCCTTTATTAGGTAAAAAAGATAACTACAGTAGGGTTTGCTTCCTCTTTGGACAGCCTTGAGGCAAAAATGTTCCCATCTGTTTGGCTCTCCGTTATCTTCGCCTCAAGTCTTGTTGGAAGGAGTGATCGCCCCCCTCTTAAACACTCATACACACACACTCGCACTCACACAGACAACCTCAAAAAGCGTTCGCTGTTTCTCTTTTTTCTTTGCATTATCTCCTCTTTCGTTGCCTCTTCTTTCTTACTCTGCCAGTCCACGCTGTGTGTGTCAATGGCTCTCTGTTGTGCTTTGTGCGAGGCCCACTTCAGGCACAGCTGTGTCTCACAAGAGCGCTTCTTCATTCAATAGATATCGACAGGGCCTCTCTTTGTGTCCCTGAATCTGTGCCACTTTACTGTATCTTTATTTTTCTTTGTACTCACACCCTCTCAGTACACATCCCCCATCTGTCTCCCCTCTTCTCTCCTTATCTCCTCTAACCCTGACTCTGCTATTCCTTTTTCACCCTCTTTCTCCTCTGTGTTTTGACACTAGAGAGTGTAGAAATCTCCAGGTGAGTTTTAGTCTCCCTTAGTGGACAAACAACATAAAGGAAGATCAATAAACTCCCCTCTATATACTGTTTAAAGCTCAACCTGTAATATATATCACAGAATTGTCCTCATCTGGTGCAGATCCTGCTTTAAAGTCACTATTTCTCGGGGGTTATGAGGGTTTTGGGATGTTCAGATCAGTTTTTGATGCAGTTATATATTTCCTTTTATGTGATTGATTTGAGACACTTATAAGCAGTAAACTTATTAGATGACAGCTTTGATTTTCACCTTGCAGTATCAAAGGGGCGGCTCAGAGATTAAGTGATTCACCTCGAGTGATAAGAAATAAGGATTTGAAGCTAAAGTAATAAAGGCTGAAATATGCCATCATAGGTCAAAATCAAAGAACACTATTTCCCATAATGCAATTGAAAAGTATCTTTCATAGAGTTGTTAAGATGAAGGAGATATTTTGGGGAAAAAATTACGAGTCCCATTCAGTTTTCTTTACTGTATAGTATAAGATTCACAGTGAGAATACTTTAATAGTTTAAATTCAGAGTTATTAACAGCTAACACCAGACTGAAGCTAAAGATTACCCTTCTGGGTTTTTTATCCCTATTCATAATTCACTGCACCTTATTTGGTTCACAAATTAAATGATAATGCATCATACACTGGTAGTTTTAAGAGTCAAGTGTCCATTATCAAAAAAAAAAAAATTAAAGATGCAAATGAAAATTTAGAAAAATTGAAATTTTAATGGAGTAAAGCTGACCTGTTAACCCTAACCCTTACTTCTCAATCCCAGTTTTCAGTTCCCACTCCTTCAGTAACAAAGCAGGAATACTGCTGAAGTTTTGATGGTCATATAAGCTCCAGAGCCACTTCTGTTACAACCTCCACAACAACTCTACTTCAACACACCACACCTTGAATTCCCCTGTCAAATCAAAGCGTCATCAAGTGTACTCTTGCGACCTTTTCATGAGGTCAGTTTCACGCAGAAAGAGCGATCTGAAGAGTGAAAGGTATCGGGGAGTAAAAGAAGGATGAAGCAGGAGAGTCATGGCTTAAGTGTGTATAAAAAGTAACATGGGATGCAGATGTAAAGATCAGAAACTTCTGCAAAAGAAGTATTTGAAACGTTTCCCTTATTCGAGTACGAGAGCATCCGCGAGGAGCACTTAGTATTTGTTCAAGGACTTTTGAATTTTGAAGCTGTTCCAGTTGTCGAGCACACCTCGGGTGGTTAACTCGTGGAGACGCTTTTTCAAATACTTGTTTTGCTCGTCTGCAGCAGAGAGCAGACAGGACTTGGGGGCCTGTGGGCGTTTTTAAACATTTACTGTATCTCTAGCTATGGTTTTTTGTACATTGAATGTTGAAAATGTTATATCTTATATAGAATGCATTATGTCATATCAACCTACTTTTTCTATACAATCAATAAATCTGATGGTTAAAGATTTCACTGTGTTGGTGCAGTCTGTACACGTGTATTTCTATTAGAGAAACATCAGAAGAAATCCGTTTTCTGACTCTCTTTGAGGTAGCCGCTCCACTTTTTAATGTATTATTGCCAGTTTTAAGTAATCCTGTTGCCATGACAACCCTTATTAAACTCTTACGTTCGTTTCTGTGTGGCCCAGTAAGTTTGTTGTCTAGAAACTGGAAACCGCTTTATGGATTACAGCCAGCTTGACTTCTACAGGCTTTTTATTTTATTGTCTGTTTTCCCCTTCTATCTCCTCTGCCACACTTTCAGCAGCACAAACGAATCCATATTGAAACAAAGCAAAGATGCTTTTATTGTTTTGTTAGAAGCACTGATCCAAGACTTTGAGGAGAACAGCTCTCGGGGAAGCATCATCAATGAGAGGAAAAATTTGGTTTTAGAGAAGAAGAAAAAGTCAGTGGTTATAGAGATTGAATTTTAATTAGATAATTTCAATATATGATGATTTCTTTGCAGCTGTTACAGTAGTACTATGTAACTCTTCATGTTCATGTGTTTAGATCAGTTCCCTTTCATTGCAGACTGTAAATTCATCACCCAACTCTGGGAAAATTGAATAATTTTGCCTTTTTGCAACGTTATATGAGAGGTTTGACACCACGCCCGGGTTTGTACAGCCAAAACAAGGTGACAGACAGGAAGTAAACTAACCTAGCTTAGCATAAACACTGAAAATGAAAAGACAGCTAGCCGGGCGAGAATTTTTTTTATAGGATGGTAGGGTAAAGTCCCGCCTCTTTTGCCTCTGATTGGCTAGAAAAGCTGGAAACATCATCACACACTCAAGCCAAATGCGGGCTGTCTAACCCTAACCCTAACCCTAACCTGACAAACAATGACGTTTCATCCTTCATTTACAAAAAAACTCCCTAGCCGGGCCTATCCAAAGGTCCCTGCTGACAACTCTTCACCTCACTGTATGGTTTCTGTTTAATTCCTCTTCATAATACAGAGTACAAGCCGAACTTAAAAGCCAAACCATAAAAACACTGGCAGAGACTTTAAGTAGCTAAAAGTCTTAGCCAAGAAATACAATAAAGCCAATTAAGAGAGCAATTTGATTTTAAAATGTGCTTTCTGTAAAGATTAAGAGAATTTAGAGTCTAATAATGAGCTTTAGAGGGTTCATGTATCTTAGTTCCTTTGGATAAAGCCAGGCCAGCTCTTTCTATTTGTACATTAAGTTAAGCTAACCAGTTTCTGTCTGTCGCTTCATTACCACATGTGATTGATGTCAAAACTTTACTGGTCTAAAATGTGATACTTTACCTTCTTTCTTCTAGTCCTCTTAAGAATTAAGATTCCAGCTATAAAGAAACAGCTTTTACATTTTTATTTTGTCTCATTCCTACAGTTTGAATTAAATCGAAGTCCCCTCAAGGAATTGTTGTAAATACAGAGTATAATTTTCTCCAAAGTCGTCTCATAAAATCAGATTTAAAAGGTGCCCATAACCCTCAAAGTTAAAACTTAATCCCACATCTTGCATAAAGAAGTCTCTTGTGGAGAATGAAGGCAGTGAAACTTGTCTTTTGTAATCACATACCTCACGCAGGAGGACCAGCTTGGGAGTCTTATATATGCAGTAAAGTAAATACCAGCTCCAACACTGCATGTAAACACAATTAGACAAGAGTATTTTTGGTTTCCTCAGAGGTCCCTCATCATTAAAATAATCTAGCAAAAGAACAGTAGAAAGATCTGTTGCATATAAAACTATAAAAAAAGACATAATGCTACATTTCATCACACTAAATATCAGTCTGAAGAGGGTAAATAACAGCTACACACTTTGATACCATGACCAAATGAGTAAAACATACTTTTTTTTTGCTTTACAGTTTACAAAATAACATCATATTTAATGAAACCCATGTCTACAGCTACTATACACCCATATTTTCAGCCATAGTCTTTTACATTCAATTTAATTGGTGAGGAAATTGAACTGTTGTCTAATTTGTTGCTGAACTATTTCCCTCTCTGAATCACACCGCAGCTGTGCATACATTCAAGCGTTGCACCAAACCGTGACAGGTCAATTATATTTTCATATTATCCAATAATGTCATTGGCTATGTTCTGGTGCTATTAGAAACAGCAGGTGCATAAAAATTCATTGTAAAATGATGGGAAATTGCTGCGACAAAAGCTAGCAACTAATGTCTCTCTAAAGAAAGAGAATGGTCTTTATTTTTTCTTTTCCTGTGGATAAGCAGGCAAAATGTGAAATGATAAATATCACGAGTCACTGCTTTGATTTGAAGTTTGTTGTTTTCTCATTCAGGCTTTTTCTTTATTTGTTTTTAATCGAGGTACAGGAATGAGGCCGCCTAATCTGAGTGTGTTTGAGGCCCAAACAAGTGTCACAGTCCATTTTATTTATGATTTTAGAGCGATTTCAAACTGTTTTCTATTGATAGTTATGCCATCTAGGACTAGAAAGACATTTATGCAGTTTGCAGAATGAAGTATCATCTGCTTTGCTTGAAGCGGCTAAATACTTGCTGTTAGTATGACCACCCTCTATGTATTTTAACCACGACCCTGTGCTACCACGCTGGAGAACCTCAGCCTGTTCATTAGGTTTCTGTGCCTTTTTTAGTTTGTGCACAATAGGGCTTCAGAGAATACAGCAAGGCCTCCTCTTTTTATATTTCACCTCAGTTTGGCAATATTTTTCCTAAATTTGCAGTCTGCTGAAATGATAAAGCTGCTGATATTTCAGCTCTAGAAAACAATCCTTCATTCTCAACCTTGCTTTTTAATGAGCAGCTCAGGTCTGATGAAGGTTCAGCCTTGTCCTTGAGGGAATCTTGATGAAAATTTAGACTGTTTTTTTTTTTCATAAATCCTTTGGTTTGTGCTCAGTTCTGTTCCCAAAACTCACATTTTTGAAGGTGCAGATCGTTCTTCATGTCTGGTTTTACCAGCTGCAAAGACAGGTTCTGCATCTCCACAGAGATGGAGCATGGATTAATGATTCAGGGTAACAGTTGGCTCTCTGGTGACAGAGTGAATCACTTTTTCTTGGTGGACGGCTGCTCAGGCGTGCAGTTTTTCAGGCGGGAACAGGTGGCGAGACGGTTTCCTTCCCAGTAACCGGCATCCTGGCCGTCATGACAGCGACACTTGGTGCAGGAATCCACCCAGACGGGCTCTCCAGCAGGAATCACTTGACTGCGTGATGCATTTACATAGCAGTTAGGACCTGGAGGAAGAGGAGGAGCAGAGGTGAGGTTTACCACGGCAGAACAGACACAATTGCATATGCAGAAAAATGTCAAAATACATTTTGCAAACATTTTTACTATTCTACACACAACAGAGTACATCTCCATCTCAAACTTGCTCTCTGCCTCAATATTTTCTTGAATGTATTTCCAACATACCCTCCCTGCATTCTGGGCAGCATTTCCCTGGCTCGTAGACAGGGTTGACACATGGTGGAGGTGCACAATCTGCAACCAGACAGCGGGCGATGCCATCGTTGTCGCAGGTGCACTGCTCACATTCTGATGGCTGCAACACAAATGGGTAGAGTATTACAGCTTCCAACCAGCATCTCTCACCAAGCCCTCTTTGTGCCATCTCAAAAGGGGGCGCCATTTACCTCCAATTCCCCACTGTATACTCAAATCACATTCCAACATACCATGTGATAATTCAGTAGTTGAGAGGTTTAAGGGGGATTCCCTGAAAAAAGATGTACATCGGCTCCCGGTAGAGTTTTAAAACAGACTTTGGAAAACTTTTTTAAGCATGACATGAATTGTTATATGTTTGAATTAAAGAGAGAAATTGAAACACACATTGTAAAAGACATTTAAGGATAATAAGCAAAGAGCTGCAGATCTGTTTTGGCAGAATGAAGTAGAACATAGTTAATCTGGGCCAACAGCACATTTTAAAATGATCACTTTTTGCAAAAAAAACTAGTATAGAGTCCTGTGTCTGTACTCATCATGGTCACTGTAGAAATATAATTTTTAATCATGTGTGGTGTCCCCTTGGATAAAATGTGTGACCCTTAACCCCACACTATTAACAACTTGGTTGTTCATAAACTTTTTGCACCCTTAAATAGAAAAATGTAGCCCGTGAATTACAGGTTATGACCAGGTGGATATGAGCTGTGAGCATTGATCCTATAAAAGGGATTAAATTATTTTAATAATCAAGTAAGTTTTAACAATTTTAAGTGTTTGAATGAGAAAAGTCTGTTAAATAGATAAAGATAGCACCATTGTTGTTTGAATTAAAACATCTCAGGCCCTGTAGAAATACCCCCGGCCACGCAGCACCCACTTCAGCTGCTCTGTCTGTACATGTTGGTGGGTCTCATGGCTCTCAGTCTTACCTGAAAGTTTTGCCCTAGTTCGTACACCACTCCTCGGTACTCACAGCCGATCTTCTCGCACCTGGGGCAGCAGTCTGTGGGGTAGTGGCTGACATGGATGCATGCAGCAGGCAGAGAGGTGCACTCTGTGCGGGAACATGCGGAGCCCTCGGCGGTGCATTCACACTGAGTGCAGTGGTCAGAGTCCAGAAAATACCATTCCCCCACGAAGTACAAGCTCCCGTTCGCCTCGCAGGTCCCTTCCTGCTGACCGGCGACTGAGAAGCTCAAACCAGCTTGTGCGCAAATCAGAAGCGCCAAGACGGCTGTGCGTATTTTACGCTCCATCCTGAAAACCATGATGATCCAATTTCTTCAATTTGTCCGAAAGGATAACTTCACGAGCACGCGAGTGGAGTTTAGCACCCACTGTTGTCCAGTCGACAGACAGGAAACTAACCTTTTCAAGTTTTGCAGCCTAGTTTATCTCATCGTCATTTGGTTACCGCAAAAGTTCCGTGCGCTGCCCCGGTCCCCTGTCCACAGCGGTCTGCTGGGGTTGCGCACACTCCTGTGAAGTGCCCAGAAGAGGGTTGGAGGGTGGGGGCATGGAGAGGGAAAGTTTGACACTGCCTCTTTGAGAGTTCACACACAAACTTACGATCAGGTCAACCCGTAAGCTACCTCTGTCAAACATACTACAAAGTACTAAGTATAAACAAATTCAAATTCAACAAGGACATTCTGCATTTCAGTCTGTGGTGTTATCGACCCTATCTTTAATTTGCAAAGGGAAATACACAGGCTTTGGTATTGATTCCACGCTGCATCAAGCTGCATGTTTTCAATTAGTTTAGGGGGAAAAAACCTTTTGGTTTGGTAACAAGGCCTGTGTTTGTATTTCCCTCTGATCTCGCGATATCTCTCCATAGCAACAGGGACGTTTGCCTGGATACCACAGCCACAGCTTGGTACAAGGAAGCGATAAAGGTGAGCGTTTGTTCGTTTTTCGTGTTGGTAAACGGAGTTTTATTGACTTTCTTTAGTGGGAAACTGTTTCACCGTTTGCCAAAAGTGTTTGTAATACATTCTCTTAACTCTAGGCTTTTATTAGATATTTGACATACATGCTTTCTAAAGTTGGTCAAGAGGCTAGCTAGCTAACGTCATGCTACAACCCACCATGGAACTGTCGGTTAAGCAAACGTAGATTCAACCTTTTCTGCTCCCCATTCTTAGTTTTGAAGAAGAAGAAGAAGAAGAACTTTTTTAATCCCCGAAGGGAAATTCAATTGTCTGTTGTCTCACATAATATGTCTCCAAAAGTCATCAACTATTCACACAAGAGTTATAAAGCCTGATGGCTGTTGGTACAAAAGATCTTCTAAATCTTTCTGTCCTGCAGCGAAGAGAGAGGAGCCATCCACCATCATTGGCCCTTTGGTCCATCAAGGTGTTGTGACGTGGGTGATCCATGTTCTTGAGAATAGTCTCCACCTTCCTCATTGTAGATCTCTCCACCACATCCTCCACTGAGTCCAGTTTGAGTCCTACCACAGAGCCAGCCTTTTTCACCAGTTTGTTAAGACGTCTTGCATCTTTGTGTTTGATGCTTCCTCCCCAGCAGACTGCAGCGTAGAACAGAACACTGTAGACACCACAGACTGATAAAACATCTGCAGCATCTTACTACAGATGTCTATTGATCGGAGTCTTCTCAAGCAAAAGTGCAAGCTCTGCCCCTTTCTGTAGATGTAGTCTATATTCTTAGACCAATCCAACTCATTATCCAGATGTACACCTAGGTATCTATATGATGTCACCACTTCGATGTCCACTCACAGGTGTTCACTGGCTGAAGAGGGGGTTTGGATCTACGGAAGTTTATGACCATCTCCTTTTGAGGGCAATGATGGAGATTATGTGTATTTTGCCCCAGGATACTGCCCGTGTATTTGCACAAGCATACAAAAACATACTTTTTTGAAGCATTGAGTTCCCTAAGTTTGCTGCATCTAAATATATGGAATTGATGTTGTTTGTTTCATTTAGTCTGGTTTCTTGTCCCTCCCCCTAGATTGCCTTCTATATGCTGCCTCCTGATGGATCCCAGCTTTGGTGCCCCAGTCAGTCTCTGTGGAACCTGATCGCTGAACATGTTCCTGGGTCAGAGCTGTCAAAGATCCGTTCAGCACTGGGTCCTGCCTTTGTTGATATGTACAAAGATAAGCATACTGAGGTAAGAGAGTCTTTGTGAATATAATACAAAAGGACAACAACATTCATGGCTTACCTTGGTTGGAAATGCGACCGAAAGATTGTTTTAATTATCCTATTTCTCAATCCCTTTATGAAGAAGTCAAACCCTGTGTTGATCTCTGTTCGGAAAACCACAAGAACACCATCAAGCCATCTACAAGGATTCTTGGTTTCAAGATGAATTTGAAAAATGCTCAGCAGTGAACCCCTGCCCGAACAATTTATGAGTTGTGGTGTTAGGTTTTGTAAGTAGGTTAGTTTGGCAACATACGCTCATTAATTAAGATTCCCAGACTCCCTCATAAAAGCAAAATGTGGGCTAACTGGCACTGCACTGAAGTGAAATCCAAATGTGAGCTAGGCAGACATAAATATTTACTCAAAGGCAGCTCAACTTTACTGCTTCAAATCCCTTTTCATGGAAATCTCTGAGCTCTGAAAAAATGACCTCACCCAAGAAAGACTTGGAGCGTTGATGAAAAACATAACCAGCTCAAAGGTGCAAAAGCACACACCTCACGAAGTAGGCCAATTCTGGGACGAGGCTAGAATCAGGCGCTATTTTAAAAAAATGACACATGATCATAACTTTTGCACTCTGTCATCTTTTTTTTTGCCTGTTCACATCATCTATGGCATATCTTTGGACAGAATTCAATCCACTGTTGATCTCCCTATTTTTTCATATGACATGAGATATTGGGCTTCAGATAACGACAACTCAACTTCAGACATTGAAAGATAGCATATTTGATTGATTGATTGATTGCAGTTTATTTCGAATATGCAAACCAAAAATATAAAAAATATAACAAGAAGAGTAAGGCTAAACATATAAAGATGAAACTTCGAAACATAGAAATACATATTCGAAAAGGAGTGAGAAGAAGAATATGAACTCCCACTCCCACTCCCAAATAATAAGTCCCCACACCAAGTTTCCTTGCAAGTTATTTGAATTAATAACTGCGCTTTAGAGTCTCTCCTAATTGTGTTCAAATATTACCAAATCTGCATTGCAACTAACGTTCATTAGTTTTTATCCATAAGTTTTTATATTTTCACAAACCCCCTTCTTGAATTTGTAATCTATTATATGCTGCTTTAAATTCCAAGAGCCAAAAGCAGTGTTTTTTTTTCATCATCTGCCCTCGTTTGGCTCGAGCGTGTGATGAAGTTTCCAGCTTTTCTAGCCAACCAGAGGCAAAGGAGGCGGGACATTCCCCAACCATCCTCAAAAGAAATATATCCGGGACGCGTCTTTTTGTTCCCCCAGAAAGTCGCAAAATCGCAACGGGCTTGATGTGTATAGTCAGGCGTGTCAGAATTTGCCTCCGAATATTTCGTAATTTTGCGTCGTATATTCGTGTCGCTCCCGGTATGTAAGGAACTTAAGACTGTTTAAATAGTGGCAGGTGAAGATTCTCTAAACCTACTCTTAAATTCATCATAATAATTTGAGTCATTCATGAGACTAAGTCCACTGCAAATGTCCCAGTGCTTGACCTAATGTCTTCATGTGCAGATATGCAGCCTGGTCCATTGAGGGAAAATTCCTGCCAAGCTGAATTACATAACAAAAGTCATGCCATGTGCACTTCAGACCAAATCCAAAGCTGTATATTTCACTCAGACTCAAAGCGTTCCACTTATCAGCACTTCCTGTGGACTATAAAATGTCTGCGTTGGCAGTTTAGTCTCTCATATGGTCTGATTTTCTCTGCTTTTCATCCCTCTTATCATCTGCCATCTTCTTTCTTTTTGCGTCTGTCATATGTTGATATGTCTCCATCTGTAGATGTTATCAGCCAACAGGCCAGTTACTGTTTGCAAAAGAAACACATGGACATAATCTGTCTCAGCTCTCGGGCTGCGGCAGAAGAATTTGGCCACAATGATACGATTTTTTTTATGACTTTAATGTGTAAAAATCTGAAGTTAACAGCAGACGCAGGCACAAACCCACCCTCATGCAGCCAGATATTTCAATGAACAAATTATATATCAAAACTGGATTTAAAGCAGGGCTAAAAGAGAAATTAAAGCTCAAATCAAGCCTTAATGATGCTAAGTAATTCAATCCACACATACACACACTAACAAACACACACACACACACTAAAAAGAGGCCCAGAAAGCTTAGTGAGTCAGGGGGTCGGTATAACAGGGTTAAAGAGGCTAATCCTCAACTGTTGATAAGAGCGTTAGCAACACATATTCTTTAACTTGATTTTGTGTGTCTGTGAGGAAAAAAACAGACGTGTGCATGTGTGTACTGTGTGTGTGTGTGTGTGCGACTTTGAGTGTTCCTCTGGTGTTTTTTCACCTTCAGTTCAGCGTAACAGTAGATCTGGGTAAAGCCCCTCGGACGGAAAGAAAGACTTAGGCTTAGAGCTTTGAGAAATTTCCAATGAAAAAAAAAAAAACGGCTAAACACTGAGCGCCTTATTCAGCTCACAGGTCCGTTCATGCAGGTTTCCCTCTGTTTATACATCTAGAGCAGGGTGGATCACTTCCTTTTCTCTCTTTTTTTTCTCCTCTGTGCGTGTCTGCCTATCTCTGCGCCTTTCACCCGGTGTGTTTTCTCTCCTCTGTACTCGTCTGTTCCCTCTTGCAGCCATGTAATGAATTCCATCCCTCGGCCAGCCACTGTGAAAAGTAATCGTTGATCTGCAGGCGACTCCTTCATTCCCCCGTGCCGCTGCTCCTCCCTCCATCAAGGTCTCCATTGTCTCTGGCGGTTAGATCAGAGGGAATATTAGCCTCTCCTTTCAAGTCCCTCCATAAGGCCTATCCATCTCTACGCTCTTTTCTCTCTTACCTCTCTGTTCTGAATGAAAAGCCCTTTAAGTTAAACATATTCTTAAACCCCCGTTGAATAATTCAACATCATAGTACCTAGTAAGGTTTAACTGACAGGTCTAAGTAGCGCTCCTTTAAAATAGCTCCTAGATGAGATCAGTGGTTTCACAGCAGAAGAGAGGAGGAAAAAAGATCCAGGAACTACTTGTTAGCTAGTGAGCCATGAATCCTGTAACATAAACACCTTGGAAAAAGACAGAGGGAGCCAGTGTGATTGCTGTGAAGTGTGTGGACGGCGCACACCTCGAGACACACAGCAGTGTTTTTATACTATCCCCCAGTGTAATTGTTTGAAGTTAGCTTGGACTGCAACATGGCAGGAATGATTGGCAAGCAACAGGTGTGGAGGTGTTAATGGTATCCAGACTTCTGGACATGTGCACGTAAGCACACATTTTTCACCCATCTTTTTTTTTTAACCAAGAACATTATTTTTTTTTCCTCCTTCTTTTTGGCTTTTACACCCTAGTTAAAATGCGATAGCGTCTCAGCACATGTAAGTGTGCAGATGGTGGCTGTAAAAGTACACCTTTGATGCTTGACACTCAGCCCTTCTGCCAGCTCGCAGAGGAAGTCACGCATAAAGACTGACCTTTTTCTACATTTTTTTTTTTTTTTGTAAATATAAATCTCTAATCTGCGGTGATAATCCTCGCAGCAGTTCAAAGAGTAGAAAGCTGCCTGGTCATGCAGTAGACAGAGCTGCTTTTCAAATGGCAAAGGCTTTACTTGGATTCAGCATGTTCCTCAGTTGGTGCTATATGGAGTGATGCAGCCTTTAGACCAGAACCCTGTATACTGTATGTGTTACATCAAGAAAAATATAGTGTGGATACATATCACCGCTATTTGAAAAATTTAAGCCAGGTGAGGGATTACTGGAGGTAGGGCTGGGCGATAAACTGAAAATTTACCGAAATTTAAGATGATAACCAACGTCATTTTTCCCATATCGGTCTATTCGGTGTCAAAAAAATAAATAAATAAAGTTGGTTTTGGATGTGTGTAGGTAGGCTATGGCGAGGCTTGACACTATGTGCTCCCGAGTTGAAAAAGTAAGGCGCGCACGAAGAACTTTAGGGGCACAATGAAAACTGATCAAATAATGTGTGTCTTATTGGTCGACTTAAGTATTAATATTAATACATGACATGGAAGCTGTTGAAGGGAAACAGACTTTTATGAGAACATCAACAGGTAATTTATTGATGGTCCCTTATTCAACACCCAATGTCGACAGCGAGGATGCCGAGTAGATTAAACCACACTGCTGTTGCTATTCCTGGTAATGGACATGTAGATTCTCATTCATCCAGGTCATGGTTATCTTGAAGACTTAAAAACAGGCAACTGGACTGTGTAGAGTTGAACATTTGTGGCCTCGGCTAATTTTTTTATGCGCACATGTGCCCCTAAATACATTTTACAATTCGCACACAATTACTTTTAGTCGCAAATGCGAGTGAAACGGTCACACTGTCAAGCCCTGTATGGTCTCATCTCCCTGTCCTACAGCGGAGACGGGAGTCCACCCCATCCAGTCCGTAACAAAGAGGGATAGCCAGGTGAGGAGATGGAGGATGATTCAAAAGTTGGAGTGGCTGAAGTAGACGAAGTTAATGTGGGAGGGGGTGAGCAGCTTAGGGAGTAGTTATTGTCCATTTATTGTTATTGAGGTGAACTGCTCAATGTATCGTGATATTGATTTGAAGCCATATCGCCCAGCTCTAAGGGAAGGTAGGGAACTACATAGAAACTTGTGTTTGAGACACGCTGTCAACAAGCAGGGCTCACTGTTTCCAGATGCTGAGAATTTTTGTCTCTCAACTAACATATTTGTTAGAGAAGGTGTCACCTTTACTTGATACCTCTGTGCAAAATAAAGCAGCATTCTTTCCTGAAGCGAGAGGATGTTCTATGTTTACAGCAGTTCACAGAAACCGATGTCTCCTTCTGCCAAGGACAAGATGTTTTCACAAAGAGAGAGAAAAATAAAGTTTAAATACAGCTGATACAGAGCAGACAATCCAAGTAAGAAAAACATTTGAATAGGCATGAATAAATTCACATTTTCCTCAAATATTTGGGAATATACTGAGCTCTACATTTGTAGTTAAGTGTAACAGCATCTAATATGGCTCTCTTTATCCCCTAACAGCACACAGTGTGGTGCTTAAATGCCACATGAATAAGAAACACTGTACCTGCCTGCATTTACACTAAAGTTGCTTTAACACAGATTAAAATCATGTTTTTTAGATAGTATTTAGATAAACACCCTCTACCTTTCCTGAAACATTAATGTTCATTATGATCCTCCGTTAGAGGAAATCTCTAAATGATTTAAATGAATATCTGTCATCAGGAAGCCGATGTAGCCAGAGCTGTAAAGTAACTAACCTGAGAAGTCTCCACTAACCTTGACAACTATATTTGCAGGCAGAGAAGTGGTACAGCGTGTGGCAGGCGAGCCAGCAGGGAAACTTTGGCAGCAGGGCAGGGACCCCCCACCCTCATCAGCAGGGTTCCCCTCTAACTGATCCACCTGCGGTCAAAGAGCTGCTGAGAGCCGAGGTCAAGATGTTACTGCAGACTCTCGGAGAGAGGGTCAGCAGGCTGGGAAGGTAAGTGTGAGCCCTCACACCTCCACCCTCTTTACTGCACATTATGAGTAAATTATTAAAAAGCTTGTGTTCATGGCCTTTGGACACATCGGCGGAAAACATAATTGGGTTTTGATGTATCTTTACTTCTGAGACATGAGGTCAGAATGCTGGAGAAAATATTTTAAAAGTACTGCCAGTGCAAGTAACAATGAGTGCTCACACACAAACACACAAACACAAACTCACAGGAATTTTCTCCTATTTTTTAATGTCAAATTGAAATGTTACAACACAGTGAGAATAAAACATTTATCCAGACTCACACGTTGTACAAGAAGTAATGTATATCTAACAAAAGCATGCTTTTGCAACACATTTTGCACATATTTTATGGATAGTGTCTTTAGGTCTTTATCGAACACGGTTGAATAAGTGAAAATGGTGAAGGTCCTTTTTTTTTAACTTTTATCTGTTTTTTTAACTGAGTTTTATTTTACTTTTTATTTTGAGCGACCTTGTTAAAGAATCTGAGAAGTTTTTCCGGCCTCTACAATATCCACCATACTGTCACTTGCAGTTTAGTTCAATGTGAACGAAGATTTGACATTTTCAAAAAGATTTCTAAGTATTTGAAAAGTAAAATGTCTATTTTAATCTCAGTAGCTTGACTTCCCAAAAGAAGCAACACACTAAGAAGGTATGGACCCTCCCCTCACTGTTTACGTCATTTCCCCCCCCTAACAAAGAGTAGCATAAAATGCCGTATTGTGCTCCCATGTCAGTTACAAATGGAATGGAAAGAAGAAGAAGAACAAAGGGGTTTCGGGGTTGGGAAGTAGCTAACTGGTTTAGGAATTGTGCAACAATGGGACGACTATAGGAGAGAGACATCTTTGCATTCCACACCAGATGCCAACAAACACTGGCCTGAATTTTAAAGGCCCAACAGCTACTAGCTTTATCTGATTGAAGATTTGTTTTTGGTCTTCACTCTAAATAAGAAGCTGAATATTCATCTTAATGAAGTTTGCTTGTTTGTGTGTAAAAAGATCTACAGTTAATCTGACCTTAAGCAGTTGTTTTTCTGTGGCATAATGAATCCTGGCGTTTCATTTTTAAAGATATACAGTCCTCAGAAAGTTACAAGCTCCTCCATGAGTGGTGATATTTTCTAAGTGCTGTTAGCTTTTAATTTTATTGCTAATCTTGCAACTCAGGTCAAACTGAACTTGTCAATTTACGAGTCAATGTGAAAACATCATAAAAACTCTTGGCAGGACACAATAAGACAGTAACTGCTGTGCATCTTAACTTTTTGATGATGAAGGACTCTGTACATTTGTTTTATATTTGTGAGGATGTACAAGCATGTGTGAGTGTGTGAGAGCAAACTGTGGTTAGCGGTGAGCTCGTAACTATCCCAGCAACAGGCTGGTTCCTGCTAGGAATGTCGCCCCACGTCACCTCTCAGATTTTGCCGAGGCCCTTTAGGAAGCACGGCTCAGGATGGATTGTTCTCTGTTTTTGTGACAAACCGTTTATTGCCTGCCAATTTGTCCGTTTCCTTTGTAATGTGATTTTCCTTTCATTTGTGTCTGTTTCAGTTGTGTTGTTAAAGTGAAGACGCAGGGGGGGTTGTGTTTTAGTTCATCCCATTATCCCACATCATCTGCTGCAACCACAGATTTGTGAAATTTTGACCTCTTGTCAAAACCACTAAACCGCAATGCGTCCAATCCTGGTTCCAAATAAAGTCAGTTCAGCCCTTTTGTTGACACACGATGTGGCACAGACGCTTAATTGGCAATCAACTACTCCAGATGGGGTCAGTTTTACCAGGCAGTTTAACGACTTTAACTACCTTTAAAAAAAAACTGCTTTTTGGAACATTTGTAGTGCTCTACTTTGCCTCTTTGTTTCAGCACTATTTGTGGATGCAACTCATACATGTTCCTCTGCTTGCACCAAATTAACCTGTATTAATTACAGGTTAATCTGTATTAGGAAAAGAAAGAAAAGATATCCAGCCAGTAGAGATATTGTATGAGATTTTTTGGGCTTAAGTGGTGATCCATCCCATGAGCCACAGCAGTAGACATGCGTAAATCTGTCCTCACCACAGGCACAAACGGTTGTCATAGTTTCCCACAGTTTAGTCCCCTTCTCTACAAAAGCTGCGATAGTTCATGCATCAAAAGGAATACAAAACGTATAATATAACCCCCTGGTGCGTATTTTGACAGCCAAGTGGACAGGGTTTTATTTCAAGTAATCTCACAAGAGTTTCTTTTAAGTCAGGATGACAGCGAAGCCTGATGGTTCAGCTCACAGTCCAATATCCAGAAGAGCCACAGGTCTGAAGCCCTCAGCAGCACTGTGTCTTATTAAAGTGTCACTGAGCGAGACTTGAACTGACACCTTACTTGCTCCCACAATCAAGCCGTTCCTGTAAAGTGCTCCAGCTAGGATGTAAATGGATTATACGGCATAAAGTCTTATTCAGCCCACTGTTGTCTACTGTGCAGACCAAAGAAGTATTGGTGCCACACAGACTGTGCCAGCACAAATGGCTTTTCCTCTTTGAGACTGGCTTTGGTATCCTTGTTGACCTTGATATACGGTGTGTGTGTGAGTGTGTGTGTGTGTGTGTGTGTGTGTTTTCAGCCTTTGATCATTCAGTTCAGCCTAGTCCCAAGTGTGTGTCAGGAGTAAAATGAACACACTTTCCCGTAACTACACTTCCACTAAATAATGCTCCTCGACCCTCTGCTTGTCAATTTGGTTCAATTTAATAGACTTTGTTGGCATGGAAATCCCAGACGTATTGCCAAAGCATCAAGACAGAGACCAGCGCCTTCTTCCCTACACTGTACAAATTGTGTGTTATGGTTTTGGTCAAAATACACTTTCCTATATTTGTAGCAAAAGTCTGACTGACTGATCCTCTTCTACCTACATCATCTGGACAGGAGTAATAGCAGCTGCCATCTCCACACCAGAGTCTCACTGTGATCGGAGCCATTTGTATGTGGGAATGAGGGTGTGTGGGTGGGTGTGTACCTTGTAAAAGTCAACTGATTTATCATACTGGCCTCCTCCTGTGTGGTCCTGATGCCCTCACCGTCCTCCCAGCCACTCGCACACACATACACAAAGCTACTTGTAATTGAGTGGCTGGAAACTACATCTCCCCTTGTGTAGTAGGTATAAAATTAGGAGCTGATCACTGTGTGTCACACCACCTGCTGCTGCCCGCACCATCTGCCTGCTTCTTTTCTCCTAAGGATCTTTCAGTAAATATAATGTTCCTGCTGTTTAGACTAGGATCAGTTTAGCTTTTGTAATTGGATACTATAAAATGAGCCTGTCTCTGATAATAAAGTGCTCACGTTGGACTATCTGATCACTCGGCATAAACTAAGAATATTGTTTTTGTTCCGACTTTTTATGTTTTCAATCCCTCAAACTTAACATGTAAAACATATTGGTAACCCTTTCGTTTACGGTACACTTATTACCAGGTAATTAACAGGTAATTACCTAGTAACAACATGAAATTATCTGGTAATTACATGATAACTACTAAGTCAATACTGTCGAGCTACCAGGTAGGTAACCTTCCATCATCATACAAATTTGAAGCTGAATTGCTCTGGTATTTCCAGGATTTTCTCAGCTTCCTGGAACCACCACTTGCGCAGTAGCATTGTACGCATTCGGCGGGTGAGTCGCTGTGATAATGCTCGGCTCAAACAGCGCATCGCTATGCAATCTTCGCACGCCCATAGGCTGTATCAAGTGTCAATCACAGAAAACAAGAACCCCAAATAGCTTTTGAAAATGGAGCTGCACAGAAAAATTGACTTAGTAGTTATCATGTAATTACCAGATAATTTCATGTTATTACCAGGTAATTACCTGTTAATTACCTGGTAATAAGTGTACCGTAAAAGAAAGGGTTACCAACATATTTAATGTATGTTAGTGCCATTCAGGGTTCAGTTCAAGTAAAATACAAATACAAACAGTAAACAATGTAGTGATGTAAATCCATGTTCCACCATAGCTTAAGCTTCATCATGTAGAAGTACTGACAGACCTGCAGGGACAGTTAACAAACTCTCTTGTTTCTGCGGTTGTTGCTATAGAAACGGCGAGGAGCTCTTGTTTAGGTACAAACCTGAGACAGTGGACTACGCCCTTGGTCACCTTGACAGCTGCCAAAGAAAGAGTACAGACCTTGAAGATACTTATGACAGAAGCAGGTAATTAACATCACGGCTTAGCTTGACTCGTATATGGAATTGATACAAAATGTTCCTCGTGCATGAAACCTCATTCCTCCTCATTCCTTACAGACCGAGCTCTCACTGCTCGGTCCGGTCCAGTGCTGAGGATGAGATTGATTCAATGAGAGACAAGCTGAACGTCACTGACATTGACCAAGTTGTGGATCGGCTCAAGTAAGTCCCATAGAGCAGTCTCTCTCATTACAACAACAGCCAGGTGGATACTTTATTTTGAGGCCTGATATCAGTAGCTGTTAGTTTTTCTCCTCATTAGTTTCAATCTGTTGCATAAGCAGTTGAAAACTCCTCATAGGGGCTTCAAGCTAATTTCTTAACTTTTCTTAAAAACTAAGAGACTAGTGCTGCGTTCGAGTTACCTCAGAAGTCAGATGTCAGAGCTGGGAATGATGTCACACCCGAGTTAGCAGCGTTATAATTACCAAGTCGGAAAAAAGCAAAATCAGAGGTGGAAAACAAGATGGATTCATCTACAAAAGTTATTTTAGCTATTTTAAGTTATTTTAGCATCCCCTTACGTAGATGTAGCTATCTTGTTCCCACCTCCGATTTTGCTTTTTTCCGACTTGGTAACTGAAACGCTGGTAACTAGGGTGTGACGTCATTCCCAGCCCGGACAGCTGACTTCCGAGGTAACTCGAACGCAGCATAGGATACAACAAATCTGCAACAGGGAACCTTTCTCGATCACCTATATGTGTTTCTTTTGTCTCTCACCAAATGTTTTCCACATTAGTCTAAAATAAGTTTCCACAAGGTTTCTTAAACTACTTGTGACCCTTAAAAACCAAGCGGTGTCTATTTGCAGCCTGTTTACTCACAGGTAATATGATATGAGTCCTCATTATTCTGAGCTCTGTCAACATTGTTATGAAAGCAATGTGGAAAACTTCTGTGCAAGATTTTTTTTTATGAACCTCAGCTGTTTGTTTAATCATCTCATGACTCTACAAAGTCTGCTGGAACAAAAAAATCCCCCGTTTGTTGTGGTGAACCAAACCTCCAAAGGCACAAAGGATCAACAACCTAAACAAGAGTGAGCAGATTGAGTAAATAACACCTAAGACTGGTAGAGTACAACAAACAGGTTTTCATCATAGATTTGTAACACTAGCTGGCAGAAAAACAACAGATTTGTCACGGTTAACTTTGATATAAATTTTGTATTTCTCGTACGCTCTTTAAGTCTGTGAAGCAGTTCCTCTGAGCTTTCTCCCTTCCTCATCTTTCTCCTTCGTTTCTCCTTTTTGGCTTCTGTTCCTGCCCTGCCTCCTTCACCTTCCATCTCTCCTTTCTTTCCTTCATCCCCCACTTTTTGAGGCCCACGGGGCAGTACAGTCACTGGGGCCACCTCTTTCTTTCTCTCTCTCTCTTTTACTCCTGCTCTCGCCCATTTCCTGACTGGACCAGAACAAAAGGCCCCATTGTCAGAAAAATGGATCTCAGGGCAGGCAGAAGTTTCTCTTTTTTTTCCTCCTTCACAGAAATGAATGAAGTCTACTTTGGTTATGTAAGTGGAGAAGGAGAAAGTGTACATGAGGGGAGAAACAAAGAGGGAATGAAAAATAGGACAGTGTATCTGCATCTAAGCTGCAGAGGAGAAACTCTGAACACACACTTGGTGCACCCACACTGATGCTTGACAAACGTAATCATATTACGTCAAACTGTCACGGTGTCCCACTCTAACTTCTTGAAATTGATCCCATGTGTGGCTATCAAAGCTACAACAGGCAACTTTGTTCTGTTGGGATTAAAGATTGAATTTGACATGTGATATATGAATGCATTTTTAATGTATTCAAGAAAACAGACCACAAATTATAACTAAGGTGCTTGAGTGGGTGTGTATGAGTGTGTGCATAGTTTCCACTCTGACCCACATTTGAGTTTTTTGGCTCCAAAGTTTTAAATGAAAAACGAGTCGAGTACAGACCATATAAGCACAGGGGCTGTTCTTCAAAGTCCCCATTGTGCTCTCTTTATCTATCTATCTGTGTGTCTATTTAATCTTGCGCATCTCTCTGTCTGTGTAGGACTGTCCTTATGGAGGAGTATGAAGAGTTGAGAAGGCTGGTGAAGTATTTTAAGGTAAGGAGAACAGGATTAAAAACAGCCACAGATATTATTTGTGTTTTCTGATTTAAATTCTGTGTTACATTCTGCATTTTCAAACATTATTTCCCTTATTAAACCCCCCCCAAAAAATCTATATGTTATTTTAGAGCCATTTGTGCGCTACTGATAATTTGACAGATAATTAATATTTTTTGTTATTTATCCTGATTAGAATTCTGAGAGACTGAAAAGTTGTATAGTTTTACTTTAAAATTTAATTAAAGCCTATTACTTCTGCAGCTCTCCTATTGGAGGAGACATGTAATGTGAGACCTGCAGGTTTTTCTTGGGTAATTAATGCAGCTATGGGTTTTTGAGAGCACAATGGCTTTTGACCGTGTTTACATCGGGTCTCCATTTCGTCATTATTATTTGTAAAAAGTATCTTTGTTGATTACTATGATGTTTTATTAAGGAAATATCAGAGGGTCTTCAATCATTAGACGGAGCTGCACTCACATGGCATATTCATGTTGCATAAAGCAGTATAGGGTCCTGCTTGTTCTCATTTATTTCAGTTCTAACTTCAAACTAAAAAGAAAGATTGAAGCTCTTTTTGTTAACTTTTTTAGCAGCACTCACTGCTTTTATAAAAAGTAACTAGAATAAATGAAATAGCATTTTGACAATTTGAAAAAAGTTGACCATAAAAGTAAAGGTTTGAGTTGTAATTTAACATCTGAAATATTAATGTGAGGTGTATTTGACACAGTGCTGTTGGAAAGTTATTGACTTCAACGACTGGGGGGGTTCTCCACGAAAAAATAACACCTTTGGTTTTAAGGAGTTTGAGAAGATTTGGACTCCCCCAAGTTGACTCATGGGGCGCTATTTTTGTTCCTCACCGGCGGCATGGCGCAGGCGCGGCGTAAGTCAGGTCCATGTCCAGGTCGAGCTGCACGAGAACTTAGAGGAAGAGGAAGATAGAAAAAGGGGGGAGACAAATTAAATATGTTGTTAACTTCATCGTGTTTGTCTGTTTACTGGATATTTAATTTAATTAACAGCGGTTTCAGCTGAGTTAATTTGGTCAGGTTGAGTGTCCAAACACGTGCCAAATGTGTTTATCAGATCAGATATAGATCAGAATATATCGTTATAGATCTAAATGTATGTGCTGACTTAGAATATTGGTTGTTGTTGATTATTTATTGCACTGAAATGTGCCTGACACTGTGGAAACCTGCTGGTGAGGCATCGGTGACGTATGCGCACCAAGCTGCCGGTCTACCAAAATACCACGAGACCAGCTGTGCTCCGCCTGCACTGAAAGCTGACCAGGTTTGAATCGGCGAGCTTTCAGTGCACTTTCTACGCCATCGGTGAGTACGAAAATGTCACTGTGCCAGCTGATTCTGTCGACACCTCCCCCTACCACGCCACCACGCCTACAAAAGTACCAAACTGGCTGTGCGCCGGGCTCCACCAGATGAAAATACCACAGTGCAGGGTCCGCCACCCTCTGCCGCGCCGCCGGCGGACACGAAAATAGAGCCCATTGACTTTTTTTGGCAACAAAAGTTTGCACAGGTTTTAATTTACTCATTTGTACAAACGCACAAATGAAAAAAACTAACTCAAACAAGAACCCGGCACAGGATCCGTCTAAGCTTGTTTTGTTTTCTGTCCATCTGGTCAAACGATCTGCAGCCCTGGGTTACATCGATCTGCTCTCAATCACCTAAATTACTCACTAAATGCTCACAGAGGCATTTAAACACAAACAAACATTGAAAACAAATGTACATGCATGCTTTCCTGCTTTGTGCTTCTTGTCTGGAATTATGAAAGAATCAGGGAGTGAGTTAGTTTGAGCCCAGATGTGGGTCTTTTCTGCAGACCAGATGTGTAACTTATCGCTCTGCAGCTTGTGTGTGTGTATATGGATGTCTGCCTGGAAATGTTACACTGTCTGTTTGTCTGGAAACAAGACAAGTTGAAAAATGGGACAACTGTGTGAAGAGGAAAAATACTGATTGTTTAAGTCTTCTGAAGTCAATGTATGTCAGATGTTTGTGAAGTACTAAAGGAGAATGACGTGTGCGACTACAGAGTGTGATTGGGCCTGTTAAATAAAGTCCCACTAGGCTAAATGTTATTTCGAATTAAAAGGAACAAAAGGGGTGTGTAGATCCTGGAGCAAATACAACTAAACACTACAACTCTTGGGGGCATCAGAAAGGTTTTACTGTAAAAGCAGATTTACATCTAAATTTTACACTAACTTTTAGTCCCAGGATCTCTTCCTTATTTCCCTTCTCTCCCCTAATTTAAAAACTGAGCCCACTGGTGCATAATGGAAAAAACTGACAGCTCCCTTTTCCACGGAGAGCTGTAAATATTTTAGCATGGTATGGCAACACACCCAGACAGTCAAGCAAGCTGCTCTGTCACTTGTACGAATGCTGTGAGTACTAGACCAGTCAAAAATGTTCAGCCCTCCGAGACCAAGTCCTGAAGGCTCTGTGCTTTAGGAAAGTACTATCCTTGATGGCATAATAAAGTATATAGGACTTAATTAACGTCTGGGTCCCAGCATTGGGAATGCACCTTTTAAAAGTCCATACCCCCTCAGTAGGGAACTGCTTATTTGATCTCAATAGGGACTCTCAAATAAAGCAGAAAAGTAGCACTTTACCTGAAAAGGAACCGTCTCCTTGAGTGAGGGGTTGCAGTCTGCTGTGCGAACAAGTGGGATGAAACTCAGGATGTGCTGTGCTCCTCTAGCATGAAATTATTGTGCGCTATCATTTATTCACAGCAGAGATGCCTTATTTTGCCGTGAAAGGCGACATTGCCTCTTTGCCACTGATGACTCAGTCTTGAAAAGAAAGGACACTTGAATCAGCCATGAGGATGAACCGTGTGATTATTCATGTTTAAACTTTAAACCTGCCGTAGAAAAACATATTTACACAGTTATTTATACAAAACCCAATTCCATTGAAGTTGGGAAATTGTGGTAAACGTAAATAAAAACAGAACACAATGATTTGCAAATCATTTTCAACCTATATTCAGTTGATACACTACAAAGACAAGATATGTAATGTTCAAACTCATAAACTTTATTTTTTTTTTGCAAATAATAAACTCAGAATTTAATGGCTGCAACACGTGCCAAAGTAGTTGGGACAGGAGCATGTTTACCACTGTGTTACATCACCTTTCCTTTCAACAACACTCAATAAACCTTTGGGAACTGAGGAGACTGATTGTTAAAGCTCTGAAGGTGGAATTCTTTCCCATTCTTGCTTGATGTACAGCTTCAGTTGTTCAACAGTCCGGGGTCTCCGTTGTCGTATTTTACGCTTCATAATGCTCCACACATTTTCAATGGGAGAAGGTCTGGACTGCAGGCAGGCCAGTCGAGACCTGTGTGTACCTTTCAGCATTAATGTTGCCTTCACAGATGTGTAAGTTACCCATGCCTTGGGCACTAATGCACCCCCATACCATCACAGATGCTGACTTTTGAACTTTGTGTCCATAACAGTCCGGATGGTTCTTTTCCTCTTTGGCCTGGAGGACTCGCCCCATCCTTGCTTGTGAATGACTGAGAATTTTTGGGAAGGCTGCTGTTCCCAATTAGTCTGCTCACCTGTGGGATGTTCCAAATAGGTGTTTGATGAGCATTCCTCAAATTTCTCAGTATTTTTTGCCACCTTTCCCAACTTCTTTATCACATGTTGCAGCCATGAAATTCTGCTTCTAACTTCAGGTCCATGAATCTCTTAAACCAATAAAAAAATGACCCGATAGAGGATGTAAGATACCTCTCAGGAGTGTTTATCAGTGTGTCTACGTTGTTTTTAACCAAGCCAGTGTAACTGTCCTGATTCAGGAGTGCCTGGAGTTTATCACTGGCATCATGTTGAGCGCAGCTAAGATGCATTTAATATAATTCCATGCTCCACGCAGTTTAATTGAACAGCCATTAGTTGTTGAGTAAAACTAAATCAGGCATGTAGAAGCTTGATACAGTATGATCAAATTGCCTGCTGTATGCATCATGTAGCAGCGGATAATAAATTACTGCAAGATATTGATCTGAATAATCAATATTGATCCATGTTGTCTTAGCAGGAAATAACTTCAAATTATAAATATATTTAGCAGCAGTCCGAGAATAACGTTCTCATACACTTCTGTATATACTCTCCACGTGTTGATCTTAGGGCATGTGTCCACCAGCAGCTAAGTTGTTCCTCCTCCACTTGTTAAGTCTGTTTCAGAATGCTCTGATGGGTTGGAGTTTTTACGACAAAATGTAAAAACATTTAAAAGATACAGACCCTCTAAAAGCATCCAGTTCACTTTGAGCTTCACATGGGTCATTTTAGCAGAAGAGGACTTTAAAAAAGGTGGTAAAAAAAGGTAAGGAGCACTGTTTGCCTATCAGTATAAGCATGCATCCATGTACAGACGCTATGGTCCTTGTCACAGTGGTCATTTGTTCTACTTCCTGCCACAATGGGAAAGAAGAGGGTTAGAGCTCCAAGGGAATGGAAGCGCAGCAAAGGATGCTGAACTGTATTGGTTTTGTGTCAAAGATTAGGAGTGTCTGGGCAGAAATCACAGTCTGTGGACACAGGCCCTAAGTTAAGAAAATTACAGTATTCCATCACTCTTAAGAAGTGGAAACAATGAGGGATTCCCGCTCTCATATCCTCTTTTCTAAATAATGGCCTGCATAGTTTGCACACCAAAGCTCTGTTACTGTTAATAACTGAATATTTCCCAAAGCCCTGGTATAAATGGCTGCTGCTAACACGTCTGTTTTCCCCTTTTCGAATTCCAAAGCCATATTTAGCTTTCTTCATCACTCCACTCTGTTGACTCCCCCTCTTAAGGTTGAGACCATTTTGCCCCTCTTGTTCCTCACAGTTCTCCATCAACCTGTTTTTGTTTTTCCTGCATGACATAAAGTTTGCAGTTTACGTTTTCTGTCACTACAGCAGCATCCATCAGTCCTTCATACTGATGTTTGCACTCGGTGAGGAAAGATAGTCTGTTTTTGTCACAAACAGCTAAGGAAACACACTCATGGTAGAGTTGGTTTTAAGATTTTAAAGGTGTTTATTTAAAGAAAAACTAGATCAAGCTTGGCCAGTTTGGTCTCGGTATACAGCAGAACGAATACGTGTTACGGTTTAAAGACAGCAGCCAACAATAGCCAGATTTAGCAGGATTCTGGGCGAGTGGGTGTGTGTTTTGGCTGTGAATCTGGATTCCACAGAATCATGTATGAGAATAATAATATTCACTTTCAAAGTTTTCTTAAGATATCAGAAATTCAGCACCACGGTTCTGAGTTCAGACCCAACATGGACCTCAAAGCCTATTTTTGGAGCGTGTATGTAGAGTTGTTTTGGATTCCAGCCACTTCGCTGTCAGAGACACAGCACATACTCCGTCTGTGCACCAGAAAGAAAACACTGGGAGGTTTAAGTTTGAATCCCACTGGGAGAGCCGACCGAAAATATGTTTTAACTGTCAGTCTCGGCATGTGTGTATTTATGTGTGTGTGTACAGAACGTGGATGCTATAAAGACCCGCCGTTTGTTTCTGTGCTGATGTCAAGGCTGCCAGTCACTTTTAACAAACGTATTATCACACTTTTCAATCCGATCCTGAGGTTTTGTGCCCTCAACACACACATTGCACACAGACACACACACACACACACATGCACGTGCACATGACCAGCTTTTGCTCCATTAACCCTGTACATGGATATTTGAGGTCCAAATTATGATGGAACACTTCTGCTCAATCGTTTAGTGGTCACAAACTCACATGCCTCTCCTCTCTCTCTCTCAGTTATTTGTATCCCTTTCCCTTGTTCCTTTGCTTTTTCCAAAGACTCAGGCTTTCTTGAACATTTCTCCTCCATTACTCGTTTTCAGTTCTGTCTCAATGCTGCTGAGTATGTTTTATTTTGCATTATTTATGAGCATGAAAACGATGATCTCCCTCTCTTCTGTTCTTCATTTCTTACAGGAAGAGATTAAACAGAGGTGTATGAGTCAGGCTGAAAAATCTGAACCTACACTTTCAGGTGAGTCCAATTCCAACATATTGGTCTCTGCTGCCATCTGGTGGCACACTGTTGTTGAACACTTTGCCAGGTCTTTTTTTTTTATCTCTTATGTCCCATTTAATCTTAAACTCAGTGAACAAATTCAAAGATGAAACGCTGATGATGATAACATCTCTCACCCTCCATTAGCTGGTGAAACTCATCCTGAAACATATTTATGAATGTAAAAAGGAGCAATTTAGGACTCCAGCCAAATCTATCTACTGTGGGCCAAATGACGGAGAAACTAATTTGAGTGTATCAGAGAGTCATCAGAGTAAAGCAGCCGTTTAGTTCATTTTCAGAGCTGGAAAATGAGCACTTTCTTGTGCACTTTGTGATTTTTATCTTTTGATGGTTTTCTGTGCTCAAGTATCCAACAGCGTGTTTCAGTGACTCTTCAAGCACTTTTCCTAAATCTCAGTACTCTTGTGTTTGTGTGTTCACAGAGCTGAGAGAGCTTAGAGGAGCCATACAAATGGACTTGGAGCTCTACCCTTCTTCTTTGGCTGCTTCACCTTCGAGAGCCTCCCCTCTGCCAGCGAAGGATTTGAAAAACAGGTTCATGTTTGTACCTTTGGCATTTAAGACTCTTAAAAAAGCGCTACTGTGAAGAAGGGAATTACATGAACAATATTGTAGAGAAGAAGAAAAATCTGTATTTATGATGCCAGGTGACAGGATTTCAGAAATAATAAAGAAGAAATCTGGGGCACTATATGATATATCCTCACAGAAACACTGATCATTGATATCTAAAGACAGTGCTTCAAAAGTGCTTTTAATGTGTGCCTTCTTAATCCATTCAACAAGATAAAAGCACACTGCTTATCTTTTGTTGTCTGCCCATACCAAAGTTTTACTCCCACTGATTTCCATTCTTTTACTTTTCCTTCAGACTGTCAGCAGGACAAAAGGTTCCTCGTGGAAGTATGCAAGATTTAAGCACTACTCCAGCCCCTAAACCGCATTCACTTCCATCTCTGTGCCAGACCAAACCCAGGCCACCACTTAATGCTCCTCCAAACAAGACCTCTGCATCAGTTAAACTCATTAATAGCCCTTCACTGTGCAGGACTCCAGGACAGCAGAGAAGCGCTTTAGCTGCCTCTGGAAGGAGAAAAATACGAACACCTATCTGCAACAGGATCGCCTCTTCTGGGCATCTGGACAGCCTCTCCAACGCTACAGTTCCAGGGCCTGACAGGGACCAGATAAAGGATGAAACTCCACATGACTGCAGTGCTTCACCAGAGCAAGACAGGAGTTGTATGTCTAGTCCTAGTTTTCAGATAGAAAATGCAAGAAACTCTCCCGTCCATGATACACATCAGCCACCTCATAGTAGGATCCACAGCCCGAGCAGGAAGTCTGATTTGCCACCACAGCCTGAGAGAAATAGAAGGCCTGCTCTGAGATTAGGACACATAAATACTATCACCTCATCCTCTCGTGGTGATGCAGGCACTTACAGCAGCAATGCTACTGACCACCCAGTGTCAGCTAAAAGCAATTTAACGACACAAAGTGGACAGCAGAATCACGGAGAAGAAGGGAGTACAGCCTCAGCTCCTTCACAGTCAGGCAAAGAGAAAAGTAGCAATGGAAATAACACAAGTGACAAGGGTCATTTTGATGCTGAAGTTTCACAACAGCCAGGCCAAGCAGTCAAATGCATCCAAACAGAGTCTAGACAGATAAATAGACTTTTCTTCGCAACGCCTAAAAAACAACACAAGGGCAGCAGAAATCAGCAGAGACGGGTTCAAGAGGCGAAGACAGAGCTGGAGTTTATTGGAAAGTTTCACCAGCCCGTCCCTCCACCCAGAGTGTCAACTTGAATTTAAGATAGTGTCAGGAGAGGAGACGGAAAGGAGGATAGTCTGTTGCTGGGTGATTCTGCAGAGGTTCTTACATTGTTTTGTTATGAGAGAAAAGCATTAAAAATGAAAAGAATCCTGTTAATGTCATAGCAGTTTCTGGTCTTTACAGTTTTTCCACATAACACTGATTCAGACATACAAAATTTATGTTAATCTACAATCACATCAACAGGGTTTAAGCATTTTTGCAGCATCCAATTTACTGTGTAACAGTGTTTAGGATGTACATCGTGAAGTGTATAGTAAGTGGAGACTGGTCTGAAATAAAAGTCCTTGTTGCTGCACGATTATGATATACAAACCCTTTACAAAACATTAGAATATCATAGAAAAGTTTATTTATTTCCATAATTCCTTTCAAAAAGTTGAACTTTCATAGATTATAGAATTAGGGCCAACAATTTTAAATGATTTCAAGTATTTATATGTTTATTTTTACATAATTTGGGCTTGCAGCTCATAAAATCCAGGAAAACAGGAATTCAAAAAATTAGAATATTGTGAATAATATTTGGATCACATCAAATCAACCAAAACATGGTGCTTTCAAAGCGATATGTCAGTCTTCAATACTTGGTTTGGAATCATTTTGCCTTAATTACTGCCTCAATGTCGATGCACATTGAGGCGATCAGCCCGTGGCATTGGCTGGGACTTATGGAAGCCCAGATTTCCTTGATGCTTGCTGTCAACTCTTCTTTGTCTTTGAGTTTGGTGTCCCTTATTTTCCTCTTGATAATACCCCATAGATTCTCAATGGGGTTCATGTCCGGTGAGTTGGCTAGCCAGTTAAGCACTGTGATGGCGTGGGCATCAAACCAGGTTTTGGTGCTTCTAGCGGTATGGGCGGGGGCCAGGTCCTGCTGGAAGATGAAATCTGCATCTCTATACAGATCATGAAGTCCTCTAAAGTTTACCTACACCTGCACTTGACATTGCACCCCAAATCATGACTGACCGCGGATATTTCACACTGGACCTCAAGCAGCTTGGGCTCTGTTCCCCACCCGTCTTCCTCCAAACCCTTGGACCTTGATTCTCCAATGAAGGGCACACTTGACTTTCATCAGAAAAGAGGACCTTGGACCACTGGCCAACAGTCCATCTTCTTCTTGGCCCAGTTGAGAAGCTTCCTATGTTGGCTCAGGTTCAGAGGAGCTTTGATTACTGTGTGACACGCAGTTTAAAACATTCATGCTCTACAAGATTTGGGCTGGTTTCTTCACAGTATTCTATTTTTTTTTTTTTTTTTATAAATCTATAATCTATGAAAGTATTGGATCTATGGAATTGTGGAAATAAATTAACTTTTCTATGAGGGTCTGTAGCTTGGAAAACTTGATTTCTTCTGTCTTTCAATAACAAATACTCGTGAACATGTAGTACATACGCATGTGTTTGTATTGTTAAACCAAAGGAAGCAAAGCAAGTCTGAGTTGGGGTCTGTGATAACTGCCAAACTCGTCAAAAGACTCATCATCTCCTCCCAAATTTCTGAAGACAGAGCTGCGCACGACACCCAGACATTTCCAGTAGTTTCATTTTCGGTGAACTCCTCCAACAAACCGAAACTGATCCTGGACGGAGAGGAACTTGTTTACGATCTCTGGTCAGGGTAAGATTATCGTCGTTTACCCCTTTTATCAAGAAATGTAATCACTGTCACACTAGAATATGTTTTATATCACTTCTTAACCCTACCTTGATTCAACCGGGGTGTTATATGTAGATCTACTGGAACACAAACAACTTGAAGCACCTTTGAAAGTGGTATTTGTTGAACATTCACCATTGGCTTTTGTGCGGATTAAACGCACCTGAGATGGCGCTATAGTTCGTGTTTATCCAGCCGTGGGCCTACTTGTATGGAGAGTTTAGCTAATACTGCGTTCGTGTTAACGGTGAGTCCTCTGGTGCTCCTAAACAATATGTAAAGTTTATGAGACCCTTTTAACCAGTTTTAAGTATTTGGAAAGTGTTAAAGGAGTGTGTAGGACTAATTAAAACCGAAGTGTGTTGTTTATTATTGCTGTTGAGACCGAAAAATCAAGTTGAATTTAAGCTAGTTTACGCACAGTTCGACAGATAATTTCGCGGGTAGGGGAGAGTGGAGTAAGATGAGCCATTTTTCATATTTCGGATCACTACATCAAGACAATCATGGTTTTGTCTCTAAAAAGTGTAGCTGCATATATTTTAAGATGTTGTGCATCCCTGCAAACCAACAAAATGAGTGTAAACATAACTGTCTTGATAATATTGCATGCCAAAATACAGTGGTCTCCACCATAGCGGGGTAAATTGTGCCGTATAGTGTTGTGTCGTTCGCAAACGATTTGTTAAAAAGAACCGAATCTTTTAAGTGAACATACTGAACCGAATAACTTCCTCGAGTGATTCGTTTGTTTCTCACTTCATTTGAGCTGAAGTGAGAAACAGCATTGCCAGGTCAGCAGCCGGCGAATGAAAGCATTGTCACTCTATCATGATTAACAGATAGTATCATGTGATGGGTTTTGTTTGTGTTGGCAGTTTTACATGAATCATCATGGAGAAGTCAAGATTTTGGAAATACCAGCATAGCATGCTGACATAAGCAATAAACCCAAAGCCACACAATGCCACAAACCCAGACAAGAAATCTTTGTTGAGCCCTTGTTGACTGTTTTTGTGATCTCTGTACAGTGTATAAGAATATTTGGCAATCAAGCTGCCACATTCTAGTTTGAAGCTCCCTTGCTCACCCCCTCTGTTATGAAATTATGGTGGCCTTCAAGGACAAAAATGCTGTGTCTGATGCACAATAAGTACAGTACTTCATTTGTGAAGTTTTACACTGAAAACATCCATGAATACAAATTCCCTTTCCCATAACAACCATCCATTTTTTCATCTTTGTCCTTTGTTCATTAGGCCACTTGCTTAATTTTAAAATGGCCTGTTTGTAAGTTATCTGTCATGTCCTCTGGTGAAACATGGGGACAATTTAACCAGTTTGCATACAAGTAATAATTTCAAAATGTTTTTTTTTTCATGTCTTTATTCAGATGGAAAAAATATTTACCATACTTGAGAAGTTCAGACTGGAAACTTACTACAACCAGTTTTTCTATCTGGGTGTAAAAGATGAAAGAGATTTCCTCGACAGTGTAACAGATGACAACCTGAAGAACATGGGTAAGAAAAAAAATTAACTCATAGTCCATTTTGACCAGAGCATGTATCACCCATAGTCTACAAGGTGCACTTGTTTCATTTGATCAATGGTCTTTTACTTTCTATCAATGACAATTACACCTTATAGTATTTAATAACATTAACCCTACTTGTAATGGGGTTACAGTGGTGCTAGTAAAGTATTTTGGATACATATTTTTACTACAAGGAATAATAACCCTCAAAGGAAGACAGATGTTATCTTTTTTTAGCTGAAGAAAGTCTGTTTTCCTTTCACAAAATACAAACCCACGTCCAAAAAAGAGAGACACAGTGTAAAATATAAATAGAGAAGGAATAGTTGATGGTTTGCAAATTATTTAAACCCTGTATTTGCTCGATGAAAAATGTATGCTCATTTAAAATTTGATGCCAGAATCAGGTTTAGAAAAAGGTGGGATGGGGACGTGTTACCATTGTGCTGTGTCACATCTAACAGCGCTGTAACTACATGAGAATCTAGAGGGATCTGTTTCTGGTTTTCTAAAATTAACAAGAAATTAAACCCTAATTTTTCATACTGTGACATATAAGCTACTTCAGTAGTAAAACATCCTTTTTTTGACTCTCTCAGGTTTCAGCCATGTGGAAAAGAACCGTTTTGAAGCCATGAAGAACTACATTCAAAGGCTCAGAGCTCCAGGGCGCCAAGTTCAAACTGTGGCCCCTGTGCAGAAATCACTGGAGCCATTCTGCCTAAAGTACACGTACCCTAAATGCCCCCAACTGAAACAAATTAAAGGTCTGAGGAAACATACCTTCTGTAATCTACTTCTATCACTGGAGGAACTTGGATCAGCCGCTGACTTGTTATTCACATAATCAATAGTGGAACTCATAATAACAGTCTTTTTTAACTTCATAGATATGGATCCGGTGCAAAACACTGTGGAGGATCTAATGTTAAGGATTGGTCATCTTGAAAGTATTGGCAACACCAGAGGAGTCTGTCTCTACACAATCGATGGGATGCCCCTGTCTGACGACCCCTTCTTCAACACCTGTGAGCGAACCTGAACAGTTTTTAACAGAAAAGAGTTGAAAGCAGTTTTTCAGTTTTACTTTTTTATTTGACTTTGATATGACTACAATAATTTTACACATGCTGAGGCATTTGTACTCTTGAATCAGGGCAGAGCTGACAGAAAATTAAGATGCGTTAAAGTCTCATCTTTTCTTCTGGAGTTTGTTGACTAATGCGCTCAAGGTTGGGGGACTGTGGGGCTCATGAGTAGAAGGTATTCATCAGTTGGACTGCAAAAGGTTGAATGATGACGTTGCTCTGTATCTGCTGAAACATTAATCATATTAATCATATTGATTGTTCTTGTTCAATGCAGGGTCTCTGAAAGACAGACATATTCAAAATGGAAATGTAATTTACGCCATATTTACACCAAAGGAAAACCTGAAACAGGCTCCGCAGGTCCTGAAGCGAGAAGTCGGAGAAACAAATGGAGATGACGTAGTTCGATGTCACATAATGCTCAGGGTGTGTCTAGAATAAGTTCAATTGTTTGTGTACGTATTCATGCAAGCTGATTTATGTGCTCGACTTTCTCTCTGTATATTCTAACATATATTTGTCTTAATATTTGTGCTTCTTTAAGGGAGATTTTGAGGTGTTTGTGAACTTAGCAAGTGACACCATCACCAGCCTGAGACTCAAGCTGGCAAATGAGAGTGGAATCCCAGCACATGTCCTTTATTACAAGTAAGTCCATTTTACCGCTCCAAATACTAATGTTGTTGGTAATGGAGACATATCTCCACCCGTCAATACTTTCCTCACTTCCCTTGTGATTGTAGGGGTGAACATGGCAGCGGTGACACCCTGCAGAGTTGTGGAATCTCTGAGAGGTCGACGGTTTTCTTCTCTTTGTCCACCTTTTGTGATGAGACGCCCCACGATGAGACGTTCTTCATCAATGATGTTGTGCCCTCAGTGCAGCAGACCCAGAAAGGAATCAGTGTGTTCCTGTCTTCCCTTTGTGTTATTGTAAGTTTTACATAAAGTCAAATTGAACAGTCCTGCTGAGAAGCTCTATGAATGGCACCAGTTTAGCACAGTTCAGGCTGAAGTCTCTCAACAGCTTTGAAATATGATGCCTACAGTTTGGTCAGTATTTATTGCGATGACTCTACTGAGCCCTCAGTACGGTTTGGAAAATTCTGTGAATTTTCAAAGTTGAAAACTTTCCATGGGAATTAACAGGAATAAATCTGAAATTAAAAAAATTGAGGGTTGGCCCTCAATAATATCAAAAGTATGTTTTGATAATATTATTATAATAGTATTAACATTTAACTTGCAAAAATTAGATAAAAATAGGTTCTAAATGTAAGCTATTTTTCATTTGGTGGTTGCTACCTCAAATGTTATGCTGTTTCTTCTGACTCCGGCAAGACGGTTTTCTGTAACCATACAATGTTTATACATCAATTCTCAAATATTTTAAAGACCCTTCCAGTTGTTTAGCCAACTATATTTTTGTTTATTTGCATTAGTGGTTTTATAAGCTTTTTTGTTATTTTATCCTACAGAAAAATGCTACGTTCGCCAGCTGATGTTTTTAATTGTGTTATTTTGCGTGGATGTCTGCTTATGACAAAACAAAAGTATTTACATTTCTGTTTGGATATGATACAGTTTGTTTAAATTACCCCCAACTTCCAGTTAATTCCCATAAATTCCCAATAATTCCCATAACTTCCCATGGAAAGTTTCTGGAAATTTACCTGAAATTTACCGGAATTTTCCGCCCCTTTGCAACCCTAGCACTTAGCATCAGTTTATTGGCAGTGTCCTTAAAACATGGAAGCATCATGGATGTATTTTGCATGCTGGCTTTTTTGATTCAGCTTGCAAGCCTGCCTGCATGGCACCAGTCTGCTACTGATCTAAAAATAATAGCTAAGATGTCGACCTATGTTATACATTTGCTTTTATTATCATTCTCACTGTTCCTTACCGCTGTACTGAAATACCCTTTTGTCTTCTAGAAACATCATTGCACAAACGAGCAACTGAAGAAGATGATCTCCTACATCCGTAAACTGACTGGATGTAACCCGCTCGCCCAAAGTTTGCATCAGTTACTTTCCAGAAACGAAACCTTGACCCGGAATCAGAAGGTAAATAATGGTCAAGGATATATTTACACCACTGTGCTGTACTTTCTGATGTTGGTCTTCTTCTTGGCTTCATGCATATTGATTAGTGCATCCATGCCTTTGGATGTGCTTCCTCATGTGCCTCAGGTTGCAGTTGTTGAAGGCCTGTACATGCTCTTCAGAGAGCTCCTGCCTCAACGTGGAGGAGGACAGCGAGGGGAGAAACTGATTGAAGATCTGGATGTCTTTGAGAACTCCCTCTACTGCTGGGCTCATCTCACATCAGAAGCAGAAGTAAGACGTCATGATGTTCTGAGATCAGGTTCCTTTTAAAGACTGGATTTAATATCTCTCAACACTTTATATAAATGTCGACATAAAGAACTTTGACTCTACAGTCATCCGCTCGACTCGTCAGGCCTTGACTTCTTCTGCCCGCCTTATTTTAACAGAAACTGACACCGAGCCATGAGAACTACGCACTAATAACTCTCAAGTCTGAAAATGGCAGCCGTTTCTGCGAACCAGTCAAAGTACCTGGAGTACCGGGCGCCTTTGAGCGAGCTGATGTTATCCAGAAAATCAAAGGTAAAACAAAAACCTGATAGGTCTGAGTAGACGTACAGTGGTTAATATGAGGGGAGGCATCATGGTAAATGAGAAAAGCTGCTTTTATTAATAGTGGGAAGCAGCAAAATCCAGTAGAACCAGCTTCAACTTGTTATCCAACTAAAATATGGTTTACTAACTATTCAAACATCTCAGTTTTGAACTCTGTGAGGAGCATTTAAAAACCCGACAGCAGTAAACAGTAAAGATAAAACGCTGCCGGCTCTTAGTGTTTCTTTTGCGAAACATCAAAACGCATTAAAGGCGTACACACATGCCCTGAAGATGCCACCCTGCTGTTGGGAAAACCACTTTTAAAACAAACATGATTTCTTTTAGAAGTTTGCCTCCCTCATTTGCAGCTTTTTTTTTTCCTCTTTCATTAAGATGGAGAGAAAATACCAAACTGCAGCGTGGAGGTTTTGCATGAAACATCTTTACAGAGAGCCAACGACATTGAAAAGATCCTGCTCAGTTTGCCTCCATTCATCAAAACATACGCTCTTTGGATCGACCATGACAACATGACCGGAAGTCAGAAGTTTGTATCTTCATATTTTTACTTTAATCAAACTTAATCACACGTTTTTCGCTGGTTTCAACAATATGCAACACAACTCTAAATAGATCAGTTAGCTTTATACTTCTCTCTCACCAACAAGCAAAACCAATTAATTACGAAAAAATAGTGTAAATTAGTGGAAAAGTTATTGATTCCAGCCTTGAACCTCATTTGAGTCTTCTCTTTTATGATTGAACAGCTTTCAGGTAAACATTGACAAGACCTTTGGAAGCATGGTGGAGGAACTGAAGTCTCCATCCTATCAATGGCTCAATGTGACTCCACCTCTGCATTTGAAGGATTTGGGGCATTGTGTAAACTGCCTTGTCTTGCTGAGTGAAGGTACCCTCATAAAGATAAGATAAGACGAACTTTATTAATCCCTGAAGGAAAAGTCAATGGATTAACCTCATTAAATATGGATTATTTCCTCCTGTGCACACACTCAGATGGTATCTGCATGCATTTTCTGATTTTTTACTCTGATCTAACTGGACAGCATTGTTGTCATCTTTCTCCTCAGACAACCTCGGGGTGTGTTTTTCCAAAGAGAAAGGATCCCCTGATATGATCAATGTGCTTGACTGTTTAGCTGGCAAAGACATAACAGTGGATATAAATGTGCTGGAAGCAAGGTAGAGTATCTCCAAATGCTTTATATCCACCCAATATTCCCCAGAGTCAAGGAAGCACACTTAAATATGACATATTTGTTTTTACACACAGGACAGGAGATCACAGAGATGACCGAACGTTTGTCACGACCAGGACTCCAACAGAGGCTGTACTGGTTTGTAACATTTAGTCCAGTCCTTCACTGATCATTTCTTTTTGATGAATCAAACATGAAGCATAAACCGATTACCAATACACATGAAATAAAAACAATACTTTTTCATACTGGATAAGATTTGGAGCACTCCGTCAGTTTGATATCCTTGATTTGAACCTTTATTAGGTTCTGATAGACACGAGCTCCTCCATGGAGGAAGAGTGCTACAGAAGTGCTGAAATCAAGAAGATCGATGCTGTCAAAGAGCTCTTTGACAACTTTGCGACAAGAACCATGGCTTATGATTTCCATCATGTCATCGGCCTCGTGAAGTTCGACTCCATGGTGAAGACTCTTCACACGTTCACTGAAAACCTGGAAAAGTTCAAGGTAAATTTAATTTGATTTTGATTAAACTTACTGAACCCGGATGGAAATGAAAGCAGAAAAATTGAGTTCATTTCTCTCTGTAGGAACATATTCGTAACATAGAGGCGAGTGGTTGCACTCTGTTGTACGATGCCCTTCGACGCGGGGCATCTGAGCTCGAAAAGGTGAAGGCGAGGTTCCCAGATTGTCGACTTCACATCATGTGTCTCACTGATGGAAATGACTCAGGGTACATTTCTTTCACTGTTCAAATCAGTTGAGAAACCTTGTAAATACTTCAGCCCTGAGTTCGTATATTTATCTGACAGTGTTAAAAAAAAAGGACCAAAATCCTGAAAAACAAGCTGACATATCCTCTGTACTTCCATAGATCCTCCATAGAGCCAGCTGCTGTCACTGCCAAGCTGCTGAAATCTGACATCGTTGTGGACTCGATCCTTCTTGGAGATGTGGAGAACAATATGCTGCACGGAATCAGCAATGCAACAGGTAAGAGGTGGCATCATTCACCGAGTCCCTGTCACATATTAGACAGGATTATTGGGGCCTACTGTAGTTGCAGAGTTTGGTGTGTTTTTTTAGTGATTTAAACTTGAATGAAATCATCACTGAATCTGCACAAGTTATATAGAGCTCACATGTAAGCCTGGATATTCAACACAGAACATCTTTCTTCATGCACTCACTCAGGCCCTTGTTTACCTCTTATGCACGTGGCTTCCAGGTGGTTGCTGTTTTAAACCACAGACGACCAAAGAGGGTCTGAAGCTCTTTGAGATGGAGACAGTCTTGTCCTTAGAGCAGAGGAAACTGAAGACAAAACTGGACCCATCCTCCATCACTGAGGTTAGTTTTGTAGATCATTTGAGGGGTTATGAAAATGACAGAAATCAGATTTGAATTCTGCACACTGTCTTTGTGAACTTCAATGTTTGTCCCTTTCATAGAGAACTTTGTTAAGTATCTTCAGCACTCATGAGTATGACGAGTGTCCCGAGACTTTAATGCCAGACCAGATAAACAGCAAAGTGACAGTGACGGAGAGGTGAGTGATTTCGTTTTTGCATATCTACTAAACGGGGCCTGAAAGTGGCTGCGCTAAGGTTGTAAAAAGTCTGTAAAAATAAACTTAAGCGTTTTTTTTTTTGAATAATTTTTATTTGGAAGTTTATAAGCACAGATTTATAAGATTTTTATATTACATATTTCCACTTTTTTTTTCTTTTAATTGGAACAGAGAACAATCCCTCCACAGAACATAGAACACATGACTCCGTATGTAAGGGTTAGCATAAATTCAAATAACAAAGCATTTACAGGTGAGGATACGCTATACCTACTTCTAATATATGTAATTACATGTGTAATTTACATGTAAAGTGCGCCGAATAAAAATAGATGTAGAGCGTAGTTATAACACAAGACACATACATACAGAAACAGTTTTAACATGTAAAGGTGGAATGCAAGGAGGAAAAACAAAACAAAAAACCTACAGGCCGTACTATAGACAATTTATGAACAGATTAGTACGAGATAATACAACTGAAGTGAGGGCAAAAGAAAGAGAAAGAAATCAATAATAAATAAAATAGTGCACAAGTGGGGTGTTAAGCCGAGGGCAGACTCAAGTTAAACCCACCCTTATAGAGAACACACAGATGTGAAAGCATTTTTTTAGTTACTTAGGTAGATACACCCTTTGTAATTTCCAGTAGCTACATTGTGAAGCCATGTTTGCTGTACTTCCTGTTTGCACCATGTCTTCAAAATTTGTCATTGCTCTTATTAGCGCCCTGAAGAAGAAGATTCAGGAGTCGAAGACGATGTGGTTTATGGAGACGGATAAACGTATTCTGGAAGAGCTGAAGAGTCTGCACTGTGATCCACATCCCTTCATCAAAGTCTTCCCCTCAGAGTCTGACTTCAGTGAGTGGCACATTTCATTGGATTTCTTTCTATCCGGGGTCATGCAATTGATCAGGGTGAAATTTTGCAACAAGTCAACTTGTGGCAGAATATATTTTAAAAAAATTCTGTCATCAGTTTATTTTCGCATTTCCACAAGTTTTGTTTTGACTTTTTTCAGCTTTCTGGAAGATTCTGATGCAAGGTCCGCCTGACACGCCATATGAGAGAGGAGTGTTTGAGCTGTACTGCCAGTTCGGTCCTGACTACCCAGTGAAGCCTCCGCTGGTCCGCTTCGTCACACCAGTATCCTTCTTTTTACTAGATTCAACACTTAAAAGCTCACAAGGAAAAATGGTTTTGAGGTAAATTAGTTAACTTATGAATCAGGTAATAATCTCATCATGGTAAGGCTGTGAATTCCCACTTCTATGATGATAATATCAGATGTTTTTTTCTTATAATTCTCAAAATGTAAGACTTAAGTCGAAGAAAAACCTGAGCGTTATGCCCCTCCCCCTCAGAAACCATTGTTATTTATTCCCTTGTTATTGCTCGTTCTTGTTACTGATGGAATAGTGTTACCTGTCAGCAATGAAGCGCTTTTCTCTTGACTTGGAGTCAGTTGTACCACTGCAATGTCAACAGTGTGGGTCGAATCTGCCATAACATATTTGACCGGAACTACAATGCCCACATCACCATGAGAGAGATCCTTGAAGCTGTTTACGGACTGCTAATCATCCCTGAACCTGAGGATCCTCTGGACAGGTGAGACTGTCAACAATGTAAAGTCACACTCTTGATTGAGATAGTCTGATTTTTACCATAAATAACTTTTAGGTGGAGAATGTTATAGACTCATCTTAACTTCATTCTGTTGGCTGATCACAAATGTCTATATTTCTACTTTGGAGCTGATTCTGTTGTTAATTATTTAGCTTTATAACTGTTTGACCCTGCAGTAACTCCTCATGAAATACTGTATAATGTATTGCCAGTAGCAGGATTATCTTTAGATTTTTTTGCCCTGTGAAAGCATTTTAGCAGAAGAGTTCATGACGAGCCGTGAGCTGTATGAACGAGAAGCCAAGAAACATACAGAAGAAACTGCAGGGAACTCGATGGATGACATGGAAAAAGTAAATAAGCCTCAATACAAAGAAATGAACAGATGAGCATCGATCTTCTTTGACAAATGACAGTTTTTGTTTCCATTTAAAGACAATGGTGGATCTAGTGGTGCAGTTCATACCCCAACATCTGATCTGTCCGCTCACCAAGAAGATGTTTGTTGACCCTGTGAAAACGGTGTACGGCACCGTTTACGAACGCAGAGCCATTGAGGAACACTTGAAACAGTGAGTTCATTTGCTGCTATACCAAAAGTTATTGCTATGAGGTCCTAAAAGTGACCGGTACCTGTTTGGAAACCACTTGGAAGTGTTTTGAATTGAACGTAGAACTCATTCCCACTTTAATTTAGACATCAAACTTAAAGCAGTGGTCCAAGGGCCTCTGTTAAAATAGAAAAAAAGGTTCACTTCTGCTGGTTAACATATTAAAGGGAGTGTATAACACTTCTTTATTTGAAAGTACTCCATATTCCTACACATTTGTTTGCCTTGAATGTTTACATTTATCATCACAGTTGAGTTGACTGAGCTCTCTCTGCAGACACCAGTACGAGCCGCTGGCCGGACCACCACATGAGCTGGAGATGAGCGACATCACAGCAGATCACGACATGAAGAAAATGGTGATCGATTATCGTTCATGTCAAATCAAATCAATGTGATCCGGAAAACTGTGAAGCTTGAATGAAGGATTGTGGGATCATCCTCAGTAATTTTATACAAACTGATCTCAGATGCTGATGAGTGGGATCTTCATGTCCCCTCAAAATGCCATGTCAGATATCAAAGTTCTCGTTGATCTCTAAATGCAAAATGCACTTAAATATTTTGAGCTGTATGAAAGTTAAAATGAAGCTTTTGCATCACTCATGTTGTTAGTTGTCAAACTTGAAGTGCTTTACACTATTACAACCTTTGTTTTCCTCACCTGTTCGTATTTCTCACAGGTGTAGTTCAAGTCAGTTGTTGCTCCCAACTTCGATTTTATATGCCATCAAAATCCCTTACTAACTTTTTTTTTATTCTATGAAAAACATTTGATTAATAAATGTTTTAATATATTATTGCTGTGGAGTAAATCAAAGTTCCAGTTTTTTGAGTTTACCGTTTTTTGGTGGAGATACAAAGAATTTGGTAAGGAACTTCAGCATCTTTCTTTCTTTCTCAGTTTACTCATTTCTGAAAATTTTAAGTTTATTAAAGCAGATGGTGTGTCTTAGTCGTAACGCACTGTCAGTTCCAAAGTTTGTGCTGCTTTGACACATTTAGCTGTGTCAGTAGCTTGGTAGGAAAATTTGGACTAATTATCGACCTTTTTCGTGAAGGGAAAACACGAGGAGCGCCACTTTTAATACGGTGCCACGCCTTTTGTAAGTCCACAAGTTCATAATTAAAAAAACATACAAACACACTGTGACTCTGTGTCTCTTTATTTTAATCACCCCCTCAGTGTCTCCTCAGGTCAAAGTTCATCTGCTTTATGATGTTAAGTTTTGTTCCTGATTTTAGTCGTAGTAAAGTTTAGCGTCTGCATTTATTATTTCACCTTTTCCACTGAGTGTTCAGAGGGGAAAATGACTGGGACTCCTGAGGTCATAGGTTCAAGCATTATCCAGGTTAAGGTCCATTTTAAAGTCTAGTGTCTAGAAAGACTAGTGTCTAGACTATGATAAGGACGATGACTTTAATAACGACTTTAGTATAAAATAGACGACTCAATAAAGACAAAGACTATACTAAAGACGACGGCAATTATAGATGACTATAATATAGATGTCAAAAGATGACTAGTCTAGATATTTTGACTTGACTTACTTTGATGGCTTCTTTCTTTGTTTTCTTCAAAACCTTACCCACCTCGGACTTCCTGCCTCATAAACCCCCTGTTTTACCTCTCCGGAGACACCAGGGGGAAACCCCACCCCCCGGGCCTGGTTCCCCTGGATTTGCTTTAGGATCTCCTTTGTGCCGAGTGGATATCGAACCAGGGCTGCCCGCTTGACTTGCATTTGGGTGTCAGTTGCCTACCCCCTGTGCCACCGGATACCGTCCACATTTGGGGATGAGATTTGCGCCCTTTTATCTTGGAACTTTGGCTGCTGGACTTCAAAATGCATCCTGTACAAGACTTGAACCTATGACCTCAGGAGTGGCATTCAGTCTCCTTATCCACTGAGCCATGTGAACACACAGGAATGTTTTGGTTTTCTCCTATTTGACTGAATTTTCTAGATGCTAGACTTTAAAACAGACCTTGCCCTGAATAAGGCTTGAACCCCCAACCTCAGGAGTCCCAGTCCATCTCCTTATCCTCTGAGCCATGTGAACACACAGGAGGACTCTGGTTTTGTCCTATTTGACTGTCCTTTCTAGATACTAGACTTTAAAATGGACCTTGCCCTGGTTAAGGCTTGAACCTGTGACCTCAGGAGTTCCAATCAGTCTTCTTATCCTCTGAGCCATGTGGACACATAGGAGAATCTTGGGTTTTCTCCCATCTCACCATCCTTTCTAGACATTAGACTTTCAAATTCTCCAGACTCTTAATAAGGGTTTGAACCTATGACCTCAGGAGTCCCAGTCAGTCATTTTCCCCTCTGAGCCATGTGGACACAGGAGGATCTTGTTTGTGTTCTCTTTTACTCTCCTTTTTAGACACTAGACTTTAAAATTCACCTAGGCCTGGATAAGGTTCAAATTCATGAATCCCAGTCAGTCCTCTTCAAACAAACAAGATTAAACAAAATGAGTCTTAAATGATATTACACAAGAGCAGATCTCTCTTCCTTGGGAGCAATTCTCCTCTCTTTTTATAGGCAACTAAATCTTCAACCCACCTATCAGAGAGTGTACCAAGTACACAAAAGGGGAGCTCAAGACGACAAGACTGATTGATTGATTGATTATTTTATTGCCCTACTTTTTATTTTTATTTTTTCCCCTTGTCTAAACATGCATTGTCACTTTCCCATATTATTAAGTATTTCTCACTGATATGTTATTACAATATGGAAATTACTGTATTGAACTGATTCTGTTAAAAACAAACAAAAAAACAAAACAAACAAACAAAAAACAAAGAAAACAATAAGGTGGGGTAAAAGGGACTTAATTTTGGACCTCTTGTTCCTCCATAGCCGCAGCCGTTTAACGCAAAACTCAACAGGAAGTGGATTCATCTTACTCTCAAATAAAAGTTTGATAAATAGAGTGAATGCATCATAATCTTAAATGTGATAATACATTATAGGTTCATAATTAGTAATTAGTAATCGAAAACATATCAACAAATAATGCCTGACATTTGACACCACATTCCGATGACACAATCAAGCTTGAACGATTGTGCTCTTACTTTGAAGGCTATGACCGGAAGTGTTTACACCATATTTAAACTTAGTGCTTCACTCGCGGTTGCTAAAATGTGCGGGTCTGACTGAGGGCTCGCGTAAATTCAAGTGGAAACAGGAGGGATCTGAGAGCAGGTAAGTGTTCGCTATATCAGCCAAATAACATCTTAGTAAATGTTGTTTTTCTTTCTTTATTCTCCACAATGTTCACGAAGTTAAACCTCGAGTCTTGGCTGGTTTTACACTCACCTCAACAGGTAGACTTACTGCTGAGCTGCCAGCCGTAATGGTCACGATAGCTTCAGTTACAAATCACGAACTGCCTCATTGATATCAACGCTAATCAATATGTTTGACAGAAGAGTGTCCTTTTGCTGTTTCAGAAACTAGGTTCTGGAGTTTAAGTGGATGAGTTTACGACAGTGTCAGGGCTGGCATGCTTTTGGTTGTGTATATGTAATGGGATGAATATCTCAAATATGTACTTTGAGTGTATTATACTTCAGATACTATTTTTCAGTAAATCAGGAGTTTTGGTTAAAAAAAAAGTTAATTACCTAATGTGCTGAGTTTTTTGCAAGCAAAACAGTCCATATAAATCAGCAAAAAATAACAAAACAGTGAAAATAATGTTGTTCCAAAAGAGTTTAATGGTTTTCCTCATTCTTTTGTTGAAATATTCATTTTTACTACTCTAACTCAACAATCTGAATGCTAATCCCTGCTCTGTAGCTCCACACTGCAGTTTCTTCCACAAAGTATTTGCAGAGAAGTAACTTGCATTTCCTGCAGAACCTGTTCCCGTCCTGTTTTTTTATAAATCAGTTCACAGATATCCTGGAGATCGCAAACACTGAAACCCATTTTAAAATCCTCACACTGAATAACAATGGCCGTTCTGTCTGTAGTTTTACCGCCTGTAAGGACTCAAAGATACTAGAACAAGTACTTCCAGGTTTCAAGTCAACATGTGGGGAAACCCTGGAAATGTTAAAGCCCGTGAATTATGCCAAGATACTGCAGGTTCTTGTGCTAAAATGTTAGTTTCTGAACACATGCAGTGGTGTTTATTGGCCCTACACTTTGTAAAGTGTGGTTAATAATTTTCTTCACATTATTAAAGTCACAAATATTGGGAGAAATCTGTGCATTAACTCTTTTAATGTTCTCTGATTGACTTAGTTCCTTAAAGCTATGGTCTACGATCTGAAAACCAGTTTGGCTGTTGAGACAGATTTGAAAAACGCAGCCTGCCCCCCCTTCACTCACCCCTCCCCTCCGTGTTCCAAGATCCGAACCGCCGGGGTACAATGGTTTGGATTGGTTGATTATTATGCCTTTTTACAGCGGATATACTAAATGGATTTTTTTTCATTCTTTTTGATCTTTATATTGCGTAGATCGGACCATAGGACCATAACGGCCTTATAAACGATGTTATTAATAAGTACCAAGCTTCCAAATGGTAGACCATAGCTTTAAATTGGTTACCTGAATGAGATCTTCCTCTCTGACCCTCTTCCTCTACTTCTGTCCTGTTTGTTCATTTTTCAGAGATGTGGTGGCTGCTGTGGGTGCTCGCCATCTTACTGGCTCTCTTCTGTTGTCTGGATGTGTGGTACTTCCTGAAGGCAGTTGCCGTCGTCCTGCGGGCATGGTTCCAGCCTCCTATCTGGGACATTACAGCAGAGCAGACCCTCACAGGCCGGGTCACTCCACATGACATTGACTTGTGTCACATGAACAATGCTCGCTACCTCCGAGAATGTGACTTTGCCCGCCTGTCTCTGTATACTCGTAATGGTGTGTTCAAGGCCGTGCGAGCGCTGGGAGCGTCGATGGTCGTGGGGGCCACCACCATCAGATATCGCAGGCCTCTGTGTATAGGCGAGGGCTATGAGCTGAGGAGTCGCATCGTGACGTGGGATGACAAAGCTTTTTTCCTGGAGCAGAGATTTGTGTCGGCAAAAGACGGGTTGGTGTGCGCCATCATGTACTGCAAGCAGAGCGTCATCCGCAGCAGTCCAGACAAGATCATGCAGCACCTGTGTAAGAGGAAGGTAAGAAACAGGAGTGTAAGCTCATGCAGATTTCACTGATGAGAGAGATTAAGGTTCAACAGAGAGCTCATGGTGTTCTCTTTGCAGGTGGAGTGTCCTGAGTTCCCAGAGGATCTTCAGCACTGGGTGAACTTCATCTCTGCCAGCAGCCAGGCCCTCAGAGCGGAGAGTGGGCTGGAGGAGAAGGACAAATAAGACATTTCATGGGCAGCTATTGAGACTGGCTTTTTGTAAATCAGCTGATCTGCCAGCTCAGGATTACAAAGCCCTCTGGGAGAGACATTTGTCTTCTGAACAGAAATACTTAACTGGAACACACTTGTGCCTCTACTTACTTGAATGCATAACACTACATAACACCTGTATCAACACTTTTGCAAACCACAATGAAAATTTCTTTCTCACGAAAAGGGAGGTATTATGACTATGATTGTGGAAATGGTTTATTCCTGATAAAAAGCAATAAAACAATTCAACTTTGAAGTCTAGTTTATGCACTTTATATTCCTCCACTGAGCATATAAAAATTCTTTCTTATTTCTAGTGTTTAAATGAATTTAGCATCAAAAACAAACAGCCTTATTAATGATGTCTTTAAATAATTCCAGCACTCATATACTTCATGATTTAAAAATATATTGTATGTAACTTTTACAGCTTTCAAACCCTTTTCATATTAATTTTGATAAAGTAGGGTATGTGTGAAAGGGAAAAAAGTTACTTCAAAGTGCAACCTGAATCAAAACAGTTGATCTTTGAAACCCAATATCGAATTAAAAATAGGGCAAATTCAACAAACCCAATGTTGAAAGTGAAAAAAAGTAGGGATATGGCTCAACTTACCTCGCTCCTGTGAGACCACTTTATTTTGTCATGCTACATTATCAAGACAGTTATGTTTACACTCTTTCTGTTGTTTTGCAGGTATGCACAATATCTTGAAATATATGCAGATTCACTAGTTAGAGACAAAACTATGATTACCTTGATGTAGTGATCTGAAACATGAAAAATGGCTCATCTTACCCCACTCTCCCCTATATTATTTGCAAACCATCAAATTCTACTTCATCCACATTTGACACTGCTTACAAACTGAAACCGTTGGACTCACTTTAGTCCTGAGGGTGTCGCTATAGGAGCGCCGGGCCACGTGCTCCGCCGCTGAACTTCAACAAAGAAGAAAAAAAAAAATCCCAGCAGAATCTCGTGACGTCACGCACGCGGAAGCGACATGCTCATTCATTCTACCGGTTTTTCCAGCGCATCTCATGGTCGCGTTATCCCCTGGACGCACAGTAAGTTTCTCAGACACAGACGTGATAAACAGCTTATTTTATTAATGTTTTATATTGGATTGTACACGGTGGTGTTAAAAAATAGCTCCTTTGTTTGTGAAGCTTGGTTTCTATCCTGCTCAGGCCGGCAGATGTTGTCGGTTAGCAGCTAAGCTAACGGATGAGTCTGTGAAAGCTGCAACTCTGGGTTCAGAGATCCTCTCAAGGTTGAAACAGATGATCATAAAAGTAAGCTGCTTTCCTGCGCTTACCTATAATAACATTAAAATTAATACCTTAGTGTTTTCTGTTAATTTACTCTGACATTGTAGAGGTCATACAAGCATTATTATTTGATACTTAGTGGAAAGAAATTCATCTAAACTCAAACTACCTTATACAAACATCTGTTTAAAGGAATTCAGATGTAGCATACATATAACTTATATTCGTGGTATAAAACATGGTATTTAACCAATGCCTGGGCGATTTGGCAAAAAATAATCATTAAGATATATTTTATCATATCATCCAATCTCGATTATTATCACGATTTTTTTTAACTGCCTGTTTTACAGCATCAGTACCAAAAACTAAAGAAAACTAGAGATTAGTTCAACATTTTATTTACATACAAAGTAAATAACAGAGCAAATTGAATAAGATAAACTTAGGAAAATATAAAGACCATTTTAACTCAACATTACAACAAATGTAAATACTAAATAATACAGTGAACTAGTTTACAGACCTGAGTGTTTCTGCAGGTATGCAAGACCCAAAATAAACAAAACGCCCCCTCAGGGATAATGAAGACGCCTTAAAATGTAAACATTAGATGATGAACACGTAGATGATATGCATTTAGTTGTTTTAAAATGTGCTTTATAAATAAACCTGGATTGGATTGGATGATATGATTGATTGCTGCTTTGGTCTGGCACCCCTAGTTGTGGCTAAACTGCTAATGCTACTTGTGCCGTCACTAGTGGCAGGCTGTACAGACTCCCCTCACATTTTCATGCTTTCTGCATAATCACTCTGGAAGTACTTCTTCAAACAATTAAACAGATCTATTGTGTTGCCAGTTCTGAGGGCACCGACCGCCAGCATACCTTGCACATCTGCTTGGTTGCTCGACATCACTTTAGAGATACCCAAACCACCGCCACACAACTGATGTTGAATAAAAGTCATGGCTGACATCTATTTTGCTGCCCTCAGCTCTGTGTTTAGCTCCACGTTCGGTCATTCTGTTTACTTCTCCGGCAACTTACAGAAGTGGGCAGGGAAAGCTTGACTCTGATTGGCAGGGCCCGACAGATACGGATTTTTTGGGGCTGATGCCGATTATTAGGGGGTGAAAAATCCGATTAACGATTAATCGGCTGATTTATAAAAAATTTTTTTATAAAGTTATAAAAAATATATATACTGCAGATATACTGTAGGCTACTGCTCTTCACGCCGACAGGAAGACCGACTGATCAAACTTCGACCAGAAGAGCGATTTCAACTACCCGAGTTCAAGTGGGTTGAACTGAAACTTGTTGACTTATTGTGTATTTCACTAACTGGTTTATTTACCTATGAGGGGGACCACTCTCCTCCGTGCGTCCCTGAGCTGCCTGCTTCACGTCACTCTGCTGTGCTGTGAGGTAGAATTTTTCAAATGGCAGAACATTTTCGAAGTGAAACCAAATCTTATTCTCTGCATTTTATTTCTGACAATATTGGCAAAAATCGGCGAGTTTTGGCCGATTACCAATTAATCTCAAATGGGCTAAAATAAGCTGATTTAATCAGTCGGGCCCTAGTTGTGACGCACATTTCTGCTATGTTTGATTGAGTAAATATGCTCACAGCTGATCACTGTGGTCGAACTGAAATTTATCACAATCATCGATCACGATCATATAATCGCCCAGTCCTAATTTAACCTTAAACTCCAATAAATCAGGATGGCTTTTAACCCTTCTGATTGCCCTGTTGTTCCAGAGAGATGCTGCTGCTGGTGCTGGGTGCCCTCCTCCTGCTCTTCTGCAGCCTGGACGTGTGGTACTTCCTCCGTGGGGCCCAGGTGTTTGTGGAGGCGTGGTTCCAACCCCGAATATGGGACATTCTAGCCGAACAAACCATTGAAGGCATGGTCCTCCCCCATGATTTGGACTATATGGGCCACATGAACAACTCCCGATACCTCAGGGAGTGTGACTTTGCACGCTTCCATCATTACATGCGAAACGGGCTGTTCATGGCCTCACGCAAATTGGGGGCCAAGATGGTGGTAGGGGCCTCCACTATACGATACCGGCGCTCCCTGGCTTTCCGAGAGGCCTTCGAGATTCGGACCAAAGTGTTAGGATGGGACGAGAAGGCTTTTTACTTGGAGCAGCGCTTTGTGTCCAAGAGAGATGGTTTTGTCTCTGCGGTCATGCTCTGCAGGCAGAATGTGGTTCGCTGCAGCCCAGAGACGATCATCGAATATGTCTGCAAAAGGAAGGTGAGTATTAACTTGTGACTAAAGGTCCTTACACACCTGGAACGATAGCAAAATCGACCGCGATTCGAAAAAATATATGCTGCAATATCGCAGGACAGGAAAATGTCGCTGATGTGAAGGCTTGTATTGACAGGATACGGGTTCAAAAAAAAATACTGACGTCCGAAATAATCACACCAAAAAAAAGGGGTTAAGATGTATGATTGTATGAGTGTACGTACTTTCATTATGCTATTATCTCTGAGTGTTGGTTTGTTAAACCACAAAAAAACATCCATTACAATCAAAATAGTATACTCAAGGCAATACCAAACTAACCAAAAAATCATGTTTAAAAAAAAGGGGAATTTTGAACACCTAGCAGCCCGATTTAAGTCAAATTATCAGATTATTTGATAGAGTGGCAAACATGTCCGTCAGAGTTTTAGGAAAACTCAGCTGATGCTCTAAAATCGACATTCCAAAATCCAAAGGTCTACTTATCCCACTTTAGGAAGCTTGGGCATGAAAGTATTCTGAAGTTTCATTAAAAACATCCTCAGATGTTCAATTTAATTGTTCATCATTTCACTGTTGTTCGAGATTGACTACAACTTTTTTCACTTATTGTTCTTTCAATTTGGTGTCTGTTTGCAGATTGAGTGCCCAGAGTTTCCTGAGGATCTCAAACACTGGATCAGCTACATTTCAGCCAGCAGCCAGGCCCTCCGAGCCGAGAGCGGCCTGGAAGAGAAGAACAAGTGAAGCCGCACCGTGACGCCATGAATCATGAGTGTAGACCCACATATCATTTACACTGCACGCACACATACAAATGGTAAACATACTCACACACACACACACACACACACACACACACACACACACACACACACACACACACACACACAAACAAACAGTTAAAAACAATGTAGAGGGTTTTTAGTTGACGTACCAGATTCCATTTATCTCAGTCCTACCTGCTGTGTAATTTTTTTGTATGACGTGAACAGAAATACTGAACTTGAGACTGCTGAACATGAAAACTTGAACTCCGAAGTATTCCATGTTTTTAAAACGCACAAACTGTAACGCACTGGAATCATTCTGAAGGTTCTCCGCTCCGAAGAAAGTGATACAATAACCTTTATCTGTGCAGCTTATTCCGACCGGCTTTCATTCTCATTTAGCAAAACTGTTCGACTTTAGATTCGCATGTAGAGCCAAACCTAATCGTCCACTGACATTGATGCATGTTTTAAAAAAAGGAAACAGAGGAATATTTTTGTGCCTGTTTACTCGATTAGCTGTAGCTTCCACTTACAGTTTCAGAGAATTATAACTTTCTAAGGGAAAAAAATGTAGGTGCGATGCAATACTTGAATGAATATCATGAACGTGTACTGACTACTGTTTTGATCTTCCCATCAGCATTTTGCACAACAAGCCCATGCTGCATCCATGTCATCAATCTGAAAGGAATTCTTAGATTATGAAGGATCCTTGTATCATTTCAGTATTATTGTTTTACTGAATTCTTGCTTTTAAAGGGGAGGCTTCTTGATTAGAGCTGCATGTAGTGTTAGAGAAAGTCCTGACTTGATAAGAAAACGCCAGTAAGACGTTGCTAGCTACTATTTTAAACTTTTCATGCACAAAAAGCGTGAATGCTTGGAATGATATAGTGAGAAAGCCTGTTTTAAAATCTTGAACCTGCCCTTTAATAATTTAAAGCTTTATTTTATGACCAAAGTAATGTATTTGCTTGAAGATGGGAAAAAAAATCAACTCATAAACATGTACGTCTTTCCTGTTGTCTTTGTTTGAATGGCACTTACTAAAACAATCCTGTTCAGTTATTTTTGTTTGCTGACAGATGGTAACCTCTTATTTTCCACTGAAGTTAGTTATTTATGTTTTATTTGAAAAGTTCCATGTTATTTATCATGTCTGTTCATTATTTAAAGGCATTTTAAATTAAAAATGTATCAGAAACTATGACTTGGTGATGGTTTTCTTTACGTGTGAGTCTGTGTGGTTTGAAGTCCTAATGAACAGTGTTTATAAAGGACATTTATGGCTCAAAGGATTTGTTCCCTTTGTTGTTGGTCAGACTGGTCTCAGTTCCCCTTGATAATGAAACAACAAACAATGTTTTGCAGCTTGAAGTGCAGGTTTTTCAACAAAGTCAGTGTATATATACATTTCTATTGAAGGCTGCAAGCTTAGTTTAAGGTTCTCTACTATTACTTTGCAACTTAAATTCAAACTTTTTGTACTAGAGGGATTATGGTGTTGGGTTTTATTCAGTCAAAATATCAACAATTTATTCTGATGCCGTTTTGCCTCATCTAAGAGGAACTCTATTATTTAAGAATAAGAACTTTATTGCTTTTGATAGCTACCAGAAAAACCTTTAAAATGCAGCCTCATGTAAGACAATTATGAAAGACCTCAGAGGGGCTCAACTCTTTCTGGTCAGATTCACAAGTGTCGAGACGCCGTGTAAATACTGGATATCAACTGTTGGAGCTGTAAAGTTGTCCAATTATAGAGTTTACCAGAATGGTATACTGAAGTAAGATGGCCGCCGTGTAAGGACGCCGGTGACTCTGTCTCGAGTCCTCTAACCTTTCCAAATACATCAAAAACTAATAGCTATTGACTGATATTAAAAGCTTTCTTTGTACATACACCACAAAAATGCTTCTTAAACGTATTCCCGCCTACCTTTACATTTTCGCCAATACATTTCGCGGTTTATGTAACTTCTTCAGTATCTTTAAAAATTAAAATCCCAGAAAGTGTTTCCGGTGACGTCACTCCAGCCGCGCCCCTTCCTCGTACTTCCTGTAAACAAAGCAGCAGCTGTCTGTCTGTCAGTGGGGCTCCTGCGTCTCCTCCCTTCATTCTCTTCCTCGCTTTTCTAGGTGTGTTTCGAAAATGGCTCAGGCTGGAGTGGTTCTGGATAAGGACCAGTTCAACTGCTCGATATGTCTGGATGTGCTGCGGGACCCCGTGACCATCCCCTGCGGACACAGCTACTGCTCGGAGTGTATAGAGAACTACTGGGACCAGGACGACTATCTGGGGGTTTTCGTCTGTCCGCAGTGCAGGCAGAACTTCAACCCTAGGCCGCTGCTCGCCAGGAACACCATGCTGGCAGATGTGGTTGAAAAATTCAAAAAGACCGGACTACAAGAGGCCTCCACCCCCGGGAACCAAAGCTTTGCCGAGGCGGGCGACGTGGAGTGCGACGTGTGCACCGGGAGGAAAAACAAAGCGGTCAAGTCCTGTCTGGTGTGTCTGGCCTCCTACTGCGACATCCACGTTCAGCCCCACTACGAGTCTGCTGCTTTCAAGAAGCACAAGCTGGTTTCTGCCTCCAAAAAACTCCAGGACACGATCTGTGGTCAACACGACAAGTTACTGGAGGTTTACTGCCGGACGGACAAACAGTGTATCTGTTATCTGTGTCTGACCGACGGGCACATGGGACACGATACAGTTCTGGCTGAGACCGAGATACAGCAGAGACAGGTGATCAGATCGATACTCATGATCAAACACGGTATTTACTCAAGGATAAACCTCATGAAGGAAGGACACTTTATACTTTTATGTTAGTCATTCTTTATAGTGTTGCACGATACAGGGTTTAAATGGCAGATCTCACTCTGATCATTGATATGTTTCACTTTCATTTTCATACTTTATTTCATTTAGTTAATATTTAAAACATTCAATACAAACATATCGAGTCTGCCCCTCTTTCATAATCTATTAATCAACTAAACACATAATCAATATAAACAAGAGCTGCAGGCCAACATGCCTTTTTACACTTCATTATTTCTTATCTTCAAAAATAAACCAACAAAACAAACAGAAAAGACCACGTTAATTCACAGTTTTTCCACAAAACAAACATACCAAGACTTAGATTGACATATTTCCCTGTATTTACTCAACATACTGGCTTTGACACTTTTTTTTTTAAGATAAAATTTAATTTAGTTTCTTTGTTCAGATTGTTCGAATCCTTTTAAATTATAACAACTTTCTCTTTTTTTCAAATGGGCTCTGGATGTTGACTGGTAAAACTTTCCTATTAGCTTTATACATAATCTGCAACAGACTGAAATCTACTTACTCGTTGAATTTCAACAAGAGCAATCTAACGAATAATGGCTTTGAAGGATCTCTGTATTGACTTCTACTAATAATTCATATTGCTCTTTTTTGTCAAAATTGGCTGGATGGAAGTTTTCAACGCAGTAACTATTGAAACCAAACGGGTATTTATCCCGTTTGATCTCATCTTTCCTATCCTGTTCCAAAATGTCAAAACTGGTTGTTTTCCAGTCTCTCTGCTGAAAAAAGAAAACCATAATTTGAATACGACAGGGTTTATTTCGCTTTGAAGTTTATTTTTGGGCTTATATGCTGAACTGAAACTGTGGACTGAGTCAAACCTGGGCTGCCCGGGCTTCTTGTGATTTAACTCATGAGCCAAACTTGCACCTTTTTGCCTTAAATCAGTGGTTCTCATCCTGTCTCTCTCTTGGACCCAGATTTTCCCATTGTCCTGAAGTCGTGACCCACTTTTATAAAATTCAAACCAAGCAAATTTATTTTTTATATTAAAAAAAATCCTTAAAAGACTCTAATCTTTCACATAAATACACCTATTTTATTGAGTAAAGTGCAGACCACATGAACTGAGGACGACAACTACTAAAGTTGCATATACAGAAAATATCAAATTTCAAATTGCACGAAATAAAGATAAAAAAAATATATGTATTTTTACTGCATTCAGGCCACATTAATAAGAAACCGAGGAGGACCACGACATAACACTTTCAAAATAAGCTATTTTTCAAAATAAAAGACATGTCAAACATCAGATGCGCATTAGATATTTACTTTTTTGACCAGCTGTTCACGACCCATCCAGAATGTGTCCATGACCCACTTTTGGGTCAGGACCCACCAGTTGAGAACCACTGCTTTAAGTAATATACCACAACGCAAAGGTAATACATTGAGCCATCAAAAAACTAATGCTCATATTTAGGCGTTTTAAAAATCAGTGCAGACACTTGCTACTTAAAATATACTTCCATTTCTATCAGATCCTCGTGATGTTGAAGTAGCATCAGTTTACATTTTCATTATCTACCTCAGAAAGAGCTGTGTGACAAGAAGCAGAGCTCTCAGATGAAAATACATCAAAGGGAAAAGGAGGCCCAAGAACTGAGACAAGCTATTTTCTCCCTCACTGTAAGTACGAACACGAACTTTGGTCTGATTTGTAAATAAAGTGGTACCACAGTTCCCTGTTCTTACACCCATAACAACCCATGTGCCATATTGCTCTGTCTCATTATCAGCGCTCTGCTCGAGCAGCAGCCGAGGAGAGCGACGCCGTCTTCACCGAGCTGATCCGTTCCATCGAGCTAAAGCGCTTCGAAGTGAGAGAGCTGATCAAAGCCCAGGAGAAGACGGCTGTCAGTCAGGCCGAGCAGCTGCTGGAGAAGATCCAGAGGGAGATCGCTGAGCTGAAGAAGACTGAGGCTGAACTGGACAAACTTTCCCTCGCTGAAGACCATATCCATTTCTTACAGGTAAAACCAGCTCAAACAGATTTCATCTTTACTGTATTGTACAGTAGCAGCCTAACTCTTGATTTCTTTGTGTTTCTACAGAGTTGCCAGTCTATCCATGTACCTGTACTGTCTGTGCTGCCCTCAGTCAGTGTTGAACCCTGCCTCACCTTTGGCCCAGTGATGACAGCGGTGTCAGACTTTAAAGGGCTGCTGCAGGAGGTCTGCCAGGGAGGATTTGTCAGCATCTATGAGAGAGGTACACGGATTTTTAATATTATATCAAGTGTTTTTATCTGATACAAACTTCGCTGTGAATGTGTGATAATCATATCATGATGGGGTTTGATATTTCTTTTATTCGTAGTGAGAGATGTGATCATAGTAGGACCCTCAAACCCTTCAGTCCAGCTCGATGGAAGGCAGCCCAGTGAAGGTGCATCAGCTGTGGACATGGAAGCAACACAAGGTGAGAGTGTGATCAATAAGTGCTCTTCTTTTTGGGATAATCACAAAAATGAAGCGAAGAGTTTTTGACTCATCCGTTCAGCCGAGTCGATAGAGGTTTTATTTATTTATTATTATATTATATATTTTTTAATTTGTTTTATATTTGTTTTTTATCTACCTAGGTATTTTATATTTGTTTTTATTTATGGTGTATTTGTACCTCAATTTTACTTTGCTGTATTTTAATCTTGTATTCTGTGTTTTGATCATATTGTTTACTGTCTGTTTTATGTATTTCGCTGTGTCTTGTTGACCTGTACAGCACTTTGGTCAGCTTTGGTTGTTTTTAAAGTGCTCTATAAATAAAGTTTGAGTTGAGTTGATAAGTCTTCAAGTGATGGTTGAAATTTTTGTGTTCTGCTCAGTTTTTGAGAGTCTTTCTACAGCAGAACAATTACACGTTTTAGCAAAACTGTCTTAAAAAGAACAAAAAAAGAAATATCCTGATATTACTTATTGTCTCCTACTTCAAATTCTTTCAAATATATTCGTTTAGTATTAGATTTGAAATGTTAAATCCATCCCTTCATGTATTCATCTGTATCCTGCAGACCCGCTCAGTGTTGACCTTGTTTAATGATATTATTAGGAATAGCTTTTGGTATTTACAGCAGAAAAGTACTAAAAACAGTGTTATGAATATCACTACATGATGCCTTTGCTTGTATTTCCCATCAGACCACATTCCCACGCTACACAAACACCTTAGTCAACCTGTTTGTTTATTGTCCAGTCTGCTGATCGTGCACAAGAGGAGATGTGACTCTGCTGCAGACTCTTACAGAGACTCTGCAGTGATAACGTTTGTTTTTCTTTGACGTTTCAGTGATCCCAACAGCTGGTCTAGACCAAAGCCCTGTGAACCCGCTCAACCCTTTCCTCAATCCAGGACTGCCTGTGCCTGTGCCTGTGCCTGTGCCTGCGCCCACATTCTCCTTTTCACCATTTGGTAAATACAACCAATAGCAACATTCTTGTATTTCAGCCCCAAACAGCCTGCAGAACATTAATTATTGCAAGGAAAGATTTAAAGTTCTGCCCAATAAATCTGGCAAATAATAATACATTTTGGTTTCTGGACTCACAGGAGAAATCTTAATTGAAAGACTGTGGTCGCAAATCCACAACAAACAAGATCAACTTGTTCCCCACAGTTATAATTTATTCAGGAGGAGGACTGGACTCTTAAATATTGTTGACAAGCACTGAGTCTTAATGTCGTTTAAGTAAGATAACTATTTGTCTCACAAGTTTATTGCTGCAAAACAAAGTTTGTATTTTGCGTCTAACTTTTAAGATAAATTTCACGTGCAGAAATTGAGGAGTGATGAGATAACATCAGGAATCTGAGGTGGTGTGCTGAAGTTTGCAGAAAGCACCAGTGCATGACAGCAGTGGTTTTGGCAAACAGAGACAGAAACCAGAAATTTCACAGCGTAAATAGATCACCAAATTAAGAGGATTTGTTCATCAGCTGATCGAGAGAATGACATGTCAGTGTAAATAAGTGCATTTTGAGTTGTTAGCCTGAACTAACTCACTCCTTTAAATAATTACTTCAATAGTTTATAACTTTCAGTTGCCAATTAGTGTTTTCTAGTGAATATTGCCCCATTTCTTCACTAATATCGTCTCTTCTTATTCCAGTAATATGCCAGTCTTAAGGTCCTTTCACACCGGGACGATTATTTTGGATGTCTATATTTTTTTTCGAACCCGTATCCTGTCAATACAAGCGTTCACATCAGCGACGTTTTCCCGTTCCTGCGATATTGCGGCATTCATTTTTTCGGATCATGGTCGATTTTTCTAAAGTTTCGCATAATGTGTGTCCACTTCTGACCAATCAGATTTCGTGTTGTTGCGACATCTGATTCACCGGTATATCCAACATGGCCAACCGGCTGATTGTTTACGTGTTGGAGAACAGAGTGATTTTTGATAAAAGGCACAAACATTATAAAGATAATGACCTGAAGGACAACTTGTGGTTTGTGTGCTTTAACGCCTTTGTTTTAACTTTCACCTGTGCTAACGTAAGCTAACGGTTGTTAGTTTAATGTGCTTATCTGGTACTGGCCCCAACTCAGTACATGCTATCATGACAGACAGCCATCTCAACACTAGAGTCTAGTGTCTAGTCCTCTGCCTCTTCAAACTTGGAGCTAATTGTTTGAGTGCTTTTTGATAAAAGGCACAATGGTTTGTGTGCTTTAACAGTTTGCTAAACGTCTTGTTTTAACTTCTGTGCTAACGTAACCATAGTTTCATGTGCTTATCTTATCCCCTCTAATTGGCTGTAAGTGCTGACCGTTTGGCTTGAGCGTGTGATGACGTTTCCAGCTTTTCTAGCCAATCAGAGGCGAAGGAGGCGGGACTTTCCCCAGGAAAAGTCTTCCCCGGGATCCGCGTTTTTCGGAAAGTCGCGAAATCGCATCGACTTGATGCGTATAGTCAGGCGCGTCAAAATTCGCCTCCGAATATTTTGTAATTTTGTGTTCTATATTCGTGTCGGCTCCGGTGTGTGAGGACCTTTACACTTATCTCCACTTTCTATCCAATCAGCTTTATTTAAACGACATACGTTAACAACAACAAAGTTTCTAAAAAGGCCATTCAGTGAATTAAAATTGTAAAGCTGACAAACTTTCCAACAGAGGCAGACTAAACGAACCACTTTCTGAGGCACAAATATCATCTGTGTCCTTGTATCATTTATTTAACACAAACTTTCAAAGGAGCAACAAAACCTCTCTGAAGTGATTTTCTTTTGACTCCATCTTAACCTTTTTTCGCAGCCTCAGAGCGCAGTGCATTCATCGTTTCTCTTCTTTCTGTTCAGGCTCCAAGTTCTCCTCAGGATCCAGACAGAGGCATCTGCAGCGACGTGCTCACCCCAGGAGGAAGTAGAAGAAGAGAGGAGAATAAACTCAACATTTCACCTGCAACAACATAAGATGAATGTCATTATACCTCAGTGCTTTCTCCAGCTACTCTCACGAATCCTCACCAACACTAACCAACAAAGTGTGTATTTTATGATTCATGTTTTGCTATTAATTGAACTGTTTTGGTTTCAGCTATCAATTTGACCTGCAAAATTAATTTAAGCGCAGGTAAAGAGAAAAAAGTTTAACGATTAATTTGCTAAAAGTATTAAGCAGCTCAACCTACAGTTCATCTCAGTATTGTAAGAAAGATAATGAATACTTTGTATTATTTTAGTTTTTTTTATTTAAAAGATAAAAAAGGTTATGCTTTTACAGTAATTTATCGTTTGTTTTTTAACCAAACCTACAAGAAAACTGTTTTGCTTTACAGTCGTGTGTGAAAACGTTTTGTGATTCGTGACAAGCTGACATTAAAAAGAACATTTCGCTTGGACAAAGAAAACCATTTCTCATGTCTGGTGTTTGTTTGTTTGCATGACGGCTAGTTCATATTTCACGGTACTATGAATAAAAACCAAACAGGTGTACTTTAGAGGGGTGTGTTAATAGGAGGTTGTTTGCACAGTTTCCTGGAGCAGCCTGCTGTGATTGGAGGCCTCGAGGTGCGGCAGCTGAAACCAGAGAAGCTGTTATGAGCACACCTGAGAGACACGCCCATCTTTGTTCCTTTCCAGTCTCTGCTCAGAGTGTGACAGAAATGGCAGCAGCGACTATTTCCATCGAACAAGACCAGTTCTGTTGTTCAGTGTGTTTGGAGATCTTAAGAGACCCCGTGACGATCCCTTGCGGACACAGTTACTGCCTGGCCTGCATTGAAGACTACTGGAACAGAGCCAAGCAGAAAGGCCAGTACAGCTGCCCTCAGTGCCGACAGGTGTTTAATCCGAAGCCTCTGTTAAGCAGAAACACTGTTCTGGGGGAAGTGTTGGAAAAGTTACAGCAGTCTGGACTTGCAGATACAGCGCAGCACCTCTCTAAACCCGAGGAGGTGACATGCAGCGTGTGCACAGTGAGGAAAACCAAAGCTGTTAAATCCTGCCTGGTGTGTTTGGAGTCGTACTGTGCGCCTCACCTGAAAGTCCACGATGAGCGCTTTCATGGGAAGGCCCACATGTTGATCTCAGCCTCAGATCAGCTGAAGGAGAAGCTTTGTCCACAGCACGACAAACCGCTGAGGCTGTACTGTCGCACTGACCAGCAGTGTGTGTGTTCTCAGTGTGTCAAAGGGAGGCACAAGGGCCATGATGCGGTCACAGTGGCGGACGAGAGGGCAGTACAACAGGTGAGTGAAAATAAATCTTCAAATCTGTAAGCAGGTTGTTTCAGGGCATGAAGACCCTCGAGGAAAACAGGCGGAATTTCTGTCGCCTCAAATACAACTCAAGTTTACCGTGTGAAGTTCAGAATGAAAACAGAAAGAGGATTTACCTGAAATACTTGATTTTACATGCCAAAGTCAGGTCACTAAATCATGTCAGTACTTTTAAACCTATAAAGCTTTTTGTTTTGGCCGGTGTCTTTTATTATCTAGATGGTGAAAAAAAAAAAAACTTCCCATAAGAGCTTTAAGGAATACTTTATTTTGGGAAACATGCTCCTAACTTTTTAGAGAGCTTAGTGAAAATATAATTTGCCCTCCAATTCTCCATTTTTAGAAGTCTTTCCAAAGAACTCTGCAAATGTGCATGCAAAGGACAAAATAAGAAAAGACTGCTTTGTCCATAGGGGGCACCAAAACTGACACAAACAAAAAGTTCCTCACAGAAGCTTTAATGTAGAAACTTCTCAGTCCTGTGTGAACACTATAGTATAAAATAAACAGACATTTACTTAAACAGCTTTGTAAATAAACATTTTCTGAATTAAGATATTATCTGCAGGACATTCACTATTGAAGGGAAACATTCAAAGTTCTGACCAATAAATCTGGCAAATAATAAAACATTTTGGTTTCTGGACTCACAGAGGAAATCTTGATCTAAAGACTGTGGTCACAAATCCATGACAAACAAGATCAACTTGTTCCTCACAGTTTGAAAAATCGTTTTATCCATCAGAACGTTTTAATAATTCTGAGAGAAATAACTTGTTTACTCATCAAAACAGACCTAATATTTTCTAAAGTGAGTGCAAATACATCCTGTTGCTACTGACACTGAAGCTAAAGTAAAAATGCCGACTGAGCAGGAAAAGACGCTCTGATCTTTAGTCTCATGGCCTCAGGAAAAGGTCTGATTTTGGGTTACAAAATAGACAATTAGTTTGAGGCACTTTGTCAGATTTTACAAGGAGGTTTTGGTAACCTTTGAACAGCGTACAGACACCATGAGTTCTTGAATTTCTAGATATTGGATATTTGATTCAAGCCCAAACCTCAGTAATATCTACGGTGTTGTTTCAGAGTTTAATATGTTCAGATGACTTTTATGACCCTGAAAAAGAGCGCCATTTGGAATGCAAACTGTGGCTCTTTGCCTTGAAAAGTCCCCAAAATAGCTCTCATAATGTGTGACAGATTGTGATGATAACCAGTGGCCACATCAGCAAACCAAATAAATGAATAAACAACTGACTCACAGGTGATTTACATATTATCGGTGCAGCGGCATGCAAATGTTCCCCTGAACCTCATGCAGATTACACCTTACAAAACACACCATTACAAAGTGTGTTTAATGTCCAAAAGGAAAGATATGTCTGTTATAAGCAGGGATAAAAGCTTCAGTACTTCAAATAAGAGAAGTTTAAATGTAGTCTTGCAGATGTATGTTGGGCTCTGATGTGTCAGGAGTTTGAACTGATAGAGCAAAGAACTTCCAGCGCAGTCCAGTCCTTTGACAGAAAAATCTAAACTTCCATCTGGAGCCCGAGGGGGAGAGCACCGTGTGATATTCATCTTTTGTACTCTCCCAGAAAAAACTCCAGGACTCCTCTTTGAAGTCTCTGCAGAAACTGAAGGATGCGGAAAAGGAACTCCGATATGTGGTGAAATACATAAAGGTGAGGGTTTACTCTGCGTTTATGTTGTTGACACACGGTCAAAAGTTGTGTGCGAGTACTTACGAATCAAAGAGAACGCTTGATCATCCGCAGCACTCCACGGAGGCGGTGGTGGAGGAGAGCGAGAGGATTTTCACCAAGCTGATCCGCTCCATAGAGAAGCAGAGCAGCGAGGTGAAGGAGCAGATCAGAGGGCAGCAGAGAGCGGCTGTCAGTCAGGCTGAGGAGCTGCTGGAGAAGATCCAGAGGGAGATGATGGAGCTGAGGAGGAGCGACGCTGAGCTGGAGAGGCTCTGCCGCTCTGATGACCACCTTCACTTCCTGCAGGTACAGAACAAGAGAAAACTCAACCAGGGCTGTGGGAACAAGTCCAATTGAAAACATACAAAATTTAGCTGCATTATAAACATGCAGATGATGTTTTCAGGCTTTATCACCACGATCCTCATCTGTAAAACTCAAGCCTCCTCTCTGTTCTTTTTATTTTGTCTGTTTTGTTTGGCCGCCAGACACCCCCTTGAAAAATGACTTCAATCTGAAGGTGTTGAGCACAGGTTGAACTGAATAAAAATGAACCTAAACCTCTAAGACCTTTACAGCCGACTCTCTTTGTGTCTCTGGCTGTTTCTCCGAATGACAGTGAGATCAAAAAGTGACCTATGGCATGCCTCACTGTGCGCCTGCAGATCAGACGAGCCAGAATAAAAAGTGGCATTACATCAGCAGAGTGCAGCACAGCATCCATAACAAATATGTGTATGTCACATAGACTATACAGTCGATGGTATGTCATTAAAATAGCTTATGTGGCTAACAGGCTAAATTGCCTCAATGTCATCACTGTCTATTTCAATGCTTCTCTTATAGACAAAATCAGTAATGTGTTGTGGCGTGCTGGTAATGCACTACATAGATGGCCTCACCACATAGCTAACTAATGACCTGGCAGCACATGAGGAGGCATACTAAGTCAGGTGTTGTAGCTTAGAGTTTTTTCACTCTAGTTACTCTGGCTGACTTTAAAAAAAGCTAAACAAATATAAGATTCAAACGGGAACAATCACAGACAAGGATCAGCCCCAAAACCAACCAACTCAAAGTTTGAAATTCAAGTAGAAGCTTTGTTTTTGGGGTTGATTTTGATGCTGAAGTTGGGTCCCTGACACGCACAGTCAGTTTAATCTTTAGCTTATTAGCATATCCTGCTTTTAACTGCCCCTTGTTGGTAAAACAGTCTTGTGGTGAAATGGTTATCACACACATACAACATTTTCAGAGTTGTTGTGAGTACATTCCCATCAAAAGTAAAATTAATTCACTGGCTCCTCAAATCTTCAGATGAAGGAGGCAGAAAAAGACTCCTGTCAAGAACCAAGCAGAGGCTGGGTTGTAGCTTTAACATGGTTGTTGCTGTACCCGAGGGGAAAAAAAGGCGAATGCCACTTTAGCAAAGAAGTTATAGGCTATGTTCACACTGCAGGTCAATTCCGATTTTTTAACCTCTTTTGTGTGTGGATATAAATCAGATATGTATCCAATGTGACTGCAGTATGGAAGCTCAGGTCGCATTCATCTGACTTATACGTCATCAATCAAACAAACAGGCACGTAAAGCAATTTGTTCTTTGTGTGCATGCAGGTCACTTCACGAACGCATTCCGTTCACATTAGATGCCGCATTCGTTGTTGTAATGTGAACGACCGCACAAAAAGATTGGATTGAATAAAAAAATCCGAATTGTGCATCATAACCTGCGGTGTGAACGTAGCCTTGGAGGGCTGGGCTAACGATTATCAGGGGCAGAGCCATCAACATGTGGGAGAGGCTGATGCGGTTATGTCATCATAAACGCACAGTTTTTCCATCTGCCCGTTTGTGCTCATGTTTTCGTGGAGGAGGGGAAAACAAAAGAGGGAGAGAATGCCATTTTTTTAATGTCGGGAGGGGTTGTCGGCTTCGAGGGGATGTCTATTATTGGTAGAAAACCACCCAAAAGTGGATTTTTCATAATAGGGACCTTAAATGTTTTAAATCTGTGTAAGTAGCACAAATCTTTTTTCAAAAACAAAAAAATCAGTTTCTGATTTCAGTTGTTTTCACACCCAAGTGCAGCTCTACTGAGAACTTTAGCAGTGAAAATTTAAAATCAGGCTGCTTAGCTGTTGAGCTGTTAATCTCTTAATCTGCAGTTGTAAAAAGCATCATATCCACAAAATCATAAAAATATTTAAAATCGTTATTCTTTATAATAATTAACTTATTTCAGTGAGTCACAGAGCGGCATCGGCATTAATTTCAGTTTCATAACCAGATAAAAACTCCTCTTTCACAGGAGGTTTAAGTTCACCTCTTAAAGTAGAAATTCTTGAGCCTTCTTTAAGCGGTCTGGTAAATACAGGTCTTCACCTTTAGTCCCATAACCCTGCGAAAAGGTCGGTTTTCAAAGCCGGACTGTAAACAAGAAGAAAAAAAGAAAATTGCAAAGAAAAAAAAAAAACATGCTTTCTTGTTTACCTGAATCGTATGAAGCCTCCTTTTTTGTTAAAAGATAGAGAGTGGATGTTAATGTAAGACTGAAAACTAATAACCACATTCAACAAATACAATAAAGTGAAAAAATGAAACTCAATTAAAACTGAAAGGAATCGAACATAATGAGCACAGTTTTTAATTTTATATAATGCACATTTTTTCAAATATGTGGCTCTAAAATACAAATGTTTTATCCATCTTTATTAATAACATTCAGTTTGAAAGTTTGAAAGGTCAACAGAGGAAAAGAGGTGTCAGTCATGCTGTTTATTTCCCATATTTGACTTGCAGTGATTACTTTTCTCTTTGTTAAGTTCCACACAAACATTTAATTAAATATCCCTAAAGTTCATGAAGATAATCGCCTCATTTTTGCAGGATTTCATTTGCAGTGTCAATTTTAAAGTGTTTCTTCCTGGTTTGTCACAGTTGTTGTATTTCCATCCAAATCCTGTGGACTCATTTGTTTTTGTCGCTCATCTCCGCAGAAGTGTAAGTCTCTCCACTTCCCTATGAGGAGTGTGGAGATGCCGAGCACCGACTCTCTTCAGTATCAGATGTATAAAAGCATGAGAGGAGCTCTGGCTGAACTCAAAGACAGTCTGGATGAAACTCTAGACAAAGACTTTGACAGAATCTCTGGGAAAGGTTTGTCTCTTTTAAAGTAACTTAAAAGAAGTTTACTCTTTTAAAGCCTGAACCGTAAATACTCACTGATGACGTTTTTTTTTTTGTATTTCCAGTTACGTCACTAAAGGAAAACAACAACCACACCACCTCTGAAAACACTAAAGGTAGGTCAAGTTTGTTGGCAGGTAAATGTTTCTACAGAATATTCCTTTAATTGTACAGGATCATATTTTAAGTTTGGATTTAGGATGTTTTTGGGTTGAAACTTCAAAATTTTTAATCCAGAACGTAAACGCAAAAAAATTGTACCGTATTTTTCGCACTATAAGGCGCACCTGATTATAAGGCGCACCATCAATAAACGTGTCTATTTTCATACATAAGGCACACCGGATTATAAAGCGCATTATGCCAAACAAAACAGTCAGATAAGTTGATCTTTATTTAACTCATTCTATAACTCCGCGAGGCTACGGTAGCTGCAGCGCTCTGACACGCCAAAAGGATTTTAAGTGCACCTTATAGTGCGAAAAATACGGTACTTCCTGACTAAAGTTCCAACTTCAATTAGGGGTGTTCCGATACAACTTTTTTACTTTCGATACGATCCCAACATTGTAGCCTTAAGTATCGGCAAATACCGACATTGATTCGATATTGGAACAAACTTGTGCACGACAAGTTTTGCACTCAGCTGCAACATTTTTTTCCGGATTTCAACGAAAATACTGCCACACAGCTGACATCACTCCTACTCCTTGCTACTTTGTTTGTACGTTAGCACACGCTCTTGTTGTGATCATGTGGGTTCTGCATGCTGGATCCAGGCTCTGGAGTGGAGTCTGGAATGGACTGCTTGTATCAGAGTGCCGATATCAAGGATTTTAGATTAAGGCTGATATAATCCAATATTTGTTTTTTGGCTGATATCGGACCGATATCATTATCATATTGGGACAGCCCTAACTTCAATCCTTCTTTTCTGTTGTCCAACATCCAGCTTTAGTTGTTTATCCAGCAGCCAGAGACACCAATATACTACATAACTCAGAGCCGAAGACAAGAGATGATTTCCTCCAATGTGAGCACACGGTTTAATCAATCTTACTGGGACTCATCTCCATGAAATATGTCCTTGTATTGTTGACAATCTGCCTCATCTCTGTCCAGATTACAGTGAAGTGACCCTGGACCCGAACACAGCCAACCCTTATCTATCCTTCATCGATGGTCGACGAGGAGTCATCACACGTCTGGACTCTCAGCCCTACCCGGATCACCCCCATCGCTTCAGCAGCTGGGCTCAGGTGCTGTGCAGAGCCGGGATGGCGGGACGCTGTTACTGGGAGGTCGAATGGGCCGGGAGCGGAGGGGTTTCCATCGGTGTCTGCTACAAAAACATGAACAGGGCCGGAGGAGGGAGCGACTGCAAGCTCGGACACAACTCCAAATCCTGGAGCCTGGACTGCTCTCCCTCGTTGTGTTCCTTTCAGCACAATAAGGAGAGTGTGACCATCGCTGCTGTCTCCTACAAAAGGATAGGAGTGTACCTGAACTTCAGGGCTGGGACTCTGTCTTTCTACAACGTGTCTGATACGATGCATCTACTCCATCGAGTCAAGACGGCTTTCTCGCAGCCTGTATATCCAGGTTTCTGGGTGGGTTTGGGTTCCACGTTATATCTGTGCTCACTTTAAATTTTTCCTACAGGATCCGAGTTCTCAGATACTGTTAGATAATGGAGGTGAGGTATTTGAGTTTGACCGATAAAAATAATGAAACTGAGTCGGACTTTTTGTGCTCAAAACTTAGCATTTTTATTAACCGTGCAAGCCGAGAGCAGCAGCGACACTTTGGTGGAGCGGTTTAAGAGCCTGTGTGGAGCTTAGATCTTGTTGAAGGCGGCGACATCTACACTCTGGACCTGCAGAGACAGAAAAGGTGTAGAGTTATCTGAAAAGCTCTGAATGTCGCATGGTGATCAAATCTTTCATTTTAAAGTGATATAAAAGTATACTATGTAAAATGTTTAATAAAGAGTTTACGGTGTTAAATGTGTCATTAAGACGTTATTTTTCCCAGGCAACGACTGAAATGTGAGTATTTAATCTGAAAACACAGATCAATATCAGACAGATCACTCAGTTCAGCTCATAAAGCTGTCCGCCTGGACCCGTCCATACTAACTCGATTAACCCGACCACAGCTTTAAAGCTCATTGATTAACACCTGATCTTGTTTGAGTAATCCATTTAAAACATTAAAGCACAAGAGCGACTGTTTATTTGCAGGGGGATGTGGGTTTAGGTAACATGTAGCTGTCCTGACTTTATTTTACCAGAGCCTGGTTCACCCAAAAAAAGATTATATGTTTAATCCTGTGAGGTGACGGGACATTTTTGCCTGACAGTGTGCCGTCATTGTTGCTCACTGCACTGATTTCACTTACAAAGTCCTCAAACTTGGTGATCTCTTCCTCCAGGATGTCTGTGCCGACTTTATCGTCCTCTACCACGCAGTTGATCTGCAGCTTCTTGATGCCGTAGCCGACTGGCACCAGTTTGGATGCTCCCCAAAGGAGCCCGTCCATCTGCACGGTGCGCACACACTCCTCCAGCTTCGCCATGTCGGTCTCATCGTCCCACTGAAGGAAAATAGAAACAAGACTTTTTCACATTTGATAGACCATTGACTTAAATTTGAAATCACTAAATGATAGAAGAGAAAACCCAGTATGATTTATCTGCGACATCAGTCAGGATACATACGGGCTTGACGTCCAACAGAATCGAGGATTTGGCGATGAGGGCGGGTTTCTTGGACTTCTTGGCTGCGTAAGCTTCGACGCGCTCCCGCTTCAGGCGTTCTGCCTCCTCGTCCTCTTCGTCGCTGCCAAACAAGTCCATGTCATCGTCGTCATCGCCGTTCACCTGTTTGGCTGGAGCGGCTTTTACAGGGGCAGCCTGGTCAAAGCAACAAGAAAGGACAGAAATATGAAGCGCTCTTCGTGAAATGTTTAAATTCTCTTTTCTAATTTTGCACCTATTAAGAAATTGACCAAAGTGATATCGATCATACGAGTGCATCAATGAATAAGGAGGAGAAACGTTAGAATCAAAAAGCACATGTGCATTTTAATGTAGCTACTTAGAAGAAATTCTGTCGTATCCACCTTGGCACACGGGGCTGCTGCTGCTGCAGGGGTCTTTTCCAACACAGCCACTCGGGTCTCCAGCTTCTGCAGGGCCGCCCTCATGGTCTCCACCACTACCAACAAATAAATCAAAAGATTAATAACGGGCGGCGGGTAGGCAAAGGCTGAAAACATAAAAACGTGCTCATCACTCATTCTCACACCTTTGTGCAGGCTCTGGTTCTCCAGCTCCAAGCTCTTCATGCGTGAAACCAGCTCCTGATCTCCATGTGAGGATGACTGAGGGGAGCATGAAGGAAAAAGGAGTGATCACGTGTCCTGCTGCAGGTCAGGAGTCAAGTTTAAGAAAACAGGTTCACCACCATCATTCAGTGGGTACAAACCAAGCTTTGAGAGGGGAAGCAGATGATCAAAACAAGACCATGCAGGGCTTAAATCCATTATAGAGCAATGGTATCACACAATCACACACACACACACACACGATGCTGGTGTTGAAATTAACTCCCTCTGGTGTTTATCATGCAGAAAAACAAGACACTAATTAATTAAAAAAAACCTGGAAAACAGTCGTTTGATTAGAAATCACCCTCCCCAAACACACAAACACAATTACTCCTCCAGGAGACATTTTGGGAAAAATCGATTTGATTCCTTTAAGAGAGGAGTTCGATCCCTCATACTTCTTCAACACCAACCTGTCGAATGACTTTTATCAATCCCAAGAGTGGAAGAGAGTTTAAACAGCCAAGATTAGGATAAAGACTGATAAAAGGAGGGCAAAGATCAGCTTCAGCTTAAAAGAAGAAGATAAATTAAAAGAACAAAATGTTTCTTTCTCTTTGACTCGATTTCAGTCTTTATCTGAAGCAAAGCGACATCAAAATATGACATTTTCAGCCACAAAGCTATGAGCTGCACAGTTCTTAAAAATGTGAAGCTATTCTTATGAAGTCCATCATTAAATCTCTTGTGGAAGTTACATGAGGAGTATGAGGACGTGTTAGTTGATGGTAGATGACAACTGAGTTTTTGAACCAGCACACAATTTCCTGCTGAATTATACACACAGTGATTCCCAGTCCAAAATTACACACAAAACATTAGTGGTGTTGACACCTTAAATTAAAAAAACCAAAGCCGGGTGTTGTGGGATGAGAAGTCTGATTGTATCACACTCCACTTCAGAGAAGCAGCAGTCACAGCCGTCTGTCTCAGCCATGCAGTGCTCCTGGCTCTGAGCAGCAAAGCGGAGCTGATCTACGACACTTACGTTTCTGTGCTGCCGTTTCTGCTGGCGCCCTTTGCCGTGCTGCATGGCCGATTTCACCTACACCCCCGGAGAGATGTGCACGAGGGTGGCAAAGGTGGAAAAACCACACAAAAAAAAAAACAGAGAGGAGAGCAGTGGTTGCAGGTGGGAAAGTCAAACACTTCAGGGTCACGAGTCAGAGAGTAGGAAAATAATTCAAGATCACATGTGGTGTGAAAAGAAGGTGTTTCAGCTGTTTGACTGCACATTTGAACCATGAATACTAAAAACACTGGCACCATAGTGCACAAGGGTTCACCAGGAAAACTCATACGCCCTACAGGCTAGGGGTGGGAGAAAAACATCCATACAGCATCGTATCGTGATATTTTTTTTGGTATAGTCTCATTTTTTAAATTAATAACTAATATGAAGTCAAATCTATGATAATGGAAAAATAAAATCAAATGTTTGTCCAGTGAGGTTGACAGAGGTGACTTCATAGAACAGGAGAAAGTTAGAGCAACAAATAAAGATGTGCTACATGACAATAAAGTACAGCATAAATAAGACAAACATAAAGAGAAGTCAAATGTTAAATTAGCCAAACCATTGAAAAATATGGATAAATCGCAATATAATGTGTCACAACACTCACTGTACTGCAAAATGTTAAAAATCGCAATAGTATCGTATTGTGAAAATATCGTATTCTGGGGCCATTAGTGATTCCCACCCCCACTACAGGCAGATATTTTCACAGTTCAAGCTCTAACATAGTGTTGGAAACAATATAGCATCTCTTTCATATTTGGTGAAGCTGGTTTCACACTTAAAAAAAGACCAGTCGTATTATTCAAGTCCTTTTAAAACCAGTATACAGGTAGGGGTTCCTGCCTCGCCAATTTATCTGCCTGTCTTATTTTTAGCTGATTTATTTTCAGATTTTTATTGTATTGGTTTTCATTTATTTCTTATTTTCTTTTATTTATTCACTTTATAATTATTACCATTTTTGACCTCCATTCTATTTTGTTTGATGTTCGTTTGTCTGTTGCAACAATGGAAAAACAATAAACTTTGACTTATTAAACAAACAAACATTTAAAAAAAAAAAAAAAAGGTATAAAAGGTTTAGAAAGCTGTCTGCTAGCATTACTGTTCCTCTGGTTCATATTGGCCAGAATCTGACTGCAGAAACTTCAACACACACCATGGGGGCGAGATTCAACAAAGTGCCAAACTTATTTTAAGGGTCCTCCCAACCTAATGAACTTAGCTCAGATAATGTTCATTACTTTCTTTATGAAACTGTTTCCTAGTGCCTGCCGTAAAAAAGCGTTTTTGCTTGATGAGCTCAGGAACTGTGGAGGTAACCGAAAGATCAACTTTGATGTATTAAAATGAAGTCAGTGACTCTGGAAGAGACCTGCTTGGACTTCTATCTGAACTCGGTTTGGGTCGACAGAACAATCACAATGTAAAGGGGGAGCTCACATGCCACTTGTGCAAAAATACATGACAACACTTATACCACACAGTACACATATTTATATCTACACATATATAACAGCAAATACAGCTCAACCAATTTTATCAGTGGTTGGATCTCAGCCAATCTACTTCAGGAGCTTTTGCAGAATCCACATATCGCTGGATTTATTGCTCACACTGGCTATTGATGATTTCAGAAATCAAAAATTTGTTGAGCTCTAAAAGCCAAAAGACACGAAATGTGACAACAAACTCGACAGCAGCTTACAGATTGCGAGAAGGACGTTGGTAGAGGCAAGCAGAGGTGAAGGAAGAGAAGCACGTCATTATAAATCATCACACTTTTTTTCTATTGAAGTGCAGACTCATGGGCTTTTCCTGGAGTCTACACTTTAATTATCACATCTCATTAAAAAGAGCTATTCCCCTGTTTAAGGTCTGGAACCTGGACACTAGTGAGTACAGTCCTGCCAGCACAGGGGATGTCCCTGAAAATCATTCGTAGTACAGTACTCACTCCGTTTATGGACTGCTGGATATTCTGTCGGGATTTAGCAATGTCCTGCAGGATGGCATTAACGTCTCTGTCCTGCAGGTATATACAGTGAGTGTGTGGGTAAAGCAGTGAAGCAGCAGGAGCAGTGAGGAAGAGTTAAAGCAGCATGCAAACAGACAAAAGCAGGACAGCATGAACAGCGCATTGTACACACTTTTGACAGGATCTGGGTCGCCTGGAAAGGAATCATGTTGTCTAAAAGGACAAGCAGTCAATCAAATAAAAAGAGAAAAGTGAGCTTTGTGCTTATTTACTTGAGCCTCGTGTTGCAATAGAAAACTTGAACTCAATCTGGCAGCAGGCAGGAGGGCACACCAACCCGGTGTGACAGCCTGACCTGCAACTCTGAAAAGGTGCAGCTGTTCTTTTCTCACGCTTGTACATGTTGTACTACAATGTGAACCGCTTTTATCTGAACTAGTGCTGACCGAAGGAATAAATGACAGCAAAACTGTCGCCACATAAGCGGGGGATTATTTTGAGAAACCAGGCTGAGATCCTTTTCACCGCCTCGGCTCTGTTCAGGGAGCGGTCGGGTCATGAAACTCAAACACAGCACATGTGAAGTTTTCTGGGTCAGTAGAGAAACGTGGCATTTTGTAATCTGGGTGAAATGATACTTAAAAACTTGGATCTTTCTCCAGTTTCTCTCCATGGTGTCTCAGATCTGTGTCAAAATCTCCACTGCTGCCTCGAGCAGCCTGAAAGGCAGAGACAGCTGCCAAACCACCTGACCCCTCTCGTTGGGACGAGTCACTTCTAAATAGAGTGGCTTAACCTCGCAGGCACACAGCTGCTCCGGGCTGCAGCTGAGGGTGATGTAACTATTGCTTAATCTAACCCGGTCAGGGACTCACAGGGGGGCATGGACTGAGCAGGTGAAAAAAAAACTTGAAAGACAGCAACAAAAGAGAATCGTAAATGAAGGTAAACTGTCCAACAGCGGTCTCTTTGTCTCTTTGTTTAAACAGAAGAAACCCGCTCCAGTCTAAACAGAAACAACCTTTGGATTGTTCTACCTGATGGTGTGGTGTGGAGGGTCCATTCGCGCCTTCGTAGAAGCACCTCTCGGCTTCATCGTAGCGGTGTTTGTCGAACCAGATGTTCTCCGAAGCCAGGCACTGAAGTCCACTCATGTTGGAACTGAAAGCAGAAGTTACAAATTTAGCCGACGATGAAAAAACGAAACGCTGGTCTGCATCAAAAGTTTAACTACCAACAGCAAAACAAAGCCGTTACAGCCAGCACAATAAGAGACGTAAAATAAGCAACAAAAACATGACTTCGTTAAACGCCTGAGAAGGACAGCTTATTTTACAGGTTACAACGCGTCATGCAGAGCCACACATGGAGCTTTAGGTGGAACGAGGAGGCGAAACAAAGCGGATCACAGACAGGTGTCTTCACAACTGTAAATAAACGGCAGAATAACAGGAATCAGACTCTGTAGACTGGAAGCTGACATAAAAAAATGAGACTACAGCTTATTTATTTCACCTCCCTCCTGGTTTTGCTGACTGGTCACTGCAGCAGACAGGCATGTTCACATTCCTCAGTCAGTGAAACACAGCTGCCTGGTCTGCAAAGTCTGGATTACAGAACAAAAGGCTGGCTGGTGTATACTGACAGCATTCCAATATGGACAGATAAGGTCCACTTTAGTGTGTGGATGTATATAAATAACTCACTCATAACACCAAACACTGCAGTGCACTGCTGTATCTTAGCATTTTCAAGAGGGATGATTTTCCCCCCAGGTAAGACAGCTCAACCTCTCTTTGTTTAAGAGTTTGTTACATTTATTCTCTGAAAGAAAAAAAATTCAAAGAAAGTCAATCTAAAAAATATAAAGAAGTATTCAACACTAGACAAGTTAGATCACTGAAAAAAGCCAAACAAAACTGCAGACAGACGACAAATTCAAATAAAAACAGATTTACAAAAACACCGTGGAGGTTAAACGAATCAACAACAACACACATCAAGTCTCTCCCATTCTCTGTGTGAGGTTGCCATACTTGTCCCATCTGGGTCTGTACTCCGTCTCAGAGAGACCTCTCTTCCTCTGGCTGGGCCCTCTGCCGCCCCTGCTCCCCTGCTCGGTCTCAGAGGAGGTACGATTGCGGCCTCTACTGTAGTGACGGTGGGGGGTACCAGAGGCCCTCACAGTGATGGGATGGCCCTCCTGATGACCGCGGTGGCCGCGGCTTGACTGGAACGTCATGTAGCCTCTGGTGTTGGGACTCCTGGGAGAGGACGACATTGGTCCGTAGCCATCTGAGGCAAGCCGGCGTTGGTAGTTATGATCGGCCTGCTCATGGGCGCCGCGGTGGTGCCAGATTCCCTCAGCCTGCATCCCCTGGAGGACGGGGCTTCGACCATAAGAGCCTCCTTCCATTGAGTTGCTCAACCACTCGTCTCCGGAGCTGTGGCCCTCAGAATGAGACAAACGCATATGTCGCTGCGGTCTACCAAAGTGGACTTTGTCCCCACTGATGACGCTTCTCTCCAGTGTGGGAACATTGCCCTGCCTGAACGCCCCCATCGGCGCAGCAGCATGCTGAGGGGCTCTTCCTTGCTGACGGTCTGGAAAAGACTGATCCATGTTCTTTCAACGGGGTTTCTCCTCTACTCACTCCAATGTTCCGGTTATAAGGAGAGAAAAGAAGCAACAAGTGGAAGCTGGAGGCATTAGTTCAGTGTGAAGTTAGCATTACAGGAGCAACTCTGCTTGTTAGCTGCATCAAAGAGATTATAGAAGAGCGGATATGTGATGCATGTGAAAAAGAGAGCAAGGACATGATGGATTGATCAAAAAGTTTGAAACTTTTGTACATATTCCTGAACAAGAATGCTCATTATAAACATATCCTGAGTCAGCTGTCAAAGGGAGGGGCCTCATGTCTTCAAATTATGGCACAAATTTACAGAAAAATTACAGGTTCATTGATCAATCTCACATCGGAATTAAAAAAGCAAAGCCAAAACTATTATGGAATTTTATGGAGCAATGCATAGGTGCAATGCAAACAACATGGTTAGGATGAGTTCCCAGTGTTTCCTTCATAGTCAATTAAAATCTGAAATTTGAGTTGAAGTTTTAAGAGCAAATTTAACTTGAAACCCTGATACAATGAGACGGTTACAAAAGAAGAGAGGGGCTCTCCCTTCATACACCAGTCAAATCAATGAGGAAACACTGTTTGATTCGAGTTTTCATTTTGTGCAACAACGTCTGTCTCACCTTTGTTTTGGCATGCTGAAGGAAAACGTACACTCCCTACTGCAAAGTGAGACATTTATCATGATGCATGATGTTGTGACTGATACACAATAATCATAGATATAAACCAAAACAGTAACATTAACCAAAATCTATCAAGTTTCAAAACAGAAGCATCAGTCGGCAAAAATAGCATCTGAAACACGCTACTGATATTTTCATGCATGAGGCTACATGAATACACAAAAGACTATTTTTAAAAACGCACAAACTAACAAAAAACATCTTACTTGGAAACACAGGTGATGCAAAACTGTTAGATATACATTTCTCAGTTGCCAGTTTCTGTGTGATATTGTTTTGGTACACCAAACTGAAATAACTCAGTTTACATCGAGACACGCCAATAAAGAAAAGGTTTAAATACTACAGTTTTGGATGTTACAGTTTTAAGTAGTTGGATTATTCTTAAGGTCCTCACACACCGGGGCCGACATGAATATAGAACGCGAAATTACGAATAATTCGGAGGAGAAAAATCAACCGTGATCCAAAAAAATAAATGCCGCAATTTCGCAGGAAGGGAAAACGACGCTGATGTGAATGCTTGTATTGACAGGATATGAGTTTGAAAAAAACATATTGACGTCTTAAATAATTGCCCGACAAAAACGGTTTCAGTGTGTAAGGACCTTTAAAACATGTATTTCAAAAAAAAATATCCTGCCTTTTAAAAGAATCGTAACAGAGAATCGTTAGGAACCGGAATTGAAACAAGGAATCAGAATCGGAATCATTCAAAATCAAACAATACCCAACCCTAATTATACTTAACAAAAATAAGACGAGTCTATTGTTGCTGAAGCATCTTCTCTCTTAAAGGAAACGTGCAAAATTTGTCTTTTTTTTTTACCCATTATTTTTTTTAATAACTTTTAGACTAACTAGTTGGAACAAACAAGTCACAAGTCATTTATAATGTTTTTTAAAATATAAAAAAATATCTGTCAAGCAGGAGCACGTACCTCGTAAACTGGCAACTGGGCGTAAAATACCTTCAGGTTACAGTTATTTCAATCAGTGCATGTGTTAGAGCATCAGCTGAAAAAACAGCTTCAACACAAACACTCACCTCTGATTACTGAAATGGAAAGCTAGTCCCCGACAGAAAGAGGAGAGACAATACAAAATCAATCATAAAACTACTTTAAAAACTACGAGTTTACATTTTTATGTAATTTAAGGAAAGCTAAAGCTGGCGACAAAGTCAACATGTTAACTGTATGAGACATGCTCTTCAGTGATAGACTTAAACTGTCCAATTTGCCAAATTAAGAGAGTAGGTCGGACAAAAACAGAGTTCAAGAGACACTCAAGAAAGTATTAGTCGGGGTTGTTTTTAGCTTGTTTCTTGTTTACTCTCCTGCTAGCTAAAGTTAGGTGTGTAACTAGAGTTTTTTTCTGTCTTGACAGCCACAGGAACTTTGTAGTCCATTGACCACGTGGCGCTTCAAAACTTAAAACTCCCAGAAACCTTATCAGCTTTTACAAACAGCATACGTTTGTTATCTTCCAGGCTGTACAAACACAACTTTGCTTCACTTACTCTTGGCTTTATTCGACGTTTTATGGCTCGATAACCGACCTCTGGCGTGCTGCCTCGGCTGTAATCCGACGGGAGAAGAGGACTCGCAGTTACACGACGCCTCTATTCTTCAGTGAAAGCGGGGGGAACAAAAGTCACCTTTCACGATTTTTCTCAAGATTTCAGCGTTTATTCAACAAAAACGAAGTAAACTTACGAAAGAATAAACAGGAAAAGAATGTCTTGTTTCAACGAGTCCCACACCGCGAGTGCTGAATGTTTTTTGCCGTTATGTACACCTGCCTCAAGATTGGTTTAGCCCAGTTTGAGCCGAGACTACATTTCCCAGGACTACAGGCGACCGGCAGTTGACGGGTGACCTGTGCTATTTTGACCAAGCTAGGTTCAGCCTCATAGCAGTGATTTCATGCAGTTTAATAGTTGGAGTCGTGCTATTTTGAACCTTAAAATATCTGTTTCGTCTAATTATTTACGTTTTTGCACTTTTCTTGAGATAAATCTTTGCCAAAGTCTCAGAATCTGAACTTAAGCAAAGATTCTCATTTCTTGCGTACCCTATTTTTAACTCTTTCCCCCGACCTGCAGATGTCTGTCAAATCGAGTTAATCTCAGAGCTGCCAAGTTTCAGAAAATGACAAGAGTGAGACTTTGGTGTTATGATGTGTTCAGCCGCACGGCAAACTTTTTATTTATTTATTTATTTTTGCCTTTTTTAACTTAGACTTATACCTTACCTCCATGCCAGCTGCTCTCCCTAATGCTAGTCTCAATCAGCTCAAAAGTAGAAATGAAAATTGTAACAAGAGTTTTGATAAAATACATTTATATGTCAATATTGCATTACGTCGAGTTGGTTTTAAATGTTGGCGCTGTTGTGTGTGAAAGATAGTTAGAGACGCCAAGACCCAAAATAAACTCTGCGTTTCAGTTACCAAGTCGGAAAAAAGCAAAATCGGAGGTGGAAACAAGATGGCTACATTTACGAAAGTTATTTTAGCGCTTGCCTTGTCTGAATATAAGGCAAGCGCTAAAGTAACTTTTGTAGATGTAGCCATCTTGTTTCAGGCCTGCGATTTAGCTTTTTTCCGACTTGGTAACTGAAATGCTGGGGAATTTTCAGCTCCGACATCTGACTTCCGAGGTAACTCGAATGCAGCATGAGGCACAAAGGACGGATGGATTGGTCTGGGATTGGTTATCTGGGTCAGTCAATCAGAGTTACTCGAACTACGGTAAGCCAAGTTTATTATCATTAAAAAAATTGAATGAGGAAAAATAAGCGTGAGAAGTGTCAAGTGTGGCGTGTGGTGTGATAATGGGTCAAATTGCGTGACTGTCACACTCAAAGCAAATGAGAATTGTTTTACATGTGTTATTATCACAAGTCTAATGTGGCAATATCAAAAAGCTAGCAAAATTACGATGTTTCACTCTGTGAAGACTGCAAGAGAAGTGTATAAAAGTGCCACAAGAAGTTAGAATGAAAGACTTGTCCTATTTCGACAAAGTGAAAAAAAGTGCTTTAGCTGTTACCTCAAAAACAATACTGAGTTTAATAATACAACTTTTATAGTATGCAAGCATGCATTGGAAAAAGGTTAGTCAGTGGGCACTCTTTAAAATTAAAACCAATTCTTTTGCCCAAGGATGAACCACATTGAAGGCAGACAATAAGCTATGATTCCTTGTTAACTGGGGAGCTTCTCAAGGGAAAGGACAAATCCACAAAGTTAAAACCCCTGAAACATCCTTTTGTGACCCTTTGATGTTCTTTTAGGGAGTTCAGTAAAACTCCTCTGTTAGTCTGATTTATTCCTCTGTCTTTTGGCCCGCTCTTGCCCTACTTTATAACAATGTCACGATAATCTACATTATGCATGCCCCACATCTAAACGTGTCTGCCTGCTTTTGTTGTGTAGTATATTTTGCTTCAGGGGTTTTAAAGTCGGTATCATACTTCTATAATTCATTAATTGTGCCTTGTGTGCGGAGCCTTCTTCAGAAAACAGAAGTGCATATCCGTCTGCCACAATATATAGTATTGAATTATAACGGTGACGTGTGTTATGTAATTGCACTCTGCACATCCTGCACACCACGCTGCACACTGTCTTACAGGGAAGAAACCCTGAATTTGCAAGTCTCTGGGCTGTTAAATTAGCATCTGCTCCAATGACTACAGATGAAGCACTCCCTGTCTGAAGCCATCAGATACTGAGCTGGGTTGTCACATTTAGTATGAGCATGTACCCCTGCATGGCCAGCGGGTGTAAACCAGAATTTAGACACGATTTGACTGCGACAAACTGACAAAAAACATATTTTCGGGGAAAGCAAAGTGACTCTACAAATGACTGTTTACAGCAGTTTTACTTTACACTCTACTCACAGTAAAATTTAACAGTTGGTTCTACAGCCTCGGGTTGCATTAGGCCATGCATTCACAAGTTTTGCCTGACCTGCGTCTAAATGTCAGGAATAATATATTTGACTTGTGAAATTTGGTGACATTCCTCTCTGTGAGGGTGTCATAGCAATGATGTTGCAGGGTGTAGTTTCAGAGCTGTGGATGAAGGAAAAGGATTCTAAAAAGGAAAGAAAACATGTTGGAGTCTGTGCCAAGCAAAAATTAAATAGGAAACACACAGACACACACCGTGAAATGTTGGTTTTGCATAATTGGTGTAACATTACACAGATCTTGTTTAGAGTCAGAATTTCAAATTGAGGGATTAACCTCATGAGCCCTTATCAACCGCAGCTGCTAAATGATAAAAGAAAAAAACAACAACTTTTGACTCTAAGAAAAATCTATTGATGAGTTTAAAAAGTATCAGTGTCTAGAAAATATCAATCAAAATCTATGAGAAACCCCAAAACAATAAAACAAATACTCCAAACCATATGACTGGAGAAGCAGATATTAGTGCATAGTTCTCCAGTGGATCTTTGCAGGGGAAAATCTTAAAACAGTTATGTTTAGCTGCCTCCTGTGGCACCTAAGTTGCAGTGATAACAAACATTAAAATATAGGTATAGAAATATAGAAATGATCCATTTGTTTTGGATTGCTTTTAGCATACATTTTAATCTGTTTCAATGCCAACCAAAACTCCACAAAGTAGCTTTAAAAACATCACATTTGTGAAAGACAATTCAAATGGGTACAATAACATTCAAAATTACCACAAAAATACACAAAGGGGTACAATAGAATAAAAGCAGCAGGGCTGAAAAATTGCTTCAAATGGGTTTGGAACAACCACAGACAGAAGCAAAACAAAGTCTGAACAAAGGGAGACACAAAACAACCGCAGAATGGTGTAAAATAAGTCAAAAAGACCCAAAACACACACACAAAAGACTCAGAAAGTACAAACACAACCATAACTTATATTGTAATGGTTTTAAATTCTCATTGGAGCAGCAGAACCTCGTTTGCGTTTTGCTTCTGGGCTCTAACCTCATCACTCATCTCAGATTTATTTTACATGCAGACATCCGAGATGTGGTGGGATAATGTCTTCCACGCCAGAGCCTGCAGGTGGATGATGGGAACATGGTGTGGCTGAAGACTTGAGTGTAGTACTAATGTTGGGAAGCAGCAACAGTGACAGAGCAGAGGGATAGACCAGACATCCTGCAGAATAAATAGACTGCCAAATTCAGAAAACACACTTGCCATGTAATTGGAGACTTAATGCCAAGTTTAAAACAGTACAGCTCAAGATGTCTGCTTGGACAAGCTTGGAGGTGTTACTACTACATCAAGTGACAATATTGAAAAGTGATGCAAATGAGGGACAAACCAGGAAAAACAGTACAAATTGTAGAAAAAGGAGTGAAAGAGCGGTGTTATTTTCCGCGCAATGTCAAAACTTAGCTGAAAGATATATAAAATAACTTCTGTTGGCAAGACAACAACAATACAACCTTGAAAAGAGGCAGATAAAGAAACTAAATTATTCAAAAGATAAACCAAAATGAAATTTAAACTCGCTGCAAATACATCCAGGGTGTGGAGGAGTGGGGCTTTTTATAGATCATGTCACTGTAAGGAGGTCCACAAATACGTGTTTGTAGGGATGATATAGTTTAGTGAAACAGAAATATCCCAGTACTGTAATGGTGCCATTTGGATCCGAAGTAGATCAGATATAACCTCATGGTGTTCGTGAATGAAAACCTATCAGCAAATGGGAACACGTACTCACCAGCAGCAGGGGGTCTGTCCCTTTCTCTCATTTGTTTGTCTTTCATCATGTGAAGGTATCTCAGGTCTGAGTGGGCAGTTTGACAGAGGAATCCCTGTGCCGTTTACAGACGTCGTGTTACAGAAGCTGTGGGAGTAAAATTGTACATTTCAAAGGACATATATTTTTAGTACCATTTAACACTCACAGAGAGTGAATTTAATCTGTACTAGGTTTGGAGAAACACTCACTGACATTCAATATGTTTGATACGTTCTGTGGAAAATAATGAGATTGATCAATACTTTGTTGCTGCTCAGGTCGTCATCAGGAAGAGGTGAAATCATGAACAGTGTGTGCTGTTCTGGGGATCGATCCAATAAGTGTGACATGCACCTTGCGTCACCTTGGCTATTTGGAATCAACAACCATTGTCAAGAGGTTTTGACCAATCAGAATCAAGTATTTTAAACCTTGAAAGGATTTTTTTTCCTGATTGCATCAATTTAAAAGAAGAATACAAGGGTAACGTACATAGACTGTAGTGTATATATAGTCTACGGTTACGTAACAGCGGCCTGTTGTTATAGCAGTGAGACATAAAAAACTGTAGCTATGTGTTTGTTGGGTTTAGGACATTCAAATGTAGACTTCACAGTGGGTTTTAGAAATAGCAATGGTTGGAATTTTAAACTCTCAAATGATCAACTTGTTCACCAATAACTATAAGTTTATCATTAAAGGGACAACACTGAAGTCGGAGTTTAAAAGGACAAAAGAGACATCAGTAGAGATCTATTCAAGTGAAAAAAGTTTACTTTCCTGGTTGCCTTTGCATCTCTTATAATAATAATATGCAGTATTAAAGCAGCTGCTGGCTGAAGAAGAGGTGTGGGAATCAAGTTAGCTGTGGAATTGTATTGAATATACTGTAGAGATAAATCATTCTCGAGTTCACGTCTTAAAAGTATATGTTCAAACACAGAGTATGTCCTCTGTGTGCAATTAGGATGCATTTGAAAGGCGCAGGTTGGGTGATTCAATGACTTCCTACTGCTGGGGAATGAAATAACAATAACAATAAACTATATAGGCCAATAAAATACTATCATTTATCATTTTATAATTGTTTCAAAAGTGTTAATCTACAAATGACAGCAATTTGTATATAAATGTAATAGTTAAAAACCTATTTGTTTGTGAAATATTGAGCCGAAGGAGGTATAAAATGACAGTGTCAATATAAAAGTACATGAAGCTGAAATAAATAACCCTTCAAAAGAACAACCAATTGAGTAATTTCCTCAAATGGTTTTTTAAGACAGAATTATATTCATCTTTGAATATTTAAAATCATTTGTTTACCAGACAAGTTTATGTACAGGTTTTAAGATAAAGTCTCATTTAAGAAATGTAGTCCCTCACCTGAAATCATACATTAGCTGTTTGGATATTCGGGAGGACGCACTGACATCTGTCTCTAAATGGAGACATCCATTCACCTGATTCTGCCTGAGAGTGTATGCGTTTGTGTGTGAGAGAGAGAGCAGAGAGAGAGAGAGAGAGAGAGAGAGAGAGAGAGAGATGTGCGCGCCAGCAGCCCTTCTTCTCTCGCACAAGTTTGCAGCAGCACGCAGGGAGGATGGAGATTCATCTATGTCAGGTTGATGGAATACATTCTTGCGCAGAGACGGTGTAGAAAGAAGAAAGAGAGTGTTTGAGGAGCCACGGAGGGACAAATAACCTGGATTTACACCCACAGCATCATCACTTTATCTCCTGATGTCGGATATGAAAAGGACTGATAAGAACAGGGAAATGTGTTGCAAGGGCTTGCCGGGACGACAGGACAAATTCATACTCCTCATCTTTTACCTTCATCTGTACAAGAATATAGTAAGTGTATATTTTTGTTTCTATTAATCTTTAAGTGAAACCTCATTTTCATTTGCTCCAACACTCCATACTGCTGAACTTCAGACGCATTTGTCACTTACCAAACCTATTGATTTGGCATCGACAGACTTCATTGAGATATAACTATCTTAATGCAATTAGCATTGTTATCTGGTGCATGATACTTTGGCTTTGTGCAGCACACGCCACGCTTGGTTCAGCAAATGTCCTCATTAAGCTGCAGGAATTAATTAGAGACCCGGGTCCATCACCTCCATCCGTCTGGTACTAATTAACGTAAAATCGAAAGGGACAACAAATGGAGAAAGCGATTTAAAAAGAAAAAAAAGCAAGATCCAGATGTTTTTTTGAGCCTGCTAAGTCTGAACATTAATTTCAAAGAAAATAGTAAAAATACAAATAAACTTCATGAGGCCAAGTATTTAAAAATGTCATTTTTGTTGGTGTACTTGTTCAAAAGTTTCACATTTTTAAAGATTTTTAAAGGGACGTTTTCACATCGCGTGAGAGGCTCAAGTGACACATGGGGGAATCTGATAAGAAAAACACAAATAGGAAAGCGCCAAAACAGAAAGAGAGGCAAAGAGGTGTGTCAATCCATGAAATTTACGCACATTACGCACACACATACGCGCGCCACAACTCCTCCGAGCCACCACCGAAGAGGAAAATCTGTTTGTATTGTGTTGCATATGTCTGCTTCAGTGTAGATAACCAGAGTCTTCTGGTATTTCCAGGCGGAGGGGATTCATCCGGACTGCGCCATCGTCTCGCAGCACCTGAGGGCTCGTGAGGTTTGCAGCCAGACGCAGAGGAACGAAGCGCAGAACCACACGGAGCAAAGCGGTGGGTTCATGGGTGATGCTGCTGCTGCGGCGGCTGCTCTGTGTTCCTACACACAAACACAAATTTGAGAGATTACTTTGAAGCCTTGCCGCGCTGCGAGAGGTTTTTAATAGACGGTGGGAAAGTGGGTTAGATAAAAAAAGAAAAAAGAAAGGGTTTAGTTGAGAATCCGAGAGACTGCTCATTAAAAACACCAAGAAAGACAGGAGAGAAACTTTAGCTGAAGCTTTTTTAAATAATTCTGTCATTGAGGACTGACTATGCAAATGCCCCTTTATTACTGCCAGAGCACAAACATTATATATTAAAGGGATATTCTGTACTTTTGTAAACTGAGCTGTGTGAGGCATTAATGATTGAGTAACAAAATTTTCACCTTGACTGGAGAGCTTTTAGGTGTGTTTGTTCATTGATTAACAGTAACAGCCTTGATGTATGGACAAATCAGTGTTGCAAGCATGGTGCTTTGTTTTTGGAAGGCTATTTAAATTGACTAAAACCAGGGTAGGCGTCGTTCAAAGCAGGGACAGATCATTTGTTGGGATTTGGACACAAAGCTTGAAAAAAAGGACATTAAAGATGAGAAGATGAGCATTTAAACAAAAGCTCTGTTAGGGTTTCCTTGGCTTTTGGCTCCACCCTCAAGTGGATTTTCCAGGAATAGCAGTTTTGTGCACTTGGCTCCATTTTAGACAATGCTTAAGGAAAGAGCTCTGTATTTGCACTTTCCTTTGGCGTGATGAATAAAATCAAGGTCAGATCAACTGTTTTGGTTGATAGTATCGCCTAAAACCCCATACTGAAACAGCTGGGCTTCTTTGTCTGTATCCTATTGAGTGCTTAGTAAAATGAGACACACAAATTGGCATCTCCTGGTGTCAATACACTAAATATTGGGGATAACTGGTAGTTCTCGTGCCAAGCAGTGAATGTTCAATCGTCTAGATGACTCTAGTTGACTTCCCAGTTTATAACAGATAAGTTCCTCATACAAACCCCCAATAAAAAGTCTGAACTATCCCTTTAAAAACTCAAAATGACTGTAAAAACATTCATATAACTTGAGCAGCAGACAGAGGTCAAAATAAAGTTGAAATGTGAAGTGTTTCTCTCTATCATACAACGTCAGCAGATAACGCTAAGGTCACAAAAGTTAAATGGAGTTGCATGAAGCTTACCAAATATTGAACTTTGACCTCTAAGTTTTTTTCAGTTTACAGCTTCAAATTCTGACTTTATTAGCTCTGCACAGAAGTAATTATTTGATAAGTCCATTTGACTGTAAAGGGTCAGGATATATTGAAAACTGTCTCAGAGTCCAAAGTGATGTCCTCCAGTAAAAGTAAGAGTTCAGCTAACCCTCACATCTGTGAAGCTAAATGGGATTATTTTTCACGTCTGTCCTGTAAAACAACAAAAATCCTTTTTGACTTCTTTGACTCTCAACATACTCGCTGATTCATTTTATGTTTAATGAGAGGTGGACAACAACATGTCAGACGTTTATGGGGAGGCTTTAATCTGTAACATGATTCAGGTGTAAATATTCATCTAACTGTTTACAATCCTGATATACTTTTAAATTAAGCCAACGCTGTCTACTAGAGGCGGATCAGAGGGAGGCTAACTACCTTTAATGGTCCCCTCATGCCTGAGTCTCTTAATGCTTAATATGATTTCCTCGTTAGTGTGTATTTATTTTTAATGCAATTTAACACTAATTTTGTGCCTTGTCATAATGGCTTAGAATTGATTAAATATCCTCAAATGAAAAAAAAAAAGAAAAACCTTATAATGCAAATGACTGTGTAAATTAATATTGACTATATTCGCAGCATCATCTTGGCCACATTGATCCTGTCCTGCTGCTCTCCCTCCTGGCTTCATTTGTGTGTCCTTATATTCTGAGTCATTGACTTCATCATAAAATGAACCTGATGTCCCCAGGGGCCCTCTCTGTGGCCTCTTTCACTGAATCTGAGCTGCTCTCAGCACTGTCAGAAACTGCCCCGGTCCAAAAACACTGTGGTGACTCCGAGACTCATTTGATCCTAATTTCTCCTGACGACTCCCAAAGCTGGAGCGATACCACACTTTGGTGCTAAGATGTCATCCTCTGCTCATTACAAAGATAAATGTCTGCTGATGAGTTTTTCTGTCTGGGTAGGTGCGTTTGTTCGTTCACCAGTGTGATGCCAGTAATGCAGGTGTCATGTTTTAATGTGAAGTTGGAGAGTCATGTAGAGTTTAAACTTTGTCTCTCTTAAGTACGGCTTTCCTAGTACCTTTAACCCTCTGGTTCATAGTGGTCACTACAGTGGACAGCTACCAAAAACTCTTTTTCTCTTAAATGCAATGGTTTCTATGGTGGAAGTGTATATCAGCCTTTAGGGTGCTCTCTACTGCCCTACTCCATTGAGTTACATTTAGTGAGTAATCAGTGTAACTGCAAGTAAATTTCCTACAAATCCAAGATGGCCGAGAAACAGCCACCCCTGCTGACTACAGCTGGCATGTCCTGTCAATACTTCTATAGTAGAAGAACCCCAGCTGTAAAAAAAATATGATGATATCCTGTAACATCTAAGGAAGGATATTATCCATTTGGAATTGAAAATTCCATGTCCAATATGTAGAAAATTACAATTAACCATGTGTCCAACTGAGTGGACATCATGCATCACCCAGTATTTTTTTTAACAGGAGTCATGTAATTGCTCCACTGGTACTTGTGGCTGTTTTGGTTATAAATCAGTGTATACAGTGTAATCAGTGTGTAACAGTGACCAGTAGTGGCTGTCAGAGAAGAATAGACATGTAGGGGCTGAGGATGATGGAGATACAGACATTCAGGGTGCAGAAAGGGTAGATGCCTGTAGTCAAGTGGATGAGGACCAGGATGATGAGAGGCAGGATGCAGGGGAAGGTCAGCATGATCAGGGAGCTGTGGAAAATGGGCACATGACACCTGACCATTCTCAAGCTCGCAAAAATATCTGGAAAGTCCAAGACAATCACTTTGATAGAGATATGTCTCCTTTTCTAGGAGAGTGGAAATTCAATGTGGAGGGAAGAGAGCCTATAGACTTCTCCAGACATCTGTTTCCAGCAGATCTCATTGATGATATAGTGAAAAACACCAAGTTGTATGCTCCCCAGAAAGGGAAAGAAAATCTGGCAGTGACAGGAGAAGAAATGCAGACTTTTTTAGGAATCAACATGATCATGGGGTACATTCGTTTTCCCAGGGCACACATGTACTGGTCTAGTGAGGATGGCCTTCGTCTAGGGATGATTGCAAATGCCATGTCTGTAAACAGATATGAGCAAATCCTGTGCTCATATAAAGCCTGTGTGCCACTGTGCCCTGGATGCTTTGCCAACTTTCATACATCCTAGGTGTGATGAGCAGAGACATGTTTGGAGATGCAGGGACTAAAATGTCAGTTTTTGTTGTTGAAAACAACATGCCCGTATAAGGGCATGGTAATGTCAGTCCTGAATCTTTATAGTACTGTGGGGATTTACAATATTGTTTCCAATGTTGGAGATAGTTTGGCATATTTTGGTGTACTGTACTTTTTACTGTAAGTTCATAATGTTTTGTGTTGAGTGCTCAGGTGCATATAGTCCACTTGAATGGACACTTCTGTAGTTTTGTGAAAAAATAACATTTTTGGAAAAAAACAATTTTACATGTTCTTTTATGTCCTGAGAATGATAAAAACACTTATGAAAAAAATCTTGATCAGGGCTTTCATAATTCATGCATCAGAGGGTTAAAAAAGTTGCTTGAGGCAGAGCATAGGTCCTGTATATTTGTGTGACACGCTGCTGCTGTTCTAACGAAGCACCCACAGTTCATCGAAGTTTTCAGAGCTTTAAAAACAGAAAAAACGCTTCTACAGTCGCACATCCGATGTAATATGTGTACACTTTGCAATGTGTATCATAAAGCGCGGTCAACAAAAAGTACGGCTATGTAGGCTCACCTCTCCACCACAGTGCAGGTGAGACTGCCCCTTATATAAATACCAGCTTTCAAACACAGCGCCCATGTGACCCAAACCCAACGAAACCAATAGCAACCAGACAGAAGTAGCTTAGGAGGTAGAGCGGTCATCCAATAACTGGAAGGCTGGTGGTTCGATTCCCCCCTATCCCAAGTCTGTCCGTTGTGTCCTCAGGCAAGACACTTCACCCACCTTGCTCCCAGTGTGTGTCCTCCACTGGTGTATGATTGTGAGTGTTGTGTAGTGGTGGTCGGAGAGGCTGTAGGTGCAAACTGGCAGCCACGTTTCCGTCAGTCTGCCCCAGGGCAGCTGTGACTACAAAGGTAGTTTACCACCACCAAAGTGTGACTGTGTGAGCAAATGAATGATGTATCCAATGTAAAGCGCTTTGAGGGTCTCTGATAAAGCGCTATATGAAATCTGATGCATTATTATACAGAGGATAACCGATAAGCAAAGGGACATTATGGCTCCTACACTCATTATTGACTGACAGCATTTACGTCTCTTATTACAAATTGGTTTCTGTTGATTTTGGCGCCCCCTGTGGACAAAGTGATACTGCTTATATTTTGTTCTATACATGTAGGAGTATTGCTTTTAGACAATAACTTCATCCAGTTGTTTTTTTTAACGACAGAATAATGCTCGAGTAGGGTAGTACAATATTGCAACTTTTTTCCTTTCTGTAATATATAATGTATTAAGAAAAATACAAGAGTTTATACCAAACAAACACAATTTTAACAACACGATCAATGTCACTGTTCAAAATCTGGATCTTTTTATTGATCTTCTGCTTTAAAATCAAATCTTCCCCCCTATTGTCATTACACTATTTTCAGCCGACTTATAGCAGCATGTTGAAACTCAAGAGAAAAAGAGAGGGGAGTAACACATATCTATATAAACTTAACTTTTAAATGCCAACAAATTCCTTACACATCAATCATGTCCGTTGATGTAAATATTATGTTTAATCTGCTGTAAACCCAGTGATGGTTTTTCTTATTTAATGAAAAACTCACTGTCACTGTTAACATCCGATTTTTCACATCCATGATGTTCGTGCTCTGCATGTGCAGATGCTAAAAGTTAACACCCTGTGGTCCTGTTAGTTCAGCTGTCTGTATGTGCCAGCAGGACAACACTGTCTAATTAAGCTTTTTCCATATACCTTTGACAATATCGCTGCGATATGACGTGAGTGCATGTTTAAACTTAAGGGTCCTGTGACACGCATACAAATACCACCTGTACAGCAGTCATTTTCTCTACATGCTTTAATGAATGGAAGTAATTTCAGATAAACCTTTAATGTGGATAATAACAGGGAAGCGGTGACAGGGCACGTCTTGTGATGTGACATGCACCTATCGAGTGTTCACCGTTTGAAACATGGTGCTCAGCCTTATTAATCAGTTGCTGTGATTTTAGGTTAAGGTCTAAAAGGCAGTGTTTTCAACCTGTTGTTAGGATCAAAAGTTGTGACACTCTCTCTTTGCATTTTTAAAGCACGAGAAATGACTATAGTAAAAATATTAGACTTCTTGATGTTGTTTTCACAGGTCATAAAGAGGCATCAGTATCTCTCACATGGGCTTTAAATGCTCTATCATTAAATTGTGTATATATCACAAGGTTGTTAACCTCAGAACTTAATGTTCAATTTAATTGGTCTGTATCCAAAAGCTGATTATTAAATGTTAAGATGATATCTGTAATGCTGATTTACTGACCAATGGAGTAACTGACTGACCCTGGAGTCCAGGTTTACTCTCTCTTGATTCTGTCCAGCAGCTACATTAAACAAAAAAAAAGAAAAAAAAGAAAAAGATACTATTTCAGGCTGAAAAAAAAATGTTCATTTGCATCAAAAATTAAATTTCATGCAGCAATAATTCCCCCGTGAAGTCCAGTGAACGCGAGCTGCCTAATAAATGAAGACATCATCAGGTCCTCCCGCAGGGGTGGTCTGGAAGCTCAGCCTCGGTGTCCAAAGTAATTTCTCAAGTTGTTGTTAATCCTAAATGAGGTGACATTCAGGCGGCTGAATGCATAGCCTCTTGATGATAAAGGCTACGGGAAAAAAGTCTTGCCTGGTGGGTGAGGAGGGTTTTTCCTTTATCAGGAAGGAAAAGATTGAAATTAGTCATCAGCCCCTTTGACAGGACTGTTAATTGTGGATTCAACTGTTTAACACATAGGGGAGTTTTACATAATGGTTTTCTCCCTTTGAAAGTTCAAAATCCCCCTTGATTACGCCCAAACGCGAAGTATAAGTTTCATAATTTATGGTTTTGGCTGCAATCAGAGTGGCTTTTGTTGCAGGCATGAATCAGGACAAAAGTTTCCTCTAAAAAGGTCATATGATTTGGGCTTTTTGCTTGACTCATCTCAGGCTAAAACAGAGTCATTTTAATTATAACCACAGCACAGTTTTCATCACTTTTAGTGTCTGCATGCATAATCAAGTGCTGAGATTTAAATTTGTTATCTTGCAGAACAGAGGTGTCAAACTCGATCACAGAGGGGGCCAACACTTAAAATACAGTCAAAGTTGCGGGCCAAACAGGATTAACATTTATTGAATTTTCTGAAACTGACCGTTTTGAATCTGAAATTCAAATTTGGAGGCCTAGACCACAACAACTGTATTTTTAACTCCCCCTTATTTCATTTCTCCGAGTCAGGTTCTCGGCGTGTTTTCTTAGCTGCAAGTTCATTTATGTTCATAGTGTTTATCAGTGAAATGACTTCTTTGTGTGGTTTTGTTCATTTTTATTACAGAAAAAATGTGCTCACACAGGTGTTAAGGGCCAACTATCAAACATGCAGAGCAGTAGAGCAGTCTGTTGGCAGAGCCGGGGCATTGTCTCAGGGATGAGGTGTGGGAACTGCGCGGGCCCCGATGAGTCATACCGTGCCTTGAGTGTGCCGTTACACTAGATTCTATCAGCTCTATCAGCATGTCTATAAGAGCTTTCTCCACGTCAGCGCCAAATGGATTTCTGAGCAATTTGAAATTTAATTTCTGCTCTTCCTGTGAACTCAGAGCAAAGTGTGCTCAGTTTATCAGCAGAAGAAGCGTCTTGAAACACAGCAGTGAAGATCTGGTTTGCGATTTTTTGGCAACATGGAAAGTGACTGAAGTTCTCTTTCTGCATCTTCATCTCCCACGGGTGTAGTTTGACCTGAAAAGCTCTCACTGCTTCATACATGTCTGTGATCAACGTTTTGTCTTGTAGTGCTGTCTAATGATGTGCCCTTCTATTACAGCCACATTAGCTTTACAAACAAGACACACAGGTTTACCTCCACCGTCAACAAACAGGCATTCTGTCCCCCTACCTGTTTTGAGAGTCCCTGTTTTCAGAGACTACTTAAATGTGACTATAAAACAGCTGACTAACTATCCATGTGCCATTAGAGCAGTGGCGGAGGGGTTGATGCTCAGGTCTTGAACCGTGTGGCGGCTTTTGCAGTGTATTGTGAGACTTGTAGTACGAGTGGAGGAAGAGCCATTAATAATATGAAGACATATGAAATCATCTTGCGGGTCATGGATAATCATATTGCGGGTCGAATGTAGCCCGCGGACCTTGAGTTTGACATGCCTGGCCTAGAGCTTTCAGTGTCAATGCTACAGGTTGTTATAACTGTCTATGTCCAAGCGTTGTTTATTAGCTGCAGTGAAAGTCTTTGAAGCGGTTCCTGTCCAGCTGAAGACAGAGCCCAACCTTGCTACCTAAGCCCTCTGTCTTCTCCTGGTGTCCCTTCTGTTGCTAGTGTGGATTTGAAAGTGGGGGGGCTTAGGTAGGCCAGCCAGTCAGAGGTCCTGCCTGTAAGTCCTACAAGCCCCAAACCCCTGCTGGCCCAGATGACAGAACAGGAGAGGGCTGGGGTAAACCTTGTCACAGGAGATAATGTAGCCACTCTCCAGATAGTCCTTGATTACCAGTTCCACCAGAAAGCCCCTTCCCTGAAGCGCCCTGGGCCTTCCCTGTGTACAGCCTGTAGTCAACTGTGCACTCATCCATATCAGCTTGACTTTTATATACAGTTTTATTGAAAGCCTAGCCTCTGTGGCAACCATCCTCTCATCCACTGAGAAGTGCTGCTTTAGATGGTAAATGCTCTTGCAGGTGTTTCTGATGATATCCGGAAGAGATCTGACCTTTTGCAGGGGTCATTGTCCTCTGTCACAATTGTAGTCAAGCATACAGGACTAGTGTTTAAATGCATCGTTTGATTACAAAGTCAAGACACTAACAAGGGCTACTTTACATCGTAAAAGCTCTTGTTGGCAACTTTTTGTTTGTGCCAACTTTGGCGCCCCCTGTGGACAAAGCAGTCTTGCTTAATGCATCAGAGTTTTTATAGCACTTTTTGTCAGTGACCTCAAAGCACTTCACATTTGACACATCATTCGCTGACACACTCACACCTTGGTGGTGGTAAACTACCTTGGTAGTCACAGCTGCCCTGGGGCAGACTGATGGAAACGTGGCTGCTAGTTTGCGCCTACGGCCCCTTTCGACCACCACCTCACAATAATCATTTTCATACACGTATGGAGGACACACACTTGGAGCAAGGTGGGTTAAATGTCTTGCCCAAGGACACAACGGACAGACCAGGGATAGGGCGAGATTCGAACCGGCAACCTTCCAGTTAGTGGCCGACTGCTCCACCTCTTGAGGTACTCCCGCCTTGTTGTGCAGCTTGTCCTCTAAAAGCTTTTGTTGTGTCTTTTGACTTTTCACAGTGAAATTGATCATTTATTGTGAATATTTGTGTTGATATGATAAAACAGGGCTATTTTTCAGCTACTCAACTATCACCTCGCCCCTTGTTCCTGTTTCAAGTTTCTATGTTTAACTTGTCAGTCTTGCCTCTGATGGTCTGCTATCATTAATTTGAGTTTCAGTCTATTTCATAAATGTCAAAAAACTCTTTATAGTAGCTTTAATATGGATTTTAAAACTGCTTTAAAAAGTAAAATGATGAGATTTTGAGATAAGGTATATTAATATAAATATTAAAAAATTAGCAAGCGATCCAAATGAAATCATATGTTTGCCCCACTAAAAAGATTATTATTATTTGTTATTGTGGTTCAACTGGATTGTGAGGAGATCTTGATGGACAGGCTGGAAGATGATGTCTGCCATCAGTGCATGAATGTGTGTGTATGTGTGTGTGATGGGGTGTGACCTCGAGTGGTTGGGAGACTTGAACAGATTCATGTTAGAGCCGGTCTACAGCTTTGTGGTTTAAATTGTTACACACATCCAGTAAGATACGCTTAATATTGCTCATGTCAAGGGAAAAATGATTTACAAGCTCTTCTTTTTCCTGTAAAATTAAGGGTAATGCACAAAAACAGCATGAGATGCACTTCAAAATACCCACCCCCAGTATTTTTTTTTCACCAGCCCACATACTGTCAACATGTCAGCATGTGGGGCTGTCCTTGCTCCTAATGTTAGGGTGCATCAGCTCTCCGGAAAAGCAGAATTTTCTTGTTCCATTTTCCTCCTCAGATTGGCATCCTTGTCACTGTATCCTCACTTTCACTGTGGTCTCCTGGTTCTGGACTTAAAAAGAGCACGCCTAGTAATGAAATGGGCTTGTTCAGTGTCCTTACACGACAGTCTATATGCAGTTTGGTTTGTACAAATATCACAGCTGTCATTTTTCCACCCACTAAAGTGCTTTTAAATGAGCCACACACTCTACCGTAAAAAACGCTTTTTGGAGCCCCTTTTCCCTGTAAGGAACGTGTCACTTTTCCCATTAGTATTCTCCTAAAAAAGTGTTACACTCAGCATGATCCTCTTACATACAACACTCCTGAAGATATTTTCCTTCTTACCAAACCCAAGATTTAAAATGCAACACAAATTCTAGCACGAAGCAAGAATAAGAAGCCTTGACAAAACTTTTAAGCGCACAACTTTGCACAAACTATTGATTGAGTGATCAACAGCTGCGAGCTCGTGACTGCATCCTTTTATTTTTAAATCATGCACTTTACTGATGTTTCTTTTGTTTCTATACCCACACAGATTTCCTCTCTCACAATAAGTTAATGACAGGGAGCGGTTTGATAAGTATTGTCGCATTGTTTTAGGAGTGTAATTAATTGCAGCTTTCAATCGATGGAAACACTCAGCAGAGAGGAAAACTTTATACATAGCAGTCTTGCTTCGAACATGTCTGCTTTAAGGCTGTCAATGGAGATCTCTGAAGATGACAGGAATCAAGACTTGTCACCGCGGATATTTTGCAAGGGAGAGCGGGATAGGCACGGCTGTAATCCAATTTGAATTTCAAAGACAGAGATAGACTTTAATGTTGCGCGGTTATTTATTTCATTTTTTTAGATAAGAGTTTTTTTGTCTCCCTCAAGAGAGAGGGATGTGTTTGCTTTTGAGATCACAGTTGTTCCAGCACAAATACTCAGCAGTAATCCAACACTCTCAAAACAACAACAACAACAACAGACAGGCATTTTCACATTTACAGTTTCTCCACCATTAACAGAGTGCTGATTACGTTTCCAGCCTTCTGATCAGGATTCAAAGATCTGAGTTGAGGTTGCTAAAACATGAAGCCATTATGGATGATACAATCGATAAATGCCGCATAGAGGACAAACATAATGCTTTTATCAAATCAATGCACCGAGAGGCAGCAAAAACAAAACCGTGCAGATACTGAGTGGCTGAAAGAAAAGATGACCGTCAGTGAGCCTGATGTAATTTCAAATCAAAGTGACACCCGGAGTATGTTACCAGCTCAACGCTCTGTCCTTTGATTAAAACCGCTCTGACCACCGACACATCTGTAAGTTATGCCCATTTGTTACCCACCTATCTCACTAACACCCAGCTGTATTAAATACTTGACTGTGATTGGCCAAACCCCAAAACATCGGTTGTATATTTTGACAAGCAAAAGTGACACTTAGGCCAACCGAATCACACAACTCCAATCAACATAATCGAAGAAAAGGAGTCACATTTATGCTGGCTTTGGAGGTATTATGAGATTGATTGAGAGAGAAGAAAATGCCGGTAGGGAAGTTATGAGAAAGCTGCACTAATAAAATCAATAAAATCATCTTAAATTCCCCTTTAAGCTAGTTGCCAAAAACAGGATAAGGTCCACTTATTCTCAAAGGAACACTGAGTTTGTGTTGGTTTTGGTGCCCCCCGCCATGGGCAAAGTAGTTTGACTTTTCTCTTTGCTGATTCGTCCTGTATATACATAAGTGTTGTTGAACAAGAATCTTGTCCAGTTCTCCTAAAATAGTAAAATTCATAACTTTTGGAGAATTGGCAATTGAAAATGCAGAGGGGGAATGGCACCTCCCCTCACAACAGGGATTTAAAGTATTTCAAAATAGTTCTTGAAAAAGTATTTACCATCAGTTATTATCTCTTTTGTTTTTACAGACCAGAGGCAGAAATATCAGTACCAATTTTTTCTGTTTCATAATCAACAAAATAAATAAATAAAAGTCACAGGGGCTTTTAATTTCTGTTCCTTGTGCCATTGTAAAGCTCCTGTCAGTAACTTTTGGTTTGTGTCAATTTTAGTGCCCCCCTGTGGACAAAGCAGTGTTTGCTGAACTTCTGCATAAATGGAAACCTTTTTTTTTTCCAACAAAAAGGTTTGATGGTTAAATTGATCATTTCTTGTGAATACTTTAATGGGACTTAACCCGTTGCACCTTTTTCAAGTATTAGAAAATAGAGTATAGAAATCATAAGACTTGCCCAGAATGGTTTTGTTTGCTTTAAGAAATTATTAAAAGGCATCAGTGGGAGTTTCAGTCTTTTTTCATAAACCTTATTCTCATAAACTCCTTACAGGAGCTTTAAATAACCACATTAGTTCTTTCTGCAGAATCAAATCTAAACATCCCATATTGATATTTTTTATAATAGGACAAGCTTTCCTGTAAGTGTCCGATCAGCCTCTCTGAAATGTCTTTACAGTCTCCAAGCAGGGACATAAACATCTTAATATTTTATTCTTTAATTTCACACTGAAGCGACCCCCAAAACAATTTCTTTTCTAAAATTTGACATGATGCCAGTGTTGTTTTTCCAGGCAAACCTGGGAGAAACTGAAATACATTTTAATATTTTATTTTTCTTGAGCAGATGAAAAGTTGTTCTGCCCTACTGTACAACGTTTCTTTGTAAGCAGGACTGAAAATTAGATTGAAGGTTAGGGTCCAATGTTGGGAATTAGTCATACTAACAAATAAAAGTGTTCTTGTACAACGTGTTGCACAAGAGCTGAATCATAAGAAGGCTGATGGAGAAAAGCAACTGTAAAAAACATCAGGGGGATAGAAAAGTAGAAGCCAGAGATGAAGCCAGAGTTCAAAAGAACATGCGAATGAATGTTTGCACATGGCTGCTGATGCAGATTTGGCAAAAATACTCATTTTGTGCAGCACTGGGGTTAAAAATTAGATCAGCTCAAAGAAGATAGAGCTGTACTAATCCCAAAGGAAATTCTCGGGCCAGATTGCTCCAGAGCCACAGGACCGAAACATGAATAACACAAAAGAGCATCTGATACAAGTGAGATGGATAAAGAAAAAACTGTTTTTTAAAGTGTACAGAGCATGAGGGTGAAGGCAAAGAAAGAGTGTTGTAGAGTTTAAGCAATAAAAGTGACCAAAAAATAATCTTCCTCATGCTAACCAGAACTTACTTTACAGACCGTATGAAGTGTGAAAAACAAAGTGGTTTAAAAAGTAAGACTTTAATATGATATAAAACTCATAAGAGCTATTGAACTGCATGAATCATCAAACTGCAGCTGGAGTTTACAAAATCATTTTGAGGCGCTGAGTAGTTTGATTTACAACAAATGTAATGGCTCTAAATGAAGCTTAATGGACACGAACGCATTATATAATCCCTGAAAATGACGGTGATTATAATGAGCTTCTCAGCGTTTGATCAGTAGGTAGTATTGAATATTTTTTTTACATAACCACAATCCGTGTCTGCAGGGTTGTTTGTTGAATGGAAAACTGCCGTTACACTGAAGCTCATGCAGGTGATCACGATGCAGGTCAGTCTGACCCCTCTTGGGTTCGATATCTATATCTCTCAGCATTGCATAGCATTTCCTAAAAGTGACATCTGTAGCGTCATTGCTGCTGGGGCCCTTATAGACAGTACCCACTGGGACTGATATTCTTGTGTCATCCTGCTGCAGCCAGAGGGCAAAAGTGATGAGAATGACAGAGTAGCAAGAGTTTTGAATTCAGAAGTAGAAGGAGGACAAAAGGGAAAAATAGAAAAAAATTATGCATTTATTGCACACTGAATATTTTGTGTCACTCAGTCGGTTTACATGCACAGCTTAATCGGACTAAGCTTAATTCGTTTTTTCGCCCAAACTGGACTTCTCTGCCTGTCCGCGTATACATGCAGCTGAGAAATTTGAATTATTGACATGAACGTGCCCTCCTCCTCAAAACTAGGGGGCGATAGGGGTCTTTGACAGGTTCATGTCAGAGGTGGCAACAACCTCTGCTGGGCATTTTTGAGCAAGAAGATGGAGCATCGTACAGCGTTGTTTTTGTGGCACATGATGTACGCGCTACTTTTTCTGCAGATGAGATGCACGCTACTCCTCATCCCTGGTGTTTTTGTTCCGGAGTTATGGGGGCGTGGTGCATGCACACATGTATTGTCCGATCAAACTCTGACTACTCTGGTTACATGGTAGAGAAAATCGAATTCCAGTCGCATTATCTGGGTGTCTTAATTGGAGTTCTCCGACTCCAATCGGAGTTCTCAAACCTGATTATAGTCAGACTGAGGTGTTTAAATGCACTTCAGTTGTCCGGTCTTAATCGGAAAAGGCAATAACTCGGTTTTCTCGAGTGTCATGTCAACGTACTGAGTGTCAGGATGGGGTGCATGTGTGAACGCGAACAATGGAACTTTCAGTCTCTGTTGATTCTGGCGCCCCCTGTGAACAAAGTGTCTTTGCTGACTTTTTCTGTACGATAAGTGAGTTTTATTTTGACAAAAAAAAAACAATTCTTTTTGTCTCTTCACACTCAAATGTCCCTTTTCCCCCGAATTACCTGAGTGAGCAGTATGTGTGAACAGAAACATCTGAGTGTTTCACCCCGACATCACCCATTGTGTCATTTCGGGGTAGAGTCCAAGCGACCTTAATCAATCTGACATCATGATGAGTCTCCTAACACCCCCACACACCTCTGTCTGACAGGGGAAGCTTCACACTGTGAGGATGTAGGAAGTTTTTGCCTCGCCACTGTCACTCATGTTGGATGAGATGGATCAAATCTCTAGACTAGACCTGCTCTTTTTCTTTGGAAAGCGTCTTGGGATAACGACTGTTGTGAATTGGTGCTATATAAATAAAATTGGATTGATTGATTGATTGATTGATTGATTGATTGATTGATTGATGTATGAACAGTACAGTTAGGTAATTTGCTCAGCCTGGATGTCTAAAAAAAAGGAAAAACAAGGCTAATTCTGCAGCGTGGTTGTGTTTTAATGAAACCAGTACTGTTTCTTATTGTCCTACTTGCTTTTGAGGTTCACTAAAAGGCATCAATATTAATCCAGTCTGTTTCATAATGAGCAAAAATCTCCTTACAGGAACTTTAATCCTGTTTTTTTTGTGCAGGCCCTTATGTAAAAGTCTAAAAGTGAACTGATGTGTGAATGCAGCTGGTCTTAGTCTGGACTAATTTAATGTGAGCAAGTGTTTGGGATGTGGATGTTGTTCACTTGACGCTTCATTTCTCGCCTCGGTTGTCTTTGCTAACTATCTGCTGTTATTATAACTGTTGTGGAAGCATCGCTGTTCATGTTGAGGTGATATTAACAGAAAAATTCCGAGGTAAGGGGAAATGACTCCCCCGTCTCCTGCACACTCAGTTCTGGAAAATGTCAAGTTCTGAATGTCCTGAAGCAGCGGAGACAATTTTAGGGGTTCAAGTAGGAGAGGGGCTTAAAATAGACATTAGTCAATAAAATGATGGTGAGAAAAGACAGGTACATGTATGTCTCGCTTCTCTGAGTGTTGAGTGAGAATAAAACAGGAGATGCTTGAAAAAATACTTCTGTGATCCTATCTGACAAAACAAACAGTGTCCAAATCAAAAGTGCCACTAAAGATAACAGATAACAGCAAAAATAACCGATAAAAACATCAAGAAATACCTGTAATATTAATTCCAGTTAGACCAAAGTGTTATGAGTTAAATATACGTTACACAAGAGCATGAGTCACCTACTCCCCCACAGCTCATTCACCACCCGTGAGACCACAGCTCATTGTGTGACACTTTGTGAAATGACAGACTGGAGAGCTGAAAGTGCATCCTAAATGATTCGTCTGTCCCCCCTGGATCCTCGCCTTCAGGAATCTCTGTCCGAGTCGGCCTGAAAGCGTCAGAAGAGACACTGATGTGAATCCTCCAACTCCTAGGTCCTCCATGAATAATTGCACACACCACTGCCCATCTTTTGTATCCTGTGGGTAAATTGGAGGTGACATCGGGTTTTTTTTTAGACTACCTGATTGGGTGCTGGATGTCGGTTTTTGGAGATCAGGGAACACAGGAGAAAGTGTGGGCGGACGGTTAGACACACTGACTTCAGGAAATATTGTAAGGCACTGAGAGAAAATGGAGGAATCGTATCCTGTAAATCACCGCTCTGGTGCAGATTAATGAAAGCACTGACAGTAGATGTCATACATTACCAGAGTGCATGGGCACAGATTCAAAACATTTCCAAGGACTGGTGAGATAAATATACAGTTTTTCACCCGCAGACAGACTCGATAGGAAGGGAAATTAACTTCAGGGTGTGATAACTCAGATTAAAAATGACCTGACAACTATCATTTCAAAAGGAGTTTACCAAAATACTAATTATTAAGAAGTTTGACCAACCCCGGACATTGATTTAGTTGTTTATTTTGCATTTATGGGGAAAAATATTCAGCATTAATGAAGTTCCTGTTTGCCTCAGCTTCATGTTTAGTGCCACATTTATTAAAGCTACTATAAGGAGTTTTAACTTTTAAAACAAACACTGGTCATCAAAAAGGAAATTAATTATATGGAGTGATAACCTCTGAAGTAAAAAAAAAAATGAAGGTCTTTTCTTTTTTTGTTCCAACCACTTTGGAGTCAATACTCTTCCTCCCACTGGGTTAATATTTTTATCTAAAAATCAAGGACTGCAGAGGTAATTTAGTCGTATGCTGTGTGATGTGATCTGCTGTCCAAATCCCCAAAATAAAGAATTTTTAATAAATGACAGCAAAATTGCAGATCCTCGAGAGTCCCCTAGAGGAGATCCCTTAACACTCATGTCAACATCCATCCATCTACTTTCATTACTGCTTCCCCTATTCGGGGTCACGGCGAGGCTGGAGCGTATCCCAACTGTAATTGGTCAGGAGGCGGGTTCCACCCTGGACAGGACGCCTGTCTTATCACAAGTCAGAGAGACAAATATCCATTTATACGCTCACTCTCACGGGCAGTTTAACATGTCAAACATGTTTTAGGACTGTGGGAGGAAGCTGGAGGAAGCTCAGGCATGCACAGGAATGAACCATAGACTGTATAAAGAATGGACAGCGTCTGCCTCCTCGCTGGGTGAAGCCACTCTGAGAACAGCACCCTCTGTTGATGGGCTGCAGTACAGGTCATAAATCCCGCCTCCGCCAGCAAAGCTTATGGGACTGTGGACAAACTTTAGAAATTTATTACACAGAACATAAATGTTTCTCCCCCCCTGGTTGTGATGTTGACATGTAGTTCTTGTAAGACTGGTTTGTGCTCAAGTCCTTTTTTTTCTGTACAGCTCAGTTTTTTAAAGTTATTAGGGGGTTCATGTTTTCTATGATTGACACCTGGTACAGCCTATGGGCGTTCAGGGATAGCTCTTCCAGGGGGATACGCTGTTTGAGCCGAGCGTCATCACAGAGACTCTCGGCGACTGCGCGGCCGAATGTGCGCATCGCTACTGCACAGCTCTGGTTTCAAGGAAGTGGAGAAAAACCCGGAATTACCGAGAGCTTTTTGGCTTCAAATCCGTATACAGGCGGAAGATGGAACCAGGTTGTCCATAGTATATACAGTCTATGGAATGAACATGCAAACTCCATACAGAGAGGCCCTGCTGGCATGGTAACTGTGCTAACTGCTGCTCCACCCTTGTCACGATAACACCATATCATACGTCAGAAATAAACATGACAACAGCCTAACTCATTAATAATAACTAATTTCTCTATTTACACACACACTGCCTATTTGACGGCTGTGGATGATGTCCATGTACCACATCCATGTTTTAAAACAGTCCATGTGATATCATGAGGAGCGACGACGAGCTCTGTAAATGTTCAGAAACAAAACAAAGAGTCTAAATCTGAGGATGCAGATGAGACTGTCTTGTAAAAAGCTGTGGTTGACTAATAATGAATGAGGTAAAGAAAGGATGATACCTGCTGACACGCCAACAAGCTTCATTCATACAACACCAGCTGCATTTTCATGGTACACACGTTATTTTGTCAACAGTTTCCCTGAACTGCCGGCCTAGCTGTAGATTTGTGGTCCAGTTTTCAACGTTGTTTTTGCGACAGTATGAGTGAATCTTCGGGATAATAAAAATAACTTTTTCTGTAGCCGACCCTTAAGCTGCTTAAACAGACAATTGCTTTTGAGAGTACAGCTTTATTTTCGTAGTAAATCTGTGCAAATTCCTTGGTGCCGTTTATGCATCAGTCAAGTGCCTCGGCTCGTGCGCCGCTCATGATGTGCTCTGTGAATTTTTAATGCGCCCTGCAAAAACAGGGAGTTTCTCACGGCTTCACATTCTTCCTGTTACTTTTCATGAGGAGGGACTTCACCCCACCTCAGGGCGTCATCGTGGATATCCACTCACACAAAGAAAGAAACTACTGTAGCAATCTGATCACCTGCTTACTTACATCTTCTTACGCAACCAGGAGGATTTTTCTTCCAATCTCTGCACTGGGACTCTGTATCAGGGCATGAAAAACCTGCTTATCTGCAGTCAAAAGGACCAGAGTTTCCTAACCTTTTTTTTCCCCAGAAACATATGCGCTTCTGCTTTATCTCAGAGCTGCCATGTTTTTTCAATTTGCCCTCCTATATTTTCTTGATATGAGATAAATCTGTGATTACCGGAACTTGATTAAATTCTTCTCCACGAGGAAAAGGTTTCCGGAAGGCGAGGTGACAGATCTGACACAGAACTGCCACCCTGACAAATAATAATCATGGTGATAAACCTAATGTATGGTAATTCCGATATCTGCTGCTTTTTCCATCTAGCTGTAGTGTTCATTTAGATTTTTCTCAAAGCCGACACAAGATGGAATTTATTACAAAGGGCTAAAGTCAGGCCAGAATGAAATCCAGATACATTTTCAGCTCATCTCCTCTGAAATTCTCAAGAATCAGGAATTTTAAGGATTATGAAAATGAACCCTGACTGTAACAAACACAGTCTGCTCACTCTTCACTCTGCAGGATGTTGATGAACAACATTCCCCCGCTGAGGTTGTCATATATATTTCATCTTGTTTATTCATCCGTGTATATATTACATCTCTTTGTTTGGAGTCAAAGGTTGAGTTATAGATATAGAAAGATAGATACTTTATTAATCACTAGTGGGAAACAGCAAGACTACGGCAGCTGAATTCACGGGCAGTCAGAAAAAATCAAACAGACATTCAGGCACATGAAAGCACTCAAGATGAAAGATTTATCAGAAAAGATATATCTTACTTATTCTCTATCGAATACATTTAGATATAAAAGTATTCAAAATGCAAATTTATTCAATGTGCACAATTTTATGCTGGAATCAGCAGAAATATGAATATCTTGAAATCTGAATAACAGTATGTCTGGTCAATAACTGAGGAGGGAATTAAGCCAAAACTGCAAATGTGACCATCATGGTTACGGTCAGCAGCATCTATCAAGAATATCTGTGCTAAAATTCAAAAGAAACAAGGACATCTAAATGTGGAGGAAATTTGAGTCAGTTTTTGTGTTAATTACCAACAAAAACTTTAAAAAAGTATTTCCACAAATAGAAAGTACGTCTCATAAACTGCACTGTCAGGGTCCTAAAGAGCTGAGGGAATTTGAGGATGTCTCTTGTTTCTGTGTGAGTGTGAGAGACAGCCTCATTCCTGCAGACAGCACAAATCGACTGATGTGAGTGTGATGAGGCAGAACTGACAGAGAAGACGAACACTATGGGAATTTAATATGAAAGTGGCCGACCAGAAAAAAGTATGCATGGAAAAAATCTTTTCCGATGGCAACCCTCTTTTACCACTTGTAAGTGTCAGCAATGGATGGGTAGAGCTGCAAAGAGAAGAACACACACGTACGCACACACAAGACGAATGGGGGAAAAGGTCAGCAAAATAACAATTGATCCTTATCCTTTCATTGGGGGCGATGAACTTTGGCCAGAAATCACATTTCCTGACACGTGTATGTAGCTGACAGACGGTTCTTCTTCTCTCAACAAAGCCTGAAGGCGTGGAGTGCAGCTGCACAGATGTATGTTGAAGACAGATTTGTCCACCTGATTGAATCTTGATGGCGTCAGACGTCCTAATCTCTATTTAATAGCTGAAGTGTGTGATCTGTACAATCTCAATTATATTCACAGTTTTTTTTTTCTTCTGTTTTTCTTTTGGTTTTTAAACTCTTACAGTGTTGATCATGCAGACTAGGTCGTACAGAATGTTTTAAAACTACCGTAACACATCTTTCTTTCTTTGGAAAAAAAACAGCATTGATAATTGGGAACAGTTTTCTAGCTGGAATTATCAGAAACAACAAACACTCTACAAGTATGTTGTGGGGAAAACTAAGCAAAGCATCTTGAAGACGTTCACTAGAGGACATGGTGAAGAACTGTGCAGAGTGAAAGTGTGGACCCAGTAGGTCAAGTCTTCACTCGCAGGTATCTGACTTAGCATGCTGATTTTAGTGTTGAACAATAATCAGGAAGGTGCATCTTTGATTTAGGTGCTTTGTTTACTTTTGGTCCAAAAAAAAACTGCACTGAAGTGGAATTTTAGAAAAAAAAAAAACTATTTCAATATTTTAAGACTAAATCTACTTATATACAGTGCATGTCCGGTGTTTTTATAGACCCCATTGAATGTTGTATACAATAAAAAAAACATAATTATTATGACATGAGGCTGTCTTTGAAAAATCTTTAAAACATACAATGAATCTACACCACATTAATTATTTAAAGGGATATTCAGATGTAAAATTAATTTAAGATCAAACACACTGTAACACACGGACTGCTGCGGGGTGAAGCAGCTCAAGGAAGAACATTTATGATCATTTCTTCATCATTTCCTTGAAGTAATAATCATCATATTTATTATTTTGCACTGCAGACGCAGTAGTTCTTCTGCCTTAGCGTCTCGGTCTGATTGCATTTCCATGAAGAAATGATTATAAATGTTCTTCCTTGAGCTGCGTCACCCCGCTGCAGTCCACAATGGACTGGCCTGAGGTCTCACTACAAACAAGCGGCTGCTGGAAGAGAGTAGGTGAGTTGTGTTTAGTCTCTTTGCTAAAGAAGTTAGGCAAAGTTAAAAAGATGTTTGGTGGCTAGCACTATGGCTAGGACCCTATATGTCCTGTTGATGAAGTTAGGTGCTGTTCTGAGCATTATTTGTGGTGTTTTAGTTGAGGTTTGTTTATAGCTCCTCAGACCGCTGTGTATTGCTATTGTGCTGTCGTTACTAAAGTTGGTATAACTAGAGAAGCAAGCGGTCGGCAACATTCATCTCTCAAGGGGGTGTCTAACTCAGTGTTACAGTGTGTTTGACCCTAGGAAAAACTTCTACATCCGGACTGTAACTAAGTCCATTTCAACTTACTTGGATCCTACCATCAGCGCATCAAATGAACACAACTAAATGTTAAACTAAATGATAAATAAAGGAGGTTTTCTCGAAATACTGTTCCTTTTTCATATGTTGGTGATGTTCAGGCCTCTATAATGCTTTGGTTTTAACTCTTTTTGAAAGGTGTTTCCACGTGAACTCTAGTGGCGTAAACTCCTTGATTTACTCTTGTCTGTCTTTGTAGGATGTAAAACAGAGTGGGACGGGATCGGGTGCTGGCTGCGAGCCGAAGTAGGACATGTGGTCAACATTTCCTGCTCGGAAGTCTTCCAGCATTTCTCCAGTAATCAAGGTAGGTTTCCACGTCACTCCACAAAACAGCACAGACAGAGAAGGAAACCCGTTATTCAACAAACAGGAAAGTTAGACGTCTCGTTCTTTCCTGGTCTGAACGCCTCGTATGTTTATCTGCAGTGCTGTTGCAAGCTGGAGTCACTCTGATTAAGAAGCACGGCAATGAAATATTTATGTTCATTTGCAAGAATATAAATAAGCTGGGAAGTTTCTGGCAGAAGAAATGACGTGTTGTGAAACGTTGTGTGCGGGGTCCATCACACTGTGACATCCTCCCCGGCTGTTGTAGGATTTGTGCCTTCAGAGAAATACTGCTCATGTCACCAGAAGAGACACTTTCTGATATGAAAGTATTACAGTCATTAAAGTTAAAGGTGACTTAAAGTTTTGGAAGTTTTATTTGTGGAGGCGATGCAAGGAGTAAACGAGTTATTCTTGCTGTTTATTCAATCTCACAAATAACACAGTGGTTTGAAATAATGAGGCGTTAGGCGTTGAGTAATCTTAGATCAATTATTAATGGTTTGCATCTGTAAATGAGTGTTTATAGGACAGCGAGTGCATTTTTAAAAACCCTTTATCTCCAGCTTTGAATGCACATCGTAAACAAACAAAACAGCATTGTTTTTCTTGTTGTCTTTATAGGATTGTCATTGTGATCATCATCATTATGGGAAGAAAGGTCAGGCTCATTACGGCTCCTTCCTCTGAATCTTGATCGACATTGTGGCTCATTATGATCTAAATTGCAGATCACTGTCAGACCAGAGTCTTGGCTGCGTTAGTTCCTGTTCACACAGTTCAGAGACAACATCCCGTGCCGTGCACCTGTGCATGTCTTCTGTTTTGCCGTAGTGTGCTACCTGCGTTAAAACACCTGGAGATGTTCGGATCCCCAGACACACCAGAGCACACAATGACGCGGCTGACCTTTTTCTCCCGATACCCACAGCTTCCAAATGGACATTTACAAGAACTGACTGTGAGAGGATTCGAACGAGAGCATAAAAGCACCGAATGTTTTCTGACTGGATGAACTAATGGAGTGAAATGGTGCAGGCGAGGAAAGGACAGGGTAGGAATTCAATTGTGGGGGACTGACAACTTTTTGGAGCTGTGCTGTGAAGAAGATAAGTTTGTTAATGAAGATATATGTGAAGAAAACACAAGAAACTCCAACTGTCTGGCGGTTAAAGACAGGTGAAAGGAGAGGAGACTCAGTAATCGAAATATACTGTTGTGCTTTTTACACAATATGTGATTAACCTTCCTCCTGTTAGCTTTGACTTCGCACCCACTATGTCTTAAATCAGCTGCAAATTACACTACAAACAATTCTCTATCATCCAATTTGGTTCTCATCTCAAGGTTACCTTGTTAAGCTTCATTATCCATGAAAATATTGCTTATAATATTCTTTTGTAGTGGTCCTCTGGGCCTTTCTATGCCAGTAAACCCCTCACACAGACATCTATACTGAATTGATCTCACATGTCTGGACATGCCCGATGTTGTTTTTTGTGCAGGGAAAAACAGGCAAAATGAGAATTTCCTGAATCTCACATGATTGGAAGAGGATCTGACTGTCAGTGTGGTGCCTGTCAGTGCACTAATCATTAGATATTGATCTAACCGGGTCAACAGCGACCCTAACACGACAAGTGCCATAATTTTAAAAAAGAGCATTTTATCATTTAGTCAATCAAATTTTGTGGTTCCTGACAAAGTCAAAAAGTCTCGATGCAAAAAAGCTCATTTAAGTGGTTCTTTTATGCATTTAAAATCAGAAACGGGTCGGTGCAGACCCTAACACAGGAGGAGGGAGAAAGGTGAAAGGGATAAAGGTGAAGAGTACGTCCCTTTGTTACAAATGTGGTTCATGATTTCAGCATTCAGTCTTACAATACGTATAAAATGAAGGCTGCATGTGCACACATGTAGCTCAAATATTTTAGTCACATTTCTGCGTCTGGTAAACTGGCATTTCACACAACCTCTGACATTTGCCCATCATCCGTCTTTTTGAAGCCTAAGGTTTAGCACATTGGCTGTCACCATGCAACTTCACTGGAGCCATAAGGTATGATATTTGGTCCAAAGGGTTAAGCTCGGGAGGACCATGGAGTCGAAAATGTCAAGTTTTGAAAGCTGTTGAGTTTTCGCCCATCAGCCAGTTCGAGGCAAATCAAGTACATGCTCTTTAAAAGCGAGTCTTTATCTGTGATTGTATCTCACTGCAGTTGTAAGCTTTTACGCTAAGAAAACTTAAGCCCTTTCCATGCTGCTTGTTCAGGGTGTTAGTTTATGCCCCATTACATCTCTTCTTTAACATGATAATGGTAGGACCAAGTTTTCCCACTACAATTCCAGCGTTAAAGATAGCAACAGAGGTGTTGAAGTGGCAGCACACTGTTAGCAGGTGGAGCATGAAGGGCAAAACGTCACGTTATCAGGTCAGCTTTCACCAGAACACTATTCTCATCAACACGTATGAAAAAGAACTTTTCCTGAGATAAAATATTTTGATAAGAAATTCTTGGGTTCAACATTTCTTTTAGTATTTTTGTGCATTTCTGACCAAAAAGTCCAACTACCAGATAACAAAAAATCAATCAATCAATCATTAATTTGTATAGAGCTTTTGGTACAGTGAGATGTAGCACAAAGTGTTTCAAAGAAAATCATTAAAATCATAAAAAAAGGAAAAAAAAAAACAGATTAATCTAAGTGTAGAGACAAGCAGATATGTATGTAAACACAAAATAATAATAAAAATGAAACAACACAGAATGACCTGAGGAAGCTAGGAAACACTATCATGAGACCATAATGAGTAAACACCAGAGGTAGGATTAAAATGTTAAAATTCAAAATGGATGAAATGAAAATAAATACATAAAATCAAATAATAAACAGATGATAAAACACTAAAACCTAAATAAACACTGAAAGTAAGTACTGAAGGATACGAGAATAAAAGGAAGAATAAAAGAAAGTCAGACAAAAAAAAAAAAAAAATGTTAGGGAGTCATACGTGAATAATGCAAGTTGCACCCTATTAAAATAATGGCCCAAGTCATTTTTTGTCAAAAATGAGTTTTTGACCTAAATCGTGCTTAATTCATCTCAAGATATGATTTAGGTGCAAGTAAGTGCAAGCAATAAAAATGAGAAATACTCTATGAAATTTGTAAAAAAGAGTAACAGTTTCTTTTTCTTTAGCTTCAGAGATGCACTTTTAGATGGGGTCTAATGGGGACTGGCTGACATTTCGAGTCAGCCTCAAGTGGTCACTCAAGGAACTGCAGTTTTTGGCACTTAGGTATTAGTTCATGATAACTAATTAAGTTTTTGGTAAGTTTAAGATGTTGTATGATTTTGTTTCAATGTTGAAATCACTTAAAACAAATACAAAATCTCCTTGTCTGTCACCTCAGGACATGTTTACAGGAATTGTACAGAGGATGGCTGGTCAGAGATGTATCCAAACTTCGAGGAGACGTGTGCTTTAAGTGATGACAGCGAGCCTGAAACCGAGGTAAAAATCTGGCTCAAAGTGGTGCCACACTGACAGTACCCCATCAGTTGCTAATGCCAATGGTGAATGGTGAATGGTGAACCTTCAAAACTCCAGAGGTGGCAGAGAGTTATCTTAGGTCATAGCGTGTTTCATCAGTTTTGTGTTTGTATCCAAACCCCCGCAACGCTTTTCTGTGACATTCACTCAGGTCAGACATGTGAAAGGATCCGGTTTTTATCACTCACACAATGTTCCTCTCTCTGCAGACGAGTTACCTCTCCACGTTCAGACAGGTTTACACTGTGGGCTACGCCACCTCGCTCATCTCCCTCATTACGGCGATAGTGGTGTTCACAGCTTTCAGGTAAGACCAGAGAAGCACACACTGTCCTGGATACACACACACCAACATCGGGCAAAAACAGAGACGACAATGACAGGGATGCTCACTCACCCGATAAGCACTTTGCATTTTTCTTACACTTTCAAAAGACACAAATATCCAAGCATTCAGGCACAGACAGTTTGATTGATTCAGGCCGAGTTAAGCTGAAGTTTGGGAGACTTCTTATACATGCAAATATTTTCCACTTCCTTGTGTGTTTTAGGAAGTTCAGATGCACCAGAAACTACATCCACGTCAACCTGTTTTCCTCCTTTGTTCTGAGAGCCAGCGCTGTTTTCATCAAAGACACCGTGCTGTTTGCTGATGAGACCCTGGACCACTGCTCTGTATCCACGGTGAGCGTGCTCATTAGTCAATTACGTTCCCATCATACGGCAGATTCTCACATCTGTGTGATTAAGTTAGCTCAGAAAAGAGACAGGGAAGATGAGCCAAAGAGGAGGAAACATCAGGTAATTAGCTAAATTGCAAAATCTCTGCGCCAGAAAACAAGATTGGGCAGTACTTTTAAAAGATATATTTTTAACTCATAACTACTTCAGGAAAGAGGGTTGCATGATAAAATTATACCTGAACCTGTGTGTTAGTCTGTCTTAAAATAACTTCCCCTCCAGTAGCAGAAACGTTTTGTTGTGTCCTCTCCAGGCAGCGTGCAAGTCTGCCGTGGCGTTCTTCCAGTTTAGTATTCTGGCCAATTACTTCTGGCTGCTGGTGGAGGGCATGTATCTGCAGACGCTGCTGGCCCTGACCTTTGTCTCTCAGAGGAAATACTTCTGGTGGTACATCCTGATTGGATGGGGTGAGTAGAAAACAGTTTGAATGAGAGCAGCTATAGTCTCGGACGGACTTGTTCTAATAAACAAAACACACTTCGTCGTTTCCATTGAGCGCTCGCAGTCAACCTCAGAGAAGCAGCTCAGGTCTTCTCCATCTGAAGGCCATTTAACAAATCTTACTGTCTCCACACACGAGAGTAAAATCATTTGCACGAATGAATTACATGGAAAGTCAACGCAAAGACGCAATTAGACGCTTTTGCTACTCCAGCGGCATGAATGATGCGAATTGGGCGGGAGCTGAAAATGTCTCAACTTAAGCGGATATTTGAGTCGCGTTAACTTTCATGGACAGCTTTCACAGTTGGATAGTGTGTCAGAAACAGTACGGCAAGGCAAATCTGAAAGTCGTTTATCATGTGAGTAATAATTAAAAAAGTTACAAGAGATCCTGAAAACAGTTGAAACAGCCCTTTAGTCTGTAATTTTCTGTATTCTTTGAAGGTTATTATCAAAAGCCTAGAGAAGACAAATTTCTTACTGAGGATAATTTCATAAAAAGTTTGAGTCAAAGTATCTACGTCGACTCTGTTTCTGTCTCCACAAACCAAGCGCGAGTAAAATCATTCGCGCGAATGACGCGAATTAGGCACAAGCTGAAAACATCTCAACTTGAGCGGATATTCGCGACGCAATAACTAATCAGCACGAAGGTTGCCGGGTGATGTATGAAAACAGACGGTTGTTCACTGATACCTAAAATGGAGGACAAACTGATCGTGGCGGTGTGTAGGTACCCCAAATTACACGATACCTTTTCTTTCAATTACCGAAACCAGAATTAAAAGGAGCTCACCTAGAGGCAAGTGAGTGAGGAGGTCGGATTACCTGGTAAATTGCAAGAAAACCTTCGTCTATCCTTTGATCCTGCAGGTTAGATTGGCAGGGATTACCGTTGAAATTACCGTTGACGTGCGAATGAAGCGAGCAAATACTACTAAGTCACGCATCTACATTCGCGCGAATAAAGCGAGTAGATGATTTTACTTGGGCTTGATGTGAGCGCACCATTAGAGTTTGGGCCCAGGGTGACTAAAGTTGCTCAAGTTTTCTAAGTAGAAGCCCATCTGGAGGTGATGTTTCCGATAGGCGACTTCATGCTGTGAGGGACAAGTTTGAAAAATTTGGAGGGCAGAGCTCGAGAAAATGCAGAAAGGTGCAAATGTGAAAGCAGCTATGAGATTGTTATTCTCTTGCCATCTATGATTGTTGAGGATTCGCCTCTTGTCATTTTTGACTCCGAGTTATTCACCCCAACTGACATTTTTGGGTGGTAATCAGCTCACCAGAAAATCAGGTCCCTTCCCCAGCATTTTCTTGCTCTCTTTCCGTTTTTTTTCTCCGTGATAAATCTTTCATAACAGTTACGTATGCTAACCCTCTTTCAATTCAGTTAGCGTTTACTGATCTCCGCACACAGCTTGGAGAAAAAAAAAGAAAAGCCTACATCTAAGAGAAATTAATGAAGAAGTACCTTGAACGTGTGGTCAGCTGATTTAATCTTAAGAGCATCTTACCACATGAGAAAAACAAGTGAGGATAAATGGAAAAAATACAACGTCAGTTCTCGAGGCTTACCGCAAACACTCGAGGCTCTGTTAGAGAGACACTGATTCATATGTTAATTTGAGCCCTTTGTTTGGGGTGGTGTTTGATTACAGTAGACTGAATTACACTGTTACTTAATCTACTTCCTGTCACATCATTTATCCACCTGGAGATAGAAACCTATTTGTTGGCATTAGCCCTTTTTTTTCAGGCTGGGACTTTTGTGCCCCTTAAATGTAAATGCCACAGAGGGGAAATACCACTATTAACCCTCATATGACCAGTTACACTCAGTCTGTCTGGATTTGTTTTGATTATTTGCTTGTAAAATTCCTGCTTTACCGTAATGATGAGTATGTCATGCTATTCATGACTTTCGGGAACCATTTGAATTTTTCTAAATTGCGCTTATGGTCCAGGAGTTACGGTACTAATGTAAGGACTCCATGTGAAAGTGCAAAGGTGTGATGATTGTTACTGTGCTAATCATGTTCAAAGGGCTTCGGCCTTGATATCTAAAACCTGGAAACCTTTTGTTCATATAATACAAGCTGCTAAATTTTATTTAGGGTGACCTTAATTTGGGGGCGGAGTCACGCAGTTGCACGTAGTTAATATTGAGAGTTTTTTTGGGTCGGATTGAGGTTTTTTTTTTTACTCAGAACTTCCATACAAAACCACAGACATTTGAAGGATTTTATAAAGTCCCCCTGACAAGACTGGACAACCTCCAAAAAAGTCACCTTATTTCACTTCCTCACTTAATTTGCTCTAATTTCTGTGTGCTTTGAATTTCATGTGTTTTCCTATCAATGTGCTGCTCATTCAGCTTTCTTTCAAGGGGTTTGTTTGCGTATTTTGGTGTATCAACCTGTTGAGTATTTCATTGAAATTGTATTTAGTGTCACGAACTGAGGCGCAGAAGGCAGGACACAACTGCTCGACACTAAATCAGAAGGTCTAAAAAGCGCAATGGTTTAAAGTTCATGCAAGGCTTGACTATGACTATGACTATTAAAGAATGCTGGTATGAGGACTATGAAGCACAACAAACTGGGGATTAGCGTCAGAGACATGAGGTTAAATACAAGAGGTAATGAGGGTGATGGGAAACAGGTGGGGAGACACAATCAGGATGCAGGTGTGTCAAAATGGAGGAACAAATCTAGAAAACAGAGACAAGGGTTAATGATCTACAAAATAAAACAGGAAGGACAAGACATGAAACGAAACATGAGTGTGCAAAATGAAAGGAAACTTAACATAAATAAACCAACATGACATTTAGAGTAGCAGTGAATCTTATATTTTCCAGAAAGTGTCCCTATCCATGTGGAAAATATAATAAAATCCCTTAAGATCCTTTTTCTTATTTATCTTTTTCAACATCTTTTTAAAAAGTATCCGTCTTTACTGTTTTTTAATCAAACTTACCTCCAGTTGAGATCTGCAGCAGCTGAACCTTCATGCCGGAGAGGATGAAAAAAATATGAAACGGTCTTTTTAGAGAGGTTACATCACAGCAGCTCGAGGCTTACGTGGCTCCCCTTGGGAAATGAGCACATCTCTGATGTCCACACTGTAAACTTGGCCAAGCGTGGAGGTGTTCTGGACCCAGAAATGGGACCCATCAGTCTGTTTGTGAGAGACACAAAGGTCAGGCACGGAGGAAATGATTGAAAGGCAGAGGAAGACAACCACAGCTCGGCAAACTTTGAGAGACGTGTCTGAATATCTCTTGGGCAGTGCCTCAATCAGACGCAAAATAACTGTTCATAACTTCAGAAAATGACAAAACAACTCAACAGGAGGTTGTCTTCGCAGATTTAAGGCACAGAATATTGAAAATATTGTCTGTAACACCCAAAAACACATTTCAACCTGACTCTAAAACAAAACCATACACTGTACCGCAGAAAAATACACACTCTTTGTCCTGAGGTTTCTGTGTGTTTACAACCCAGGGTTTTTGTTAGTGTATCTGTGTTTGTGTGCGATGTTTACCCAACTCCCGCTGTGACCAGTTTTATCCGCTTCTTTCTGGTTGGCACTATCTCACTCTCTCACCTGCGTCCCGCTTTTATCCTGAGCTTGAGCCGCAGATTATTTTAATAAACCGAGTAAACGAAATGCTCGCTCGAGGGTTTCTCTCTGAAAACATGCAGTTAACATGTAAACTTGACCACAGGTGTCGTCAGGGTCAATTATCACACACGGACACTCGTATTATAATAATGCTCTGCTTTTGTTTTGTAGGACTCCCGTCTACAGTTCTGATACTGTGGGTCTTGACCAGATACTTCTATGACAACAGCGGGTACAGTATTAACAAATTATATCGTCTCTTCATTTCACCTCTATAATCTCTGTGTTTAACTGTACATTTGAACATTTTAATGCTTATTCTGTCTTTAAATGCAGCTGCTGGGATGACACAGAAAACGTTGCTATCTGGTGGATCATCAAAGGTCCGATAACAGCTTCACTGCTGGTGAGAGTTTTCATATTTTTCTCACTCGATTAAAATTTTGTAAATTTTTTTCCACTCTTGAGGTATTCATACAGACTTGTGACCTCATCCCTGCTAGGTCAACATCGTCATCTTCATCAATGTGATCCGAATTCTGGTTCAGAAGCTCAAATCTTCAGCCATGGCAGGAAACAATGACACGGGACATTTCATGTGAGTCAGAAAGTGAAAACAAAAAAAGTTGGACCTTGAGTTGACTCATGGAGAGGCTGCCTTCAGCCATTATGGCCCAAAGTTATGGAACAGCCTGCCAGAGAACATCAGGACCGCAGAGACTGTTGATGTTTTTAAAAGGAGGCTCAAGACTCACCTTTTTAGCTTAGCTTTTAGCTGATTTAACTGTTTTAGTTTATTTTATCCTTTACTTTTTTCACATTTTTATATCATTTAGATATTTTAACATTATTTTAATTTAGTTTTAATTTATTTTATCCTTTACTTTTATCACATTTTTATATCATTTAGATATTTTAACATAATTTAATTTAATTTTAGTTTATTTTATCCTTTACTTTTATCACATTTTTATGTCATTTAGATATTTTAACATTATTTTAATTTAGTTTTAATTTATTTTATCCTTTACTTTTATCACATTTTTATATCATTTAGATATTTTAACATTATTTTAATTTAGTTTTAGTTTATTTTATCCTTTACTTTTATCACATTTTTATATCATTTAGATATTTTAACATTATTTTAATTTAGTTTTAGTTGATTTTATCCTTTACTTTTATCACATTTTTATGTCGTTTAGATATTTTAACATTATTTTAATTTAGTTTTAGTTGATTTTATCCTTTACTTTTATCACATTTTTATGTCATTTAGATATTTTAACATTATTTTAATTTAGTTTTAGTTTATTCTATCCTTTACTTTTATCACATTTTTATATCATTTAGATATTTTAACATTATTTTAATTCCTACTATCTCTTAGTCTTTTTAGCTCCAGTGTTTCCTCGTGGGGGCCCTCCACACTGGGAGGTGTGTCTGGTCCACCCCCAGGGGGCGTGGTCCCACTATGTGCGGGGTGCACCCGGGCTGTCTGGGTCGGGGGTCTCGGGGGCGGTGCTCCCTGTGGGGGTGGGCTGTGGCTCCTGTCGGTGTGGACGGCTCCCATTGGTGGTCTTTCCTTACCAGGATCCTCAGTGCCTTGCCATGTTTTTACTGACAGTTAGTGTGTGGGTGTGTGGATATGTGTGTGCGTGTATGTGTGTGTGTGGGGGGCCTGCTGTTCATGCCTGTATGTGCTGCTGTGGGTGGGAAGGGACGGGTTTTATGCCTATTTAATTGCCTTATATTCACCGTTGTTTGTTTTTTTACCGTTGTTTGTTTTTATCTTTTTGTAAAGCACCTTGTGTTGCAGCTTAAAAGCATGAAAGGTGCTATATAAATAAAGTTTGATTTGATTTGATTTAAAAGGATTGCATTAATAAAGGTGTAGCTTTGGTAGAACAGACATTAGATTTTAGTTGAATACATCAGGACCAAAAGCTAAAACACAATCGAGCTGCAGCAGAAAACTACTTATAAGAGAGAATCGGCAGAGCAACATGTGAAAGATGTCAGGCTGTAAAAGCTTCCTGGTACTCCTGACTGCAAGAGTGAGTGTTACTTCACAGCAGGGAGCCAAACAGGAGATGAATGAACTGCTGATTGTGTTTTTGAAGGAAACAGCTGATGCCGATCAGCTGATGAAGGTGAGACTTCAGAGCTCTGCTTGAAGCTAACAAAGTCCTACATCTGTGCGATTAATTTTTACTACAGCTTTCATTTTTATTTGAAGATCATGTAGGGAGATATCATGACCCGGCCTGTTTCAGAAGTGGTTTTTCTTTCTGCAGGGTTTGTCAGATACTGATATCAGCTTCTCTTTGAAAGAATTACACGCTTCATCTATTGATCGCGGTCACAGCGGGGTAAAAAGTGAGCTGTACTCTTCGGGAAAACAGTGGCATTAACATTCTACCTACTAATCTGACAAGTTGATGAATACAAATGCTCAAAACACGCTTCAAGTGCGTGTTTGGATCTCTAATGAAAACAGTTTTGGAGTGAGACAGATTCATAAAAACTCAAAGATTCACAGAAGTGTTGGTCAGCAGTTAAAAATGTAGTGAAATCGGCTGAATGTGAATTAATGTGTCAGTGACGGCAGCTCCTTTAATGAGTTTACTCTAAAGAGAGAAAGGAGAATTAATTTCCTCTTTACAGTTTAGGAAAGAAAAAGCTGCGTTCATATTTCTACTCGGGAAATAAATCCTTCCTTTCTATCGTCATTTGGCTCAGACATTCCAGTTCAGCTGAATTAATATAAAATGAGAGCGGCACATAAAAATAGCACCTGGATACCAGAAATAGAAATCTTCTCTTCTCCGGGAGTGTGACAGGATTGTTCCACCCGTTCAATGGCTGTTGATCTCTCAAAGGCTTCATTTGTTCCTCTATCAAACTTTAATCCGATTCAGACGGATAGATAGATCTGTGATGTTCACCTGAAAGCTTGGATCCCAGCCATGACAAAAGTCGAATAAAATCTTATTAAAGGATGACAATAATCTGAGATTTTTTAGGTGGTGATGTTATATCAGATCAGAGTGTTTTTCATGACTTTTTTCTGTCCTAATAGGTATTAAATCTTCACTGAACCGCTCAGTGATAGAATCATCAGAGAACAAAGTAATCCATATTGGGATTAGCCGCTCTTTATTGATCTGTGATGGATTAGCTTTGTGTTCAGATAAGGTAACATCTTCACAACATGAGAGATTAACCCTTAGGAACATGATCAGCTTAGATGTGTTTTTTTGGAATGTATAACTTTAGTGATCACCATGATAACAAACGTACACACGGTGTTTAGACATCACCGATCTAATTCAGACTTCGCTTCGGGGACAATGCGTCACATTGTTATATTTTGACATTTCAGTTTGATCCACTGATTAGCCCGGTGACGATGATGTCTTAAAGGTCGGTTTGTGAGATTTGATCTACGTGACATCCGGGCGAACCCTGATTAAAGTTTTCAAAAATGTGACACAATTTGACATTTAAAACTTAAAAACTGATTAGGCCGACGCTGATAACATGAATATTTCAACCTGGAGATACCATTAATAATGCATCTGCTGATTTTTGTTGTTTTTATGAAATGCAAATAAATATTAATCTCATCAGATATTTAAAAAAAGGAGCTGTCTGTATTTCTAATCTGTTTGAAAATTCTCAGATTATTTTTAACTGTTTATCGGATTCAACTGATACTAGCCGTGACCTTCATGGAAAATGACCTGCTGGTGTGGCTGTGGCTCAATCCTGATCAACACTCTGGATTATGCGGCACAAGTCCTCTTCACGCTCCCTTTAGGATACTACAAAGACCAGGGGTCAAACTGAAAACATAGAAATTTTATATTAGAAACAGCTTTTACTGTCGACAGCATGAAGTTATGGGAACAGAAAGGGTTTCCAAGTTGTGCCTCATCGTTATGTGGACTAAAGTCTAGTTTCTCGTCTTTCTTTCACTCCTTTAGGAGGCTGGCTAAATCCACCCTCTTCCTCATCCCGCTGTTTGGGATGCACTACACAGTGTTTGCCTTCCTTCCTGAAACCACTGGAGTCGCAGCAAGACTCTACATCGAGCTGGGGCTGGGGTCCTTTCAGGTATCAAGCTATAGAGTTTGAGAGTGGCATCAGTGATTGATTTGAGAAATTAATGTGGGATATTTAAAGGGATATTCTGGCGTAAAATTAATTGAGGGTCAAATTCACTGTAACACAGAGTTAGACACCCCCTCGAGAGATGAATCTTGCTGACCGTTTACTTCTCTAGTTATACCAACTTTAGTAACGACCGCATGATAGCAATACACAACAGTCTGAGGAGCCACACACAAACCTCAACCAAAACGCCACTCTATAGCCACAAATAACGTTCAGAACAGCACCTAACTTCATCAACAGTACATATAGGGTCCCAGCCATAGTACTAGCCACCAAACATCTTTTTAACTTTGCCAAATTTCTTTAGCAAAGAGACTAAACACAACTCACCTACTCTCTTCCAGCAGCCGCTTGTTTGTTGCGAGACCTCGGGTTAGTCCATTACAGACTACAGCGGGGTGTCTCAGCTCAAGGAAGAACATTTATGATCATTTCTTCATGGAAATGCAATCAGACCGAGATGCTAAGGCAGAAGAACTACCACGTCTGCAGTGCAAAATGATTAATATGATGATTATTACTTCATGGAAATGATAAAGAAATGATCATAAATGCTCTTCCTAAATAAATTTTATGCCGGAATATCCCTTTAAGTCTACCTGAATATCTCTCTTTTCACCCCCAAGTTTATTGTTATAAGGGAACTGACTTGATTGCTTACTAGAATAAAGTGTAATAGGCCCAGATTGAAAATGATTTGTGTGTGTGTTGCAGGGTTTTGTGGTGGCGCTGCTGTATTGCTTCATGAATGGAGAGGTAAGTCAGTGGAGATCACAGTTTTCTAAAACTGAAGTCCTACAAACCCTAACCCTAGAAATACTTCAAAGGTTGGAGTCAGGAAGAAACCTAAAACAGTAACATCTACATCAGCTGTTGGATTTTAATAAAATACCGCAAGGACGAAAATACGTATAGGAAAAAGGTTAAAGTTTTCTGGGAGCCTTTAACTCAGAGGTGACTGGATGCTAAACTTTGGCTGTGGTCTACTACAGCTGCTTAAACACCAAATTTCTCCAGATAACAAAGAAAATTGATCAACACAAAACCATCTGCTAGCTGACAAACAATTGTTGCATAACAGATGTAAAGTAGAGAAACAAAATGTGTGATTTCCACTATTTAAATGATTTATCCCTGAAACATAAAAGCTCCACTCTGAAAACATGCCATCAAACTGACCCCTGGGTGACCCCTGCAGTGTCTTTACTGCCACCAGCCCATAAAGCCATAAATACTTGAAGTTCACTCTCTGCGGCTCGGCTTTAAGTCTCTCTCTGTGTTAATTACTCTGTTGTCTGGGAGTACTTCAAACATGTGTTCATTTGCAGGTCCAAACAGAGCTGCGCAGATGGCTGTGGAAGTGTCACAATCAAAACCATCTCACCCCCGCCAAGCAAAGCATCACTCAGATTACGATTCGAGCTCGCGGAGGGCTCAGGAGGCCTCCCTCTAGTGGCAACATCTCTACAGTATGACTTCAGGAGACAACATCTGAGAGGAAATATTGTGAAAATATCAGAAGAAATCCTCAAAAAGTCGAGGAGTCTGATGTTAACACCTCTGAGAAGACTGCGCACTTTGGAGTGAGTGAGGAAATGTTTTGATCACGATGCATTATGTTTTAGTGTCAGGAGCAGCTATGAACCATCGGTGCGATCCCTCTGATTTAGCAGCTGCATAAAAGAGTGGTTTTAAAAGTTCGGAGACTCTGGTGCTTGATTTGACCACAACAGAGACAGAGCTGTCCCCGAGCTTGCATGAAGATGATTCTACATGGTTGTGTTTCACAGTTTGGGCCACCAACACGTTGCAAATGTTGAGAGATTAGATGTGGACAGCTGTGGAGACAATGGGTCTTTGACCTTGGCTAAATTATGTTAAATACGCTCGTCTCAGCTCATTGCTTTGCTCTGCATGGAACAAAAACAGTCGTACTATTTTGGTGTTGGGTGAAAATGTGTGCAGCCGGATTGATGTGAAATCGATGCTGTGCAACAATTCATCTGCTGCTATGGAGACCTTTACAGACAGGAAGTCAAAGAGAAACCTGATCAAATGTTTAATTGAGTCAGTGTCAGAATTAAATACTTCATTTTGAGGAATCTTACGCTTCGATGAACCACGAGACACAGTATTTGTCTTTTTTTAACTTCTTTTTTTGTAATAATTGTATGTTTTTGATATATTATTTGCACTGCTGGTTGTGACAAATTCATACATGCCAGGGTTTTTCATGGTAAAATCGCCTTAAAACAAAGCATTTAAACAATTACAGTGTCTTAAAATTCATGTGTGTGTCTTTAAAGCTTTGCCTTGTCGAGTCTGTGCATCACAAACCTGTCCCTATTTATCCTGAATCTCTACAGACCACAAATAATGCACTACAATGAAACATAAGGTACTTACACTGTCTTTGTGAAGACAAAAGTTTATGTATTATTTTAAACTGAATAACTGTATTTCCATTTTTGTGGATCTTGTAAGGGAAGAAAAGCACAGGAATAAAAGATATGTGGTTTATTAAGGAACAGTTTTGACGTGAATAAGTGGGGAACCCGTTTTTTAGTAGTTTCATATCCATATAAGAGGACGAGCCAATCAAATAAATCACAATACACAAAATACAACAACAACATACCACAGATGGATTTATTTTGAAGTCAAATTTACACATTGAGACATGGATATTTGACACCAGAACAACATGTTGCACATAGTACACTTCCACAGGTAGAACATAATGTAAATGAGGGTTTATAGATATTTTTTCGACATTTAAATTACTTATATCCTCATGAATGCTCGTCATTACATACACATGCATACAGAAATAGCTCTTTCAAACTTTTATACACTCTCACACACGCTCCGAGAAACAGTAAGGCTACATAAACAAAAAAATATACAAAAACACAGTCACAAACAGTACAGGTTCTTGTCAAGAGGTCTACCTGTGTGCCAAAAATATACATACAGAGTACTGTATATATAATCAAGAAAAGACATCATTTGTACACTATGGCAAATTGATAGCAGGCGACATTTAAGAGCAGCTGAGCAACATCAGTACATTCAAAAATTCATTTGCAGTCGATACAGTTCACACACACACACACACACGCTCAACACTTAATAAAAGTGGCTGGACACGAAAAAACGGCCAAAGAAAGGCATTTTAACACAGAGGTCTGCCACACCAAAGATAGCTCGATTTAAAGGGAAAGTTTGACATTTTGGAGAGTTTCTGACAAATTCCCACTGCGCAATGCGACGTCGAAATGACATCTATTTAACGTATTTTTTCGACGATGATGTACAAATGTGGACGTCATGTCAACGTCTAAAAGAGGTCCAATAATTACGTCTATATCTTGGATCCCTTTTGCACATCGTGCCCAGAGCAGTGGATTAAACAGGCCTCTACAGCTGACGACGTCCAACTAGCAGGCCGTGGCAAAAAAAATCGATCCCAATTCCTGACTAAAAAAACGTAATTACATTTGGGATATAAATTTTTACATATAAAGGGGTCCCCTCGATATCAATAACATATGTAATGGCATTAAACTTGTTGATATTTTATCATTTAACCTCGGTGAGTGCTTGCCTTGTGGCCATAGAAGCGAACGGCGTCCGACGTGACAGGAAGTCATGTTGGAACTATTAAGAGTTCCATAATCCGGAAGTGGGGTCCGCCGGGCTGTACAGCGTATGCCTATGGGAGTGTCGCCACTCTGTTTAATCCACTGCTCTGGTTGTGCCGACGTCCAGATTCTGAACATCAGAGCGACGTCTAAAAAAGGTCCAATTTGGACGTCGAAATTTCTAACCTATTTCGCACGTCACACGGACGTCTAGATGTGGTTTTTGACGGACTGACCCAATTCTGACTTGATCTGTACGTCTCTTCGTCGTCCGATGTTTGGTGGGTTTGCTTTCTTGCCAAGAGTTAGAAGAGAAGACGGATGACAAAATGCTAACGGGGGGAAGCTAGTCAGTAGACGTTCCTCTAGAAGTGTTACCTAGCAACCTGTGTGAGTCTTTGTGCTTTACTTAGCTAATCATGCTAGCCTCCTAGCCTCCTACTCATCTAACGCTCAGCAGAAAAAGTGAACTAACACAGCTCCAAAATGTCAGACCACCGCTGTAAGAAACACATCAATTGCTTTTTTTTTTTTTTTTGGACACATAAAAAGAAAAAGAAAAAATGGTGCGTAATTATAAAGCTAATAATGAACTCTGTTAAAAACTCTCTAAGAGTTTTGTTAAGACAGGTGTGGTCAGGTTGGACTGAAATTAAGCCAAAAGTTGCAACTCCAATTTATGCTAATATTTAAAATTAAACTGTTCATGTTTTCAAAAAGTGAACCAGAATAAAATGTTTTTCTTGTTTGCAACAATAATGAGTCGTTCCAGAGTTGCACTTCAGTCCTCATGTAATTTGTCGACTTTGTAATGATTTATGTAAAAGCACAATAAGAAAATGTGAGCATTGATAAGAATGAACCTCACCCTTCCTCTACTTAATCCAAAACACAAGACTCAATATAAGTAAACCAATGCCAGTCAAACCTTCCCTTTTTTTTTTTTCCAACAAACCACTCAAGTAACATTTTAACACTTGACTGCCACCTTGTGGTAGACGAATATACAGCAGAGACACAGTCTAGTGAGGAGTTTTCATAAAAACTCTTCTTTTCACACAGTAACAGCTTTGAGACATGGTCGTTTCCATCTGAGCTGATTCAGACTCAGAGTGACGGCTGGTGATAGAACACGTAAGCAGCAGCAGAGTGGTTTTTTTAATCACACCCTCGTACACACTTTGTGTTTTATCTGTCGCGGTTGGTCCACTTCCTGAACCCGTCTTAGTTTTTTTTAAAAAGGAAATGAAATCACCTTTTAGCTCTGGCTCTAGTCCCCCTTGCAGGTTTCTTGTCTCACAGTCATACCCTTTTTTTTTTTAAAGTCCAAAAGCAGCTAAGCAGATCCTCAGTAGCCTTCTTTTTAGAGGTTTTATTTGTGTTTTCTCGCTTGTAATATCCTCTGCAGCTTCGGACTGCAATTTCCTGTACATGTTTATGAGCTTTCTTTCAAAATCAGTGATGAGACATGATGCCAAAACCTCTTGGACTGTCATCAGTAATGGCACTACATTTATGGCACTTTGACCAAAAGAGTCCACTTCACTTAATGAAATCATAAATCAGATTTACAATAACTTACACAGAAGAAAACATGAATATTGTACACTGAGAAAATTCATGACACTAGTCCATCAAAAATAACTGTTTAACAATATCATCGTTTAAAGATACTACATTCATTTAATCCACTCAGATGAAAGTGCAAAAAATAAATATCTTGAGTAAATACTGTGGATTAATCCTCCTGTACAGATTATTTCACATTTCATCACATTATTTCCCCGTATTGTCGTTATTTTTTTATGTTAGCTTGTTTGTACATAAAGGAAAAGACAAAGAAAAAAGGGTAACACTCTGCGATTGTCAAGAGCTGTCACATTAAAGCATATTATGTTGACTGTAAGGAGTTGTGAGAGGATGGTGTTTGACGCTGAAGTAAAAGTCATGATTTAAAAAGAAAACACAGCAGGACTCCTTTCACTTTGTCTGTTGTGAAAATGATAAGAACTACTGAGTGAAAGAGACATTTTTGACCCATGGTATCATCGTGATCCATAATAAAACATATAAGTCTGTACATTCTCTGCAGATTTGACTCTTTCTACGCCTTTACGATAACTATCTATTCCACTGTAAATAAAAATGAGAGCTATTCGTGACTGACGAGGCACTTTGGAATGTGAGAAATAATTCGACCAAATCAACTCGGATGAAAATCAATCAAATATTGCGAGATGATTTGAGGCTCAGAGAAAATAGCATGTTGAGGGTTTAATTCTCACAGCCTACAATACAGATACTGTACATATAAACTCATGGCACTATGAGGAGCTTGGAATAGAAGCATCCAGAAAAAAATGGCACATTTATGTTTATGTTCACAGTCTGCGGGAACACCACTGACAAGTTTGACAAATTTATGCGAGAGAAAACCAGCAGAAGAAAACTTCAGGAGCTGAATTAGAGGCTGTGTATTGATATTAATATGAGGCTAATTTTAGTTTAAGTCTTTGAAATCCAGATTTTGAATCCCTCGTGTACGTGCTGACCACCTCACAACTAGTTTCTTTGACCTTTAAAAATACAAAATCACAAGTATTATATTTCCTCTAGCTGTTCAAAAAGATCACGACTTTGCCGTTTCAGAGCGACATTTCCAGAAGCCTCGAGATGTAAAAGTGTCTTTTGTTAATGTCCTTGAATATAAAAGGAACTTAATATTAAATTTTCTTCACTTGTTGTGACTGAAATCAGTCAGATTTGTTTTGTGACTGCGACTGGGAGCCGCATCCACACACCTATCATTCATTGGCACTTTGTTCTTATACAGAAAATACTGTGTGTGTGTGTGTTTTCATATATTATATCTCATAATATTTCATATAATACAGGCAAATAGTTCAGGGTAAGACCTCCTCTGTCCTCCGTATATTTATGATGAAGTCTACAGATTTGAGCTCCAGTTCCTTTTGTTTGAAAAGGTCATTACAATACTGCATTTTGCAAAAGAAAAATAATCTGATCCAGACACTAAAGACTACCTATTTACAAAGTCCATGAGCTTTTGTATTTTTTTTTTTTTCAGTAAATCTTTTTTGACATACTCTGTACTTACGGCTGATTGTAGAAAATTTGTTCAAATTCAAGATGAAACATTGAAACAGTGAGCATTTATACAAGCAAGGCGAACATTTGGTGGGTTGATATTGATCTCAGGCCTGTTTCAAGATCAGATCCAGTCAGGCAACCTGTTTGGCACTTTGAAGCACATTAACTTTACACACCGAGAGCCAAGTACGACCCCCGCGTTTGTTCTTTAAATCTACATTTCCCCAACATTTGCTGTTCTTTTGGCACCAACTCTGATTTGTATTTACTAAAACAAAAAAACAAACGGGTTAAATTAAAGTTTGAAATCTTGGTTTGGTGGGTTTTCCAACATTTTTTGCCAATATTTGTTTGTAAAAATGTTAAGTGCATCATTAATTATAAAAAGTTTCAATCTGGAGTCAACTAAAATATTCACATAAATGAGATTTTAAAGTCAAAGGAATCAAGTATGTAGGTCAGCTATGCACCTGTGATGTATCTCCATTAAATGCTTTCAGAAATACCTCATTTCTCAAGAGATGAACTACAAAATAAGAGTTTAAGGGGCCACTTTGGTCTGCTCTGGTTGGTCTGGATTTACATTAAGTGGAACGGCACCTTGAATCGACTCCTGCCCGTCACACGCTCAGGTGGGGAGGCTGATGTTGGCGTTCTCCGCCAGCGGGCTCGACATCCGGATCTGGGAGCTGCTCTTGCTCAGGATCGACAGCTGAGTCCCGCCGTTCACTCCACTGCTGGCCAATGAAGGGTGCCTTTGCTGCTTCAGGTCCACAGCAAAGTATCGGTTCACTGTCCAGCTGCGCCATTTCCTCTTGATCTCTGACTGCACCTTCAGGGAGAAACTTCACAAGGTCATTTTTAATGAACTTTAAGCTGCACCAGCTCCACGAAAAGGTACAGTACACCAACCGTATGTGGATTATATTTCTAATGTGTTTAATTTCTGCTGTAGGAGCTTTTGTGAAACCCTTTAAACAGTCAAATAAGTCTTGATATCACACAGCTATAAAAAAAAAAATAACTCAGGAGTCCCTCTTCTATCAGTAGGTGTTGGGAAAACCACCAAGAGTCTTAGTTGGTACAGGAACAGAGCTTACCTCTCCATTGAGGAAACAGTAGAGTACAGCTACAACGAAGCCCTGAGGAGGAAAACAGACACAACAAGAAAGAAAATAAACTTGAGATAAAAACACCAACAGATGAAGTAGTATTAAAACTTAGCCTGGTAACTTTTTCAGCTATTTCTAAGCTATACAATCAAATCAAGGACAGGGAGGACTCAGTTACAACCAGGCAATGAAAAAGGTTATGAGTAACTTTATGTAACGTGTTCCATGAAAGGCGAGGATTTTGCACCTAAAAGAAGTCGTATAAAAGTTCATGTTTTCCTGAAAATTATTGATTGGGGCAGCAGTATCTCAGGAGGTAGAGCGGTCATCCAATAACTATAAGGTTGGCGGTTCATTTCCCCGCTATCCTGAGTCTGTCCGTTGTGTCCTTGGGCAAGACACCCAACCCACCTTGCTCCCAGTGTGTGTCCTCCACTGGTGTACGATTGTGAGTGTTGTGTGGTGGTGTTCGGAGAGGCCGTAGGCGCAAACTAGCCCAGGGCAGCTGTGACTACCAAGGTAGTTTACCACCACCAAGGTGTGAATGATGCATCCAGTGTAAAGCGTTTTGAGGATCTCTGATAAAACACTATATGAAATCTGATGCATTATTATGATTCAAATGACCATACAGGCACTTAAAACCCTAATTCTACTGGGCATAAATTAAGCTTGTCACCTGACCCTAACCCTAACCCAGTGAGGGACCTGCTGTATCACTAATAAACCATAAACCCTGACTACAATCACTATTTCTCTCTTTTATTTAATGCTAATGTTGATGTTAAAGCATGCTGGCTTACCTGCCTCAGAGTAACTTTAACATATTCCTGTCTCTTTCAGCATGCTGGTTTTCACAGATGAAAAACTAAAAAGACACAAACTCTTTTCTGCTCTCATCTGTCCCAGGACCCTCTAACACAATAAGATTTATTGACTGAACTCTCATCTGCTCAATGATACGACACTGAGAAGTGAGACATTGTTAAAACCACAATTTAGTCAGATCAGGGACAGAAAGTGAAGATTATGAGGGGCAAGATTCTGGGAATGTCCTAAGCTATTATAAAAGAAGACATAAAATTGAAACATCTGTCTTTATAAGGGAAATTTCACTACATATAAAAATAAAAACACAATATTATCATTATCGATGAGAGTCCTTTGAATCTGTTATCATCTGGCCAGATCTGCTGCACCCAACAATACTACAGTAGAGACCAAGAGTTGTGAGCTATATAATAAGGCATTCTTAGAAAACTGGAGCCTAACATGAAAAACAGACATTTCTGGCAAGGCGGCCCCCAACAGAAACCAAGCACCAACATATTTTTATCTTAATATTTTTAGAAAGCATTGAAAAGAAATTAAAAATAAGGATTGTGTTGACTGCATCTCCAATTCTCATGATGAATACTTTTGTGTTCACTTTTGGTTGCTTTTTTGTGCTCATGATAAATCTTCTTGTTGGTTATCTAATACTCGTCTTTGGTTTAGCAGCAGGTACTTAAGGAGCTGTGAAATCATACCTGAAAGGATCCAAGTCCCAGTTCAAAGACCAGTCTCTCCCTTTTGCTGACGTCCTCAGGTGAGAAGGCGAACACAGTGTAGTGAATTCCAAACAGAGGGATGAGCAGGAGGGTAGAGCGTGCCAGACGCCTACATACATACACACACACATACAGACACACACACACAAAACACACACAGTTGATTAGTGGGGTGGAAGTCAAATGTAAATCAAAGCCATGGTTTAATCGGGCCGGTCAGCTGGATGTGATGCAAGAACAGAGCCACTGATGCAATGTTATGACACATTTTCTGAGTCTTTTACTCACAGCTCTCAATTCTTTATAAAGACATGAATGAAAAAAAGGAGGGTTTTTACTGAAGGATAAGACTGGAGTCGTTTTTGTTTATTGTTTCAAGTAGAAATCCCATTAAAAGACAAAAACCAACAATGAAATCAACTCATTGTTCATAAAGCCCAATCCAAATATGTCTCTTTCTTCTGTTCAGCAAAAAAAGATAAAAACATGAGCATAAATCTCAGTATTTCACAGTTAGCATATGAACTGCAGTTACTTTCATGTCAGATTAACATTTGCCACACTGCAGTTGTTAATACTCACCTTGGAGGGTGATTTTTTTTTATAAAAAATTGGAAATATTAACAAGAGGATAGCTGGGGAAGTCACTAATCTGTATTTTTTGCCACGATAAATGAAGTCGTTGGTTTAGGTCCATTATGGGACAGGTTGACAGTAAGACAAATACACAGTTACCCCAGCCTTATCCTGTTGAATTGAGATCAGATTTAGTGCACTGATCTCTGTCCATGACTGAAACAGGGACAACAGCTGACATGTGCAATCTACTCCTGGAGTTACAAGCAGGAAAGTATTAGTTTTGACTTGGAGGTGAGGAGTGGAGGTACAAAGAAACAAAACAAATGAGACATTAGAAGAAAAATGAGGCATAAATGGGAAGTTATTAGGAGTCCAGTCCATAGACTGTATATACTATGGACAACTTGGTTCCGCCTCCTGCCTGTATACGGATTTGAAGCCAAAAAGCTCTCGGTAATTCCGGGATTTTTCTTCATTTCCTGAAACCAGAGCTGCGCTGTAGCGATGCGCACATTCGGCCGCGCAGTCGCCGAGAGTCGCTGTGATGACGCTCGGCTCAAACATTGTATCCCCCGGGTGAGCTACGCAATCCCTGAACGCCAATAGGCTGTACCAGGTGTCAATCATAGAAAACATTAACCCCCTAATAACCTTTGAAAACTGAGCTGTACAGAAAAAAGAGGACTTGAGCACAAACCAGTCTTACAATAACTACATGTCAACATCACAAGCAGGGGGGAGAAAAATTTATGTTCTGTGTAATAAATTTCTAAAGTTTGTCTACAGCTTCATAAGCTTTGCTGGCGGAGGCGGGATTTATGACCTATACTGCAGCCCATCAACAGAGGGTGCTGTTCTCGGAGTGGCTTCACCCAGAGAGGAGGCAGACTCCGTCCATTCTATATACAGTCTATGGTACAGTCTGGTCCTCAAGGACAGAAAAAAACAAAATTGGAACTTTTTCTGTGGGAGACGTTGAAAAGTAACATCACAAATCAAGAAATTTTTGAGAGGACTGCTCAAGAATTCTGCTTCATTATCTTTACTTGAGTTCAAAGAGCTTATTTGAGGGTTAAGACCAGGTTTAAAGGTTATTTCAATGCAAAGGTTTGCATGTCATTGTGATGGTTTGATTGTTTTGAGGGTGTAAAGGGTGCACTGCATGGACGTAAGGGTCCACACAAGAAGAAAACTTAAAGTTAATGTGAGTATGAAAGTATGGCATGTGGGAGTCCGGACCGTTGTGAAAAGCTTCGAGAACCACTGGTGCACAACACACACATACGGTCAACACGGGACGGACACATAAACACATATGTTGGCCAACAAACACACACGTACACACACACTTACAGTGTGATGGTGGATAACTCTGACATCCTGCACGAATGCTGAACAGCCTGTGTGGGCTCACTGAAGCATTTCTGAGCACAGCTGCTACACAGCACAAAGACAACACAACAATACAACAAAGACAATGTCTTTAGGGACACAGACACACAGTCTTACGCTACTTACACACACACACATTCACTCACACACTCACACATACGTTCACACTTGGTCACACACGCACAGGTCTAGGCAACAGATGAGAATGACATTATCTGCAGGGCCTCAAAAGACGCCTTCCTGTGGGAGCTGAACAGGAGTGATGTCTGGCTACAGTACAGCTCCATAATGAGGCTCAAGCTTCCTGCCAACAGGTAGCAAAGATTAAATTTATTCTGAAAAAGTGTCTGCAAAGACACACAAGAGGTTTAATGATAAAAATGTAAAGTGAGACATTTTAACGGCTGCGATAAAACGTGCTCCGCTTTTTTTTACGGGTCTTGTGATTTTATTAAATAGTGTACGGACGATGGCTTTTATTGTTTTTTTAGTGGTAGAGTTTGCAGAAAAACAAGAAACATGTTAGCATATTGTGTCTGGGTTGCCATGCAGTGATTGATTAAAGGAAAAAGCTGGTGTAATTGTTTGTTTTCCTATAAACAAAGTCAATAAAAGACCTTAATTTTTCCAACACCTGGACCCTGACTCCTTATCTTAGTCTTAGTAGTTCCTTATAATCAGCAGAGTTTTAACAAACACGACTCAAAAAGAAGGAAATTATCCAGTTGACATCCAATGCAACAGTGGAGCTTATTTATGTGTTTTTAAGTCATCTTCAACAACAAAAAAGAAGTTTTATTTCAGTGGAAAAAGAAATATCATACTGTAGCTTTGAGCTGACTTCATCCTAAGATAATATTGTCCTACAGGCTCTCTTAATAAGAAAAACATGACACTGACCAATTCCAGCTGCATCCTTAAAGACGCAGTAGCAGTATTGTTTGTCATCTTTTTAAATCATCTTACAGCTTAATTACTTTCTATTATAACATATTTCTTACAAACAAGCTATTCCAGAGGATATTAGCATTTATCGTAACTTACAGGTAAATGCTGGATTCATTCCCTCCGATGTCAGGGGACTGCAGCTTCTGGACCAGGATGATTATTATTCCAATGAAAAGTACAAAGTTGATCTGAGGAACACAGAAAAAAAAATCTGATGTTTACGAGAATAATAAAGGAAAATGTTTTAAATAAATCTGATGGGAAACATTTCTCCTACCATAATGGAGGCTACAACTGGTCCTTTAATCACCCACCAGAGGGCAGTATTCTCATTTGTATCCCAGCATCTAAAAAGGAAGAGGAGGAGGTCAGTGCGTGGTCTTCTTTACTGTCTCTCAGCATTTTGTATTACATAACATCAAACGGGTGTCCTTTTGCAGATTAAGAGAGTGGGCAAGAGGGTCAGAGAGGACAGGAGGATTTCAAACAAAAGAAAATAAATGGTAACACTGGCGTAAAAAGATAAATGTTTCTTCCGAGGCCATGTGTTTCCTATCATGTGAAATTGCAAAGCCAATATTAAAAGCCAGAACAAGGTAAGGTTGGTAAGGTTGCTGCAGTTCCTCCAGAGGTGTTTTACCCGGTGTCATGGAAGTGGAGCCTTAAAACCGCCCAGACAGTGACGCAGATGGTGGGAGTTCCTGTGATACAAACAGTAACGATCAATACACTGAGGATACGATCATAGATCTTTGTATTTTGCATTCATCTGGTTCTGGCATACACGGTACAATCAATACAATGACAGGTCTGGTTTTCATCACACAGCAAATCAACAGATACAACACAAGAATCATTTCTTCAATGAGATACGCTGGATGAAACGTTCTGAACTATCAGGACATCCAAATCTCATGTAAATGATTCCTCTAAAATTAAATAACGCTGACATGAAGACGACTTTTAAAGCTGAAAGTGTGGCATAAGGGCCTGTTTCCACTAGACGCTTTCTGTGTCAATTTATCAATTTACGAATTTATTTATGAATTATTTATTTATTATTTATGAACTATTTATTATGTATTATTTATTTATTATTTATGAACTATTTATTTATTATTTATGAACTATCTATTTATTATTTATGAATTATTTATGAATTATTTATTTATTATTTATGAATTACTTATTTAGGAATTATTTACGAATGAATGATTGCTGACATGAAGATAACTTTCAAAGCTAAGTGTGGACTAAGGGCCTGTGTCCACTAGACGCTTTTGGTGTCAGCAGCATCAATTTACTCTTTAAGTCCAATGCAGCTCAGTGTTTCAGTATCCTGACAAAGTTAAAAAACATCTTCAACTTTAGCTGTTTTTGTTGCTCTCAGCTGAAAGTAGTTCAATTTCTGCCGAGTTTGTCGCTGTCGTTTCCCCCTCGCTGACCAATTCTTATCTATTTATTATGTATAGAATTTATTTGAACATGAACAACAATTAAACATAGTACAAATTAAAGACATAGACATACACACAAAACATAAAAACCCAGAAAGAAAGCAAAACCAGAGTCAAATTATTTTGTCATTCGCATGTTCAAAATGGAGTGAAAGGAAGTTGAAACTTGCCCGGTCCCACCCCTTCACCTCGCACAAATCATCAATAATTCATTTACCTGCGTCCAGTTAATAATACCAATTAAAAAGATGAAGGATCACTAATAGTAACTGTTAAAAAAACTCAACATCCAGACTCATTTCTTTAAAGTTATATCTCAAGATGTAGAGCTGCTATTGTCAAGAATTCACTCCTTGTGATTGATTAAACAGACATAACTGTCACTATAAAAGGAGACTGAAGACAACTTGTAACCAGCAACAACAGGTGCTGCAGAGGAGTGCTTTAAATTTGAGGTCGTGGTTGCTGCTTGTGCAACACACACTGTTAATGGACACAGGCCCTGGAGAGTGGAGTTACACATATAGTTACTATGGCAATCACTCAAGTATGGATACTCACCCCATCCTACTATAGTGTACCAGTAGAAGTAGCGTCTCTCAGGAAAGAAAGTCTCCACCAGCAGAGTGAAGAGATACAGACCCTCAATGAACAGCCAGAAGTAGTTGGACATGACGCAGTAATGGAAGAAAACCATTACGGCTTTACATCCCACCTGCACGAGAGGAAACGCAGAGAGAGCAAGAAAGAGAACAGACAGTCATCTTTTATGAGTTATTTCAGATCTGGATCTGACTCACTGGCTTTCTTATTACCGTATATAAAAGGAAAGGTAAAATCTGCAAAATCATTTTTTAAAGGTATCACCAGCAGTCAGTTGTGAGACCCTAAAAATGTTAGGTATATAACGTCTGCTTTGGACGAGCAGGTGTTTTTTTTTTTTAGCATTTTGTTGGAGCTACAAATGCAAAACCTAAGACAATAAATGTCAGAGTGACAAATGTCCCCGTTCCTGTAAAACACAGTGCAAACAGAGATCCTTGTCACTGTTACAACAAGGTTTCGACTCAGTGCAGTACACTACAATTTCCCTTAAAATCACAACATTTAGCAACCACTGCATGAGTGGATTTAACATGCTTTTTTCACAGGCGGCAGCAGAGGCCCCGCATGTACACATATCAGGAGCAACATAATCAAATGACATCATGTTAATTAAAGAGTGGGGGTCAACCAATTACAGAGCAGATCTAATTCCTGGTACCACAATATCACGATGCTGACCTGTGATCGCCATAGTGACAGGAGTAAAGCAGCGGTTTTGACAAAAAGGCCACAGCACCCATTGAAATGTTAATAGCCTCTAGTAGAAGATTTCCACTGGTCTTGCTGAAGCCATTAGCATACCTAATTAGGTTTATTTATCATGGCTGCTTAACAAGAGTGAGCAATGTGTTGTTAGCAGACAAAGGCTAAGAGCTTGTTCTGCATTCGTAATCAGGGAGTATTAGTCATCTAATAGCGTGTTTGCTTTGTGTACGATCTGCATGTGACTGAAGTACTTTCAAAGGTAAATATCAAACAGGAGAGACTTGAGGGGAAGTGTTTGAAGCCCCTCTGTCTACAAACCTCTCCTTATATCTCAAACAGAAAAAGAACATATGTTTCTCTTTATAAAACAAGTGGCCGCACTTCCATCAAATCCTTTTATAAACCGCTCTGGAAATGATTAGCTGATAATAATCCAGGAAACGTCTCGCTGCTGCCAATGCAAACTTCTGATACTGATTTAGGATAATTTACAACAATAACAGCTTTATTTAGCTATTTTATGCTTCAAATCTAGGCTAATGAAGTAATAAGTCTTCTTGACTGAAAGTAGCACATCCATTTTTCATTAAATCATACCCAACAAGAGAGCATTGTTCTGTTTTTTTTTTTTTTCTCCTGTTGATTATGACCATACGGAGCAGAAACATGCAGCACATCAGCCGCGGATAGTGTATGTATTAGTTCTGGTTACTGACTGTGTGTACGAAGCAGTGGTCGCTGTCCTCCTGAGCGTACAGCACTCCATCCTTGATGAAGACGGAGATGGCTCTCAGGATGAAGGACACAAACAGGTTCATGTGAATGAAGTTCCTGGTGCAGTGGAGTTTCCTGCAGAGATTGAGAAAGTTTGACAAACACACCCAAACATGCCTGAATTGGATTGACTTAAAGGGATATTCCGACGTAAAATTAATTTAGGGTCAAACACACCGTAACAACGAGTTAGACACCCCATCGAGAGATGAATGTTGACGACTCCTTGCTTCTCTAGTTATACGAACTTTAGTAACGACCGCAGGATAGTGATACACAGCGGTCTGAGGAGCCATAAACAAACCTCAACCAAAACGCCACTCTATAGCCACAAATAATGCTCAGAACAGCACCTAACTTCATCAACAGGACATATAGGGTCCCAGCCACAGTACTAGCCACCAAACCTCTTTTTAGCTTTGCCTGATTTCTTTAGCAAAGAGACTAAACACAACTCACCCGCTCTCTTCCAGCAGCCGTTTGTTTGTAGCGAGACCTCGGGCCAGTCCATTACGCACTACAGCGGGGTGACACAGCTCAAGGAAGAACATTTATGATCATTACTTTATCATTTCCTTGAAGTAATAATCACAATATTAATCATTTTGCACTTGCATTTCCATGAAGAAATGATCATAAATGTTCTTCCTTGAGCTGCTTCACCCCGCTGTAGTCCGTAATGGACTGGCCCGAAGTCTCGCTACAAACAAGCGGCTGCTGGAAGAGAGTAGGTGAGTTGTGTTTAGTCTCTTTGCTAAAGAAATCAAGCAAAGCTAAAAAGATGTTTGGTGGCTAGGACACTATATGTACTGTTGATGAAGTTAGGTGCTGTTCTGAGCATTATTTGTGGCTATAGAGTGGCGTTTTGGTTGAGGTTTGTTTATGGCTCCTGAGACCACTGTGTTGGTGTAAGTTGGTATAACTCAAGAAGCAAGCGGTCAGCAACATTTATCTCTCGCAGGGGTGTCTAACTCTGTGTTATGGTGTGTTTGACCCTAAATCTATTTTACGCTGCAATATCCCTTTAAATAGAAATAAGTCAGAGGCTGACACCTACCCCCTTCTATCACAGTCATACAGTTTTGTACAGAGGTGGTTAAGAGAGGACCTAAGCTGTTTGAATAAATGGTGATTACTGGGGGGTTTGATTAGCATGTCACATAGAGAACCAGTATCTGGTTTCTGGGAGATGTAAGCGTGTGTGAGACGGAGCTGAAGAGGAAAAAAAGAGGGAGAGTTATCACAGTTTGAGATTTTCTTTGAGCACTGACCCAGGTTATCGTGCGTTTACGATCTCTCTCTGGGATGCCGAGGAGCTAAAAGACCTTGGCTGGACGGTGTTACTGCATCATATTACTGAAGTCAATCCTTTATTTATGAGAGGAGCACTTTAAGAGCTTCACTTCAGACTCCAGTTTTGGGAAAAGGGGTTTGGGATTGGACCTTTACTCGAGCAGATTCAGCATTAGAGCCCAATCTCAGGAATTTCCTGCTCTGCCTATTGTCCTCCAAACATACTGAAAGTAGAAAACGCCCAATAAAGAGCGATTTTCCTTTTTTTTTTTTGTAAAAGAAAATAAGCAGCCTAACTCACCTGAATCTGCAGAGGATGACCATAGCTGTGGTCAGAGACACCAGCGATGTGCTGTAGCCCACTGTGTACAGAGCCTTGACTGAGGAGTAGTATGTGTCCTAACGTTGAAGATGGAAGGTTACTAAGAGTTTTGTGTGTGATTAATAAAAGAGGATATCAATAATAGGTAAGAATAGGTGTTCTCACAGGTTTCGTGTTGTTGTCGTAGAAGAAGCAGACGTCCACATAGTGAGGGAAGGGTTCAGACCAGCCATACTCGGTGCAGTTACGACTGACCCTGCCCATCTCTGAAAGACAGATCATGTTCCAGCTCGGACTTAAACCGAATACAAATGAGATCAAATCAAATAAGTCACACATCTGGTGCTCTCCTCACCATCGTCAGGACCCATGAAGTCATGGAAGAGCTCTGGACAGTTGACCCACACGACTTCTCCGATGCTGGCTGCCTGCCAGCAGGTCAGATTGTCCCACATCCACGGACACACTGAAAAGACGAGAGAGAAACGACACAAAGAGGTCAGAGGAAGATTTTATCAGATTCTTCTGATGGTGAACTGATGAAGTGAAACCAACATTGATTGAATTGCATGAAACTGAATTAAACTCAAGTTACACTGATTGAATTGAAGGTTTAATTTCTTGTGATCTTTCATTAACACCCACATGGGGCAGAGTGATATTTATCGTCTAAGACAAATGTTCCTAAAGGGTGAGGCGTGACTCCCCTGGGGGCGAGAAATGTTTTAATCTAAAGTGGGAGGAAAAGTTTGGTCATTTTATAAAACTGTATTGGTTTACATTGATATCAGAGACAATAAAATACAAGAACTTTATTGATCCCTCAAAGAGAAATTAATTAAGAAATTCATCCATTCATTCTTCAATTCATTAACAATGCACTGACAAGAAAATTTAGTACACATCCCCTCTGACTTGAATGTAACTTTATCCTTTAAAGCTGCTATGAGGAGTTTTTGGACATCACTGAAGACCATCAAGGATAAGACTTTTGATTACTGTATCAGGGCTGGTAATTCTTAATGCCTTAAACTTGTGTAAGAGGTGTTGATGAGCGGCTGAATAAAGTATATAAAACACTTACAGCAAATAATACACCTTACAGCAGGAGGAGATTTTCTTGTTTTTTTTCGGTCAAAGGTCACTTAAAGGACTTAAAACAAAGAAAACTTTAAACATGTGAATTTACATAATATACAGTATATACACCAATTTAATTATGAGATATTAAAAGATATTTATGGCAGAACTGACGTGTTAGACCCTGATAGTTTGAGGGAAAAAAAGGTCATTTTTATCATTTTTTTTCTGTCAGTTTATTCAGATACTTTCTATCTAGTATTACAAACAAGTTGCCAATAATTCGGTTTTAATTTCTGTTTAGTTTTGCTCTGATCTGATCAGGGTTCCAATGCAAGAATGGAAAGTATGGAAAAATATGGAAGTACTTCGATCAATTTTCAGGTCTTAAAAAGTAAAAAAGGCAAATGAGAAATAAAGTATGGAAAAATATCTTTGTTTCCAGACTATTACCATAGACCTAAAATACAGTTTTCTAAAAATAGAAAAGTAGGTATTTCCAAAAATAATCCTAAAAAGTAGGGTATGGAAAAGTATGGAAATTCCAACTGTGTAGGAACCCTGATTGAATCATTTCTCGGCTCATATTCAAGATTAATCCCACATATGATATTTTCAGCGCTGCTTTGATTTCTCCCTCTCTTTCTACCTCTTCTTACTTTGTTGTGAGGACCCTCCTTTTCTCTGTCTCCATCTCCTCAGGTTAACTAATACTGCTTTTGCTTGAATTCTTCCATAGTGCTTCAGCAGCAGGTTCGATCTTGCATCTTCATTTACTCTCGTGAGTTTAAGAGTGCAAGCAGGTATCTCTGTGTGCATGTGTGCGCTCTGACATATATGTGTATCTGCAGACCTTTCTCTAATCTGTTTTGGTTCTGTCTGGTGAGCCGGACACAAAGCCAATTACCTTTTAAAGGGCAAATCGGAGCCAAATGAGCCGCACAGAGCAGCAGAGGTAACCGCCTTAATAAAAGAGTCTGTCTGCTTCGCTGGATATCTCACACAAGATCCCCCAATGTACTGAAATCTCACTGGGCTGCTCAGTATCTCTACACACATCCTGCACATACACAGCGTAGAGAACAAGCACATGAACACATGGAGGAATTTTTTCTAATTAAACCTGATCTTATCAGATAATTGAGGGAATTGTTTTTTTTTCTGTATTCAGATTCAATTGAGTGCCACACAAAGAGGAGGTGGATCAGAGTGAAGTTTCCCTGTACAACCACCTGCTAAAAGAATATTCATTCATTATTTTTCTATCAAATCTCAAACACTGAGAGCAAAACACGAGAATCCAGACATTCAGCTTTTTATGATTTGCAGCCTGCTTTTAATTTGCCTGACCTGCCACCTTCCCCTCTGGCAGAGTTAAAACATCCATGTAAAATATACATCCAGCTGTGATTACTATTGTCACTAGCTGCGTTTACATGGGCACAAATAATCAGAATAAATGCCCGATCTGATCTGAAACATGTTGATCGGGAGATTCTGATCCAATTCGGCTCAATTGGAAAGAAATTGTATTCCGATCGAGAGAGGTGGTTTATGACGATTGTCATTCCGAAGCGCGTCCATGTAAACACTTATTCCGATCGTGACTCTCTTACCTGACTCACATTCACTCTTTAACCTTTGGCTATTTATGGAGGTTGGTACGGGAGGTTTCATTTTTAATTCTCTCGCATAAAACACAACCACAGGTGCCGTAGTCTGCTCCTCCGGTAACATAACAAGGCAAATATACAGCATAATGATGCCACATCTGCGCGCACAGAGCGACCTTTGAGAGAACAGTAAAATAAGTACCAGGGGCGCCATCTAGTGACAACATTTAACAGAGGGGAAACTTGTGAATTGAATGGAGTGCGCTACTACCGTGTTTAATAATACAACTCTTCTTCCGCAGTTGTTTTAACAAAATCAGACAACTCTGTGCATGTCCAAATGCTTCTAATCTGAATAAAGCTTGGTGCATGTTTACGCACATCATGATCTGATTATTGGAAATCAGATCAAGAAATTTTGCCCATGTAAACGTGATTACTGATGCTTTTAAAAGTCATATCCAGGCATCAGTAATTATTTCAGTGAACTCTATTACATGTTAGAAACTCCACACAGACGCTTTAAAACGGCTAAAACTGAAGACAAATAAACTGCAGACTGTCTCCTTTCTGTCTGCTGATTATTTTCTTTATTAATTCACTGTTTGGCAAATGAGTTTTAAAAAAGCACAAATCACCCAAAGACAAAATTCCTTCTGTTAGAACAAGAAATTTTCTTTTACTTATAATAAAAATTATAATTAACTATTAAATCATTTGATTTGTTTTCCTTTAACTCAATTAAAATCCAATATAATAATTTCAATACAAAGTGTTCGAGTCTGTTCTGTTGTGGGACTGACATATTAAAAGGAAAAAACTCATCGACTCTAATTAATTTGGATCAACTTCTTCCTCGTTTGGCTTTAAGGAAACTTATTTGTGAAGTACCCTTTCAGAGAACATTAATCCAATCATTTTGAGACGCCAAAGCTGCTGTTGCTAAATTTAGCTCATTCAGATTGTGAGTGAAGCACCGGAAAAAAACAAATCACCATGAAGCAATTTCACACAGCATACATACTAATCTGAGGTCTGAAAACCTGGATTAAATACTGAGAACAAACAATTCTTTTAGAGATGGATCTTATTAGCAGAAGTAAATAAAATAAAATCATCCAACCACCTACAGTCTGCTTTTATTTTCTCTTGTTTATTCTTGTCCTCTTCTCATACTCAGTTCTCTAAACAAATTTCAAGCTCCATATCGGTTTTATGCAAACCCAGCATTTTTGTTTCCTCACCAGCCATGTACTGTCAGCACAAACACAGAACGGTTCCTTATAAAAGGGACCGGAGGAAACAGGAATCACTCAAAAGGTCAGAACAGGGCAACACATGTGACTTTGCTTTCTAAAAATGGAAACTTCAATACAAAAACAAAGCGTCCATGTCAGAGAAGTTTGGGAAAGAGACACAGAGGACTTACTTTTACCATGTTTGTAAGTATAAAATGAAAACCAAAAATCTAATGGAATAAAATAATGTGCTTCAACCTTCATCTGGTCATAAGAATTTCCAAAAATGAATCAAAAATACACAAAAGCTGAGATGAGCACATTTAGCTTTCCACGTCAAACACTGCAGACGAGGTTTGTGAGATTCACTGATTTAAAACTCGCTCAACTTCAAGCTCCTCTAAGCTTTTAACATGTTATTCTACTTTCAAAGTCCTTTGTGTGTTCGTGTTTTTCCTCAGCGTCAGCCGCACAGAGAGTTATGAGTCACAGTGCAGTCTGGGAGATGCAGTCTGTTGGGCAACTCGGGAGCAGTGGGAGACCTACAGCAGTTGCTAATGAGAACCACCGTCCACAGCCAAGAAAATAATTGCTTCCAGGAATCACATACCGAGCATCCTGCTTTTTTTTTTGTTTTTTTTTTGGTGTGTGTGTGAAAGAGGAAAACATGAAAGAAGCCCAGCAGGACGTTACAGGCAGACAGCTGTGTATCACTGGATAGTCTCTGGTGTGTGAGATGAGCACGGAGTAGCCATCTAGGGTGATGCATTGGTGTTGTGAATATGATAGAAACAGCAGTCATTTCTCATCCTTATGTGTCCCTCTGTGACCTTTTCACTGGATAAAGTGAAAAATGCTTTGTCACTGAGTGAACAAACAACTCTGTTATTTATTCCTTCCCGGAAAGCGGGATTTTAAAAGAGACGCACGACTTTCATCAGCGTTTTACTGAGTGAGATGTAAACAGCTCAGTCCCAGCAGACTACATGGAGAGCAGCGGCTTTATGACAAATTGCGCACGAACAAGGATACGGCAACAAAGAGTGTAAAAATGCATAAACACATTCAGACAATATTGCAGACTCAATCTCACTTACCCAGTTCCTGGTCATCGGTGGGATTGTGCAGCATGATCCGCTCCATGCACTTCTCATGTTCACGCTTGATGATACAGTGCTCGGACTCTGAGGCCACCTGGAGGAATTAAACACAAACTTACACGTTATTACAAAAAAACGAACTAATCTAAAATACTACCCTGTTACATGACAAGTTAAAGAGACTGAAAACTTGATACTTTTATGTAAATTGACTTTTATTGACTCTGTTTATTTGACCTTTATCTGGCCAGGTGAGTCCCTGTGAGATCAGAGACGACACAAGTCATCCCAACAAAATAATCACATTTTTACAGTAGGTTTACATTTCTAATGGAATAAATTAGTCTAATTTTTAAAAGTCGTCTTAAAACCCATTTTTATTCATTGGCTTTTAACCCTACATGAGACTCGGCTCCTGTTTTAGTGTTTTACGGTTTGTTTTTAGTTATTTGTTTCTATGTTTTTAAATTAGTTTTTAAAAACATTGAAACTATATTTTACTTTTTAATTCTGCTTTTATTTTATCCATTATTTTAATTGTTTTTTATCTTGTTGTTTTGTCTAGTTATGTACAGCACTTTGTTCAGCTGTGGTTGTTTTAAAGTGCTTAACAAATAAAGTTGAGTTGAGTTGAGTTGAGTAAAAACTACATGGCTTTGAGACTTTTAATGAGGGTTTAAATTAGGGGTGTCCCGATATGATATCGATATCTGATATCGGTGCGATATCCGCAAATATTGGATCCAGCATGCAGAGCCCATATAATCACAACAGCAGTGTGTACTAAGGTACTGACAAAGTAGCAAGGAGTAGGAGTGATGTCGGCCCTGTGGCGGTATTTTTCCTTACAGTCTGAAAAAGACGTTGCAGCTGAGTGCAAAACTTGTCACGCACAAGTTTGTGCCAATATTGGATCAATATCGGAATCGGCCAATACTGAAGGCTACAGTAAAGGTATCGTATCGAAAATGTGTATAGGGACACCCCTAGTTTAAATACACCCAGGCTGATTGGAAGATTGTTTCAGGAAAAAAAAAGTGAAGAAGACCTAAAAGTTTTGTTTCCCCAACTCATTTTAAACTTTTGGAACAACAAATTGCACAATATCTTTTGAGTAATGATAGAAACATAGTTAAATTGGCTTAAGTTTCACAAGCTCTCCTCCTTCAATGAAATTAAAAGTTCCTGTGTTCGTCAGCCTTTTTTCTTCAGGCTTTTCTCCGCTCTTTTGAAGTGGGGAGAGCTTTGTTGGGATAATGTGATGTTTGGCTTTTACAACAGTGAATAAGAAACTCATAAACTGGGTTTCACAGCCTGCAACTCATCTGTTTTTAAATCAACTCTCCCAACACTCATCAAAGTTACTTCCAGCAGGAAAAACTGGTGTCTAGCTGATGAAAAAAAACACATTTGGTTTTTTAGTAGATGCAAACTTATTACAGCCTATTTAAAGCTTCTGTGAGAAATTGTCCATTTTGTCGCCCCTATGGCCAAACAGTACTACATCATTTTGCCATCTTCATACATATTTAAGTAACGTCCTCTTTTCACAGTCAAATACATCATTTATTGTCACCTACTGACACCTACTCCCTCACACCTGTGTTAGGCATTAAACATTGTAATGAAAAAATCTTCAATATGGTCAGTGATGGTCTTGTTTGCTTTTAGGTATCATAAAAAGACATTTATATGAATTTCAGTCTATTTCACTGATATTAAAGAGCTTTCAGTTTATCAAGTGGCAACAGTAATCAAGATGTGTGCAAGAAAGGTGGTCTGTTTATGTAACATAAAGTACAAGAAGTTGTGTTCGATGAATGTAAAGATGTACAAGAGTTTTACTCAGGAGACAGGTGTTCATACTTCATGTGTACTTACACCTATTCATCATTACTTTAACCTGTGTGCTTGTTTTTACTCATGCAGCATAAGTCACTGATGTACATAGAGAAACTTCAAGAGATATTCCGGCGTAAAATTAATTTAGGGTCAAACACATCGTAACCGCTCGCTTCTCTAGTTTTACAAACTTTAATAACGACTGCCTGATAGCAATACACAGCGGTCTGAGGAGCCATAAATAAACCTCAACCGAAACGCCACTCTATAGCCACAAATAACGTTCAGAACAGCACCTAACTTCATCAACAGTACATATAGGGTCCCAGCCATAGTACTAGCCACCAAACATCTTTTTAGCTTTGCTTAATTTCGTTAGCAAAGAGACCAAACACAACTCACCTACTCTCTTCCAGCAGCCGCTTGTTTATAGCGAGACCTTGGGCCGGTCCATTATGGACTGCTACGGGGTGACACAGCCCAAGGAAGAACATTTATGATCATTTCTTCATGGAAATGCAATCAGACTGAGACGCTAAGGCAGAAGAACTACTGCGTCTGCAGTGCAAGATAATTAATATGGTGATAATTACTTCAAGGAAATGATAAAGAAATAAAGTTGTGTGGTTGACGGGGTGTCTAACTCGGTGTTACGGTGTGTTTGACCTTAAATTAATTTTACTAGTCTATGTTTTCCACAGAAAAAAAGCTTTTAAAAACCTCAACTTCCATCTCTGAAAATCATGTCACGACAACAATATGACTTCACATCCATTCAAAACTAGATAAAACATTTAAGTTATAATTTATACTTGCACTGAAACTATTATTGTAAGTTGGTGAGACACCTAAAACTGTGTAAACATCATCCTTAATCAGGTGTTACTTTCAGTCAAGGCTAAATTTAAACTGACTCATAGCTGGTGCAACTCAGTGCCGAACTGAGTTGAATAACAACATTAAAAAGAGTTCATTTGTCAAAGTTGTATTTTTGTCTTGGAATAATTACAATCAGTTCAGGTTTGCTGGAATTGGGGTAATTTGGGGTAATTTGCTAAACTCCCTCAGCCTGTAAAATGCTCCTGACTTGCAGAATCTTATATTGCTTTTTTGACATTCCTGGGTCAAAACATAAGGAGGTTAAAAGTGGATGCTTCATACAATGTGTGTGCACTGCAGGGATTATGATATTTCATAATCAACTTAGAGTAACTTCATCAAATCATTAAAATTTTGTGTTTTCTGAGTGAAACACAGACTTTGTAAAGACATAGATGACATGGATGCTCCTTTAAGTGCAGCCAAAATAAACCTTACTTTTGAAATGATAAAGAACACGGGTCAAACCAGAAAATGGAAAAACATGTTAAATTAAATATTCTTTAATATGCCTCCTGACTGTCATAGTGATTAGTTCTTTGGTGTGACGTCAATCCTGCAGCTCCCCTGGACCAGATCACATCTGTGCAGACCTCGGCTGCAACAAAACGTTACGACTGTTTTTGTGTGTGCCCATAAAGGTGGTATTTTGGCTTCACTTGTCCACAACAAAAGGCTATGGAGATGTGTCGTCCATTATAATTCACACCCAGTGGTCAAATATGAAAGTTTATGATGCTCCAAATGCCATTTCACTGCAATAATAATCAACCAAGAAGCAAAACTCTGCAGATTCACAAGGTGCTGTCTGGTTTAACAGCGCAGACAGATGGGTAGTTGAGATACTGCGTGTCTCTATAACTCTGCCTCCCGCTCTCTTAGGGGCCAATTTCTGTTTTACCCCCTTTGCTCTCTTGCAGCCCCCTCCTTTCTCTCTCCCTGTGAAATGGCAGGTGTAATATGTCCCAGCTCTCTGAGCCATGGCTGACTCATCACTCTATCTCCCTGCCCTCCAATATGAATTCACTTCAGGCCTCACTGCCTCGATAAGATAGGGCATCAAACGACTGGGAAGACGTCCTCAGATTCACTTCCTCTCTTTATCGCTCTGCACACAGGCAGAATATTAAAACTCTGATGAATAATGAGGAGCAGCTTTCGAGGTAAGTTCTATCTAAGTTCTGGTCGACACTTCCTGACCAACAATGGCGGCTAAACAAAAACAAACAATAATAAAAGAGATTGGTTTTTTTTTCATGCTGCGAAAATTTTTTGATATTAAAAGCTGGCATTGCTTAAAAGAAAGACCGCTCTGTACCCAAAGCCAGCATCCATGTTGCTAAGCAGCAGGTAACCAGTCAGGAGCCAATACATATTGTAGACGAGGCCTCCCAGAAATGAGAAATAATTGGATGCAGATGACTAATATCTATCTGGCATGAGTGCAGGCAGACTTGTAAGATGACAGTATCAAATGGGTTTGTAATTATTTACCTATATAGCGCTCTTAAAGGCAGCTTTACATGTTCTCGATACAGATTAGCACCTTCTTTTTACTTCACTATGATGAGGATTGGTGTTTACCCCAGTCTTTCTATGTTAACACCAATTCCACTGCAATCTCTTGAAAGAGAGGAGCTTTTCTGAACATGTGTTTGTGATCTTTTCACATCACTGCGAGAAGTCATCAAATGCCATCAGGTAGCTAACAGACCATCAGAAACACATATGCACAAACACACAAACTTTACGCCCCCGAAGCCTCTGGAGCAGGAAACAGCAGCTCTTTGAATGTGCAAAACTATACTGGGTGTGTTTGGTGTCCATTAACACAGTAAATAAACACAAAAGCTCTCACTATAACCAAGAAATAAGCTGTTACTAAATACTAGAGCCAGCAATTAACAGTGAAAACTGCAACGTAGCCACCTATGCCAACTATCAAAGCTAAACTAAAGCTTAATTGATGACATACAGTAAAATGACGTTAAATACATAAATTGGCAGATATCTGTCTTAACCACTTTAAATCTAAAAAGAGGTAATAAAAAGCTAATACTATCTCTTTTTGTTATATGAGGAAACCTGCTGTAAAATATCTTGGTTGATGGCTAGTTAGCTACTAGCTAACGATAACAAAAAAAATAATAATAATAGAAAACTTGTTGGGTTGTTTTTTTAAGAAAATTTTTATGTTTTTGAGAGAGGATAAGAAGAACTTTATTAATTCCTGAAGGGAAATTCAAAATGTAAATGTTGACAAAAAGTTTTTATGGTTGTTGATAAATGTTAAGTAAGAATATTGAAATCTTTCTCAAGTTTGCAGGTTAGCTTAGCCTGGTGTAAGACACAGTGAGTATATATACACATATATATACATATATCCTACAAAAAAAAGAAAAAAAAAAAAAGAAAAATTGCATACAGGGAAGGTGATTGTCCTCTCTCGTCCTCTCTCTTTAAGAATAACAGCACATTAAAATCTCACTGTTAGTACGTCACATTATTTTTTTCAAGAATAATATCATGAAAATATTGAGCTTAAAATACAAAATTTTCAGGGGTTCTGTGTGAGGGACTATTTCTTGGTCATTTCAAGACTGCTCTGTTGCTAGGCAACTGACAGACACTCCAGGAAGTTACACACAAACTTCTGTGAACTAGATAAGGGGTGAGAGCAGTCTAACATTTCTCCTCATAACAGCCAACACAGACCAAAAAAACAAGCGCAGTATCAGAAAGCTAAAACTAAAATAACTGGTTATCAGAGCTGTGTCCAAGTTCGTGTCCTTTTTTAAAACTACATTTAAAGTTAGCCTGGTGACGCCAGACCCATCAACCAACATGTCTCATTTTTCAGACACTTTTCTGCTGATCTCATTCATACTGGACCAGTTCTAGTCCTTTGTTAGGCTGGTCTTTACATTACGATATTCAGTGTATTAAACAGGCAAACTCTTGAAATTTCTGGAGCACTTTACAATAATCATAATTTATGAATGGTAAACAGATAGTTTATTAATGTTTAATCATCATTTAAAAACAGCATATAGACCAATTATAAATGGCAAATAGATAGTTTATTAATGTAAGTTAATAGTTACTTTACCATTAACAAGTAATGAAACTATGATTAATAATCTGCATGGACTATTTATTGAAGGTTTATATAGGGTTTAAATATTGATTGTAAAGCATCTAGATTAAAATGTGTGTCAGTAGCACTTTATAAATGGTTAATATTTGGTTTTTAAACCACCCATAAACATTACTTAGATGGTTATTGTTAAGTTAGGGTTAGGTTTTTTAAAATGGTAAAATTTACAATTTATTAATGGTTTATATGCTGTTTATAAATGATGATTAAACATTAATAAACTATCTGCTTACCATTTACAAATGGTCTATTTACCATTTATAAGTTATGGTTATTGTAAAGTGTTACCAAAATTTCCATATACTGCCAAACATTTCACCAGAAAGGGGACAGAGCTGCAAGATAAATAAAGTCATTTACTTCATTTTTAGTGTGCACAGAGACATAATACTTTAACCAGTCAGCTTTAGATTTACTTGTAGGTCGATTTCTTTACCTTTGTATTGTCTTGTTTTTATGCTAGGCTGACCACCTCCAGGCTTTAGCTCCTATTTCCTAATTATGTATCTAAGACATTTATAATTTTCCAATTCTCCAATAATGCCTACAGATTTAAATGTTTAAATACTAAGTTGAGTTTCCAAAAAATTACACATAAGCTGGTAAAATAAGTATGTCTCAGTGGTCAATTGGTGCAACCCAGACCAGGTTAGCGGAGGACAATTGAGGGTTTAAACAAGCTCTAATCTAAAACAGGCACAATGACAACATTGCAGAGACAGATCAATAAAGTATGCCTCTTATTCTCTTTTCCCAATCATCCCTCTGCATCCCTCTCCTCTCCTCACCCTTGGACAGATGTCTGTCCAGATAAGCCGTCCATTTTGAAGTTGCAGAGCCACGTTTCTTTCCCCAAGGCTATTTTTGAGGACCGGATAACTCACTAGCTCCCACCGAGCTGTGCAGCACAGATAATAAAAGTCTCATTTGACGTCGCAGACCGCTGGCCCGCTTTACAAACCCATTTGATGCACAATAAGTGCATCATGACAAACCTGTCTTCCCAATGATGGTCAGTTTGGGACTGTGCACAGAGACTGGAGGAACACTTCATACATGTAAGAGGGAGGTTATGAAAAGGTTGGTGAAGATATTTTAGTCTCCTTGGTAACCATTATAAAACCGTCAATATTTCATTTCTTTGTGCTGGCAATTATCAAAGGAAAGGCCATTATCGTAAAAAACATGGATAAAGGATGCTACCTATGGCGTCAGAGTCACATAATGACACTTTATTTCACATAAACCAAAAACAATTTATGCTTCTGCGCTGCACCAAGGAAACTGCTGCTGTGCCGAATATAATTCCTCCCACACATCTTGCACATCTCATCCATTCTGATTTTTATTTCAATGAGACCACTAATAATAAAAGTGAATCACAGCAGATGGATGGGCAGCTTTCTGGTCAGTTGGGCCATCTGTTATGGTTCTAACGGGCGCCCTAACGCACAGCTGATTCAGGACCTATAACGCTGATGCGGCAAGAGGTGATTTCTCCCCTTCCTGCAGACATCACTTATGGACCCTCCAGAGACGCTTGGATGAGACTAAACCAGAGCTCATAAACAGAAGGGCTCACGATGTAAAACTCGCACACACTAATCCTTCAAGTGCGGATGGTTAGACATTCCTATATGCTGCTACACCCCTAACACACATGTGAACATATGCACACACAGGAACTACTCACCAAGGGCAACAGAAAGATTGCAGTCAGCAGGTAGCCTCTCATTGTCTCCAATGAAGAGCGGGGATCCAAAGACTCCACTGTACTGTATGTGTGTGTGTTCAGAGGGATGCACTGAAATTGCTCCCCTCGGCGTCAGCGCACTTCAGCATGAAGGGCTCTGAAATACAACACACAGAGGGAAACAGCTCTGTCAGAGAGGAGGAAACAACAGGAACACAACCGAGGAGCATCTTCACCGAGTTAGGCCGCTGCTGCTGCAGTCTCTTCATTTGTTCTCTTAGTGTGTGAACTTTTCCACAACTATAGTAGGTATTCAATAAAATAGACAATTTTTTAGTTTGTTTTTTTTCCCCAACTTTATTGTCTCGTCTCTAAAACATAAAACATTAAAGTCATCTTGCAGCTGTGGCTAAAATACAACATAAAATCATCTCATGCAGGGATTTGTATGCAGCAAATCTAATGTAGTGTGATAAAAATGACTGATCTGTTAGTCCTATTTGCGGGTTAATGCGCCCCCTTCAGTTTTAAATCAGCTGCCCTCCAACATTTCTGTTTGTGTTCACTCCCCTCCCAAAAACCGCCACCAGGAGACAACAATATTCCCAGAAAACAAATGATCAACATCATGATGAAAAATGAATGTATTTTATTCACAGCCCAACCAAGATAACCAAGGGGATCCTGCTGGTTAATGATGTTCAGCTCTGTGTTTGATTTCTCCGTCATTCTGACAGGTTGGCAGCTCAAAAAATACCTTCATACTAATGAGCCTCAGCTTCTGTTGCCATGGAAAAGAAGCCTGACAAAGACATGAATCATTTCAGCAGCTACAGATTCAAAACGTTCAGTCTGCTGAAAGAAAAAAGTGGTTCTGTAGCTGCCGAGTTCATCCAAAATTGAGCCAGGATTTAAATTTCTGAAGAGCAAAATGAAGATATTAAAGTTTCTTAACCTTAAAATCTGTTTCTCCTTGAAGCAGCATTTTAAAGCTTTTATGAGGAGTTTTTTTTACATTTCTGAAATAGACTGAAATCCAATTGAATCCACTTTTTTGTTATATAAATGTCAAAAATGACTATTTGTATATTACCACCTTAAAGTGGCGTAAGGGGGTAGGTATTAGTCGAGCTGCTCAAAAAGCCTGTTTTCACCATTTCTGCACAAGATATTCACAATAAATGGTACAACTGACAAGGAAAAATCAGCAGGAGGAGAATTTTTTGTGATAAAACGCTACTTATGTGTGTAAAGGACAGGATTAGAAAACATTGCTTTGTCCACAGGGGGCGCCAAAGGTGACACAAACCAAAAGTTCCTCACTGGAACTTTAATCTCTGTGATCGGATAACATTCATGCAGAATATTTTGTGTGTAACAGCTTGTGTCTGTGAAAAGATAGATATATTTTCTGATGAATAAATACATTAATATGATTCTATGATGATTATAATAACAAAGGTATATTAATTCCTCAACTAAAGACACTTAGGTTATCTTTAAAGCTCCTGTGGGGAACCATGTTTGTGTGGACTTTAGCGCCTCATGTGGACCAAACAGTATTTACTTATCTTGTTCTTGATATACTGAAGTAGTGTCTTTGTCTAAGTCAAATTATTGTGAATATTTTATGTAGAAATTGTAGAAAAAGGATTTTTTTTAGCTGCTCGACTGACACCAACCCCCATATGCCAGTTCCAGGTACTGAAAGTGACGGCCAAGCTTGTCGCTGATGGTCTTGTTTGCTTCTAAATAAGACAAAAGGGCATCCAAATAAAGTCGGTCTATTTCATAAATGTCAAAAACTCCTAATCGTATCTTTAATGAGGCTTAAAATTAAGTTTGTGTGACAATTAAAGCCTGAAAACAGCTCCATCGTGATTGATTTAGGATTCAATTTTGCTAACGCTGCTAAAAAAGTGTTAAAAGATCGATATATTGTCTGATGAATAAATACATGAATATAATTTTAAAAATTATACTTACAAAGGTATATTAACTCCTCAACTAAGGACACTAAGGTTCTCTTTGAAGCGCCTGTGAGGAACCGTGTTTGTGTCGACTTTAGCGCCTCATGTGGACCAAACAGTATTTACTAACCTTATTCTCAACATACTGAAGTTGTGTCTCTTTTTAAAAACATTTGACAGTCAAATTATTGTGAACATTTTATGTAGAAACCGTAAAAACAGTATTTTTTTAGCTGCTTGACTGACACCAACCCCCTCACACCAGTTCCAGGTACTGAAAATGATGGCCAAGCTTGTTGCTGATGGTCTTGTTTGCTTTTAAATAAGACATCCAAATAAAGCCGGTCTATTTCATAAATGTCAAAAACTCCTAATCGTATCTTTAATGAGGCTTAAAATTAAGTTTGTGTGACAATTAAAGCTTGAAAACAGCTCCATCATGATTGATTTAGGATTCAATTTTGCTAAAGCTGATAAAAAAACGTGTTACTTGTTGTCCTCATATGTCTCTCTGTGTGTCATACATTAACTCTGAGCCTGATTGCGAACGTTATCAGTCACACACCTCCTCAGTCGGTATGAATCACTTTATAGCTAATCTCAACAGACGCTTAAAAATGAAAAACCTCCTCTATCAAATCACAGAAGCAACGTTTGTTTTTCTCCACTGATGTTATATACAACCACTAAAAATATGTCATCGCCTCACCAATAAATTTAAACAGGAGCCGGAGATAAAAGCAGTGATTTATGAAGGACGAGTTGATCATCAGAGGATAAAAAAGTTTGGACAGATCTCATAAATATCCTTGAGGACAATAAAAATTCATGTGCTGCATGCTCGGATTTTAAAACAACCCCCCAGACTCCCCTCCCTTTTTTTGTCTTACTCATCCACACAGCTTCCTGAAAACACAGTGATTCACCGCAAACGCAAAACACGCTGGCCTGCCTGCACCAGCCGAGACCCATAACACACGCGTGCAATCACAGCAAAGACACACACACACACATCTTCTGCCGGAGCTAATTCACACACATACACACACAAATTCCGCTCTGTGTCCCTTCCCCTCTAGTACCGAATCCAATTACCTCTAAAGCATCTCTCTCTCGGATGCTTTATCAAGTAACAGGACAGACCGTGCTCGGAGGAAAAAGAAGAAAAAAAAAACCCTGAGACAAAGAGGAAGGGATAACATGTGTCAAGAAGAGCTGAATCAAACTGCCTTGATACAAATGAACCTAAAAAAAAACAAGACGCAGACTCAAGACGAGGAGGAAGAAACAAGAAAATGGATCAATTAGATCTGTTAGAGCCCATCATGTCACTGCTACCATATTAATCCATAAAATCTATACAAGTACACGGTATTTTGGCACAAATTTAATGCGAGGGAAGCAACAGCGGGGCTTAACGTTGAACTATCCTGAGGGTCAGAGAGGAGGAGGATGTTTGCTTCACTCAGCAGTGGAAACATCTTTGAAATATGTGAGGCTTTAATGGAATTTTAGGGGGAGGTTAAATGGTATTTGGCCCCTGTGAGTAAAAGTGAACCACTAAATGTGCTGAGAATAAAATGAGTTGTACATGAAACATTAAAAAAACAGTTTTCATGGAGATTTGCGACCATGAAAAAGCTGAATCAACGTGACCAAAACTGACAACAGGAGGATCTGGGGAACCACATTGATTATAGATCGAAATATGCATCATTAGGTTGTCAATCACCTGCAAGCATGTAAGAGTGTGCACATGAGCTGTCTACAGATGCAGAGGGAAAGGCTCATGCAGCCTCCTCATTCATGATTTATCTCCATTTTAAAAAGGGAATTTTAAAGATCTGTCTCAACATATCAGCTTCCTCCTCACGTGTGCTGAATTCCTCTGAACATTGTGCTGCATTAATTATTCAATTTCAGCTTTAAATGATCCCAGTGAGACATGCAGAGAGCTCGTTTTAACCCAAATGCGAGTCTGTTGATGCTTGGAAGAATTAAGGAGGGGGGTTTGCATGTCTGTCAGTGTGCAAGACTTCAAACTCATTAGTCCTGTGCTGCTTCACTGTGTCATACACAGGTCATATAGACTACATCCACTGGAGTCAATCTGTCGTGTCTTCTCTTATTATGAAACCCTGGCTCAGACGGAGAAAAACGCAAACCTGTCTCGTTACCAATCACTCAAACACAAGTCATTTTCACTCGCTAGTGCAAAATCAATAGACTAATTTCACCCAGCTGCTTCTTCCCCCTTCAGATTCCCGCATTCGTTCACGTTTAATCCATCAATACATGTGGGTGACCTTCGCTTTGCACATGGAAAACATCAGCAAAGAAAAGCGCCTTTACGCCAAACACTGACTAGACACTTGGATGAAAAATCCAGCTCAGTGTTGCCTGATCTCCATTAGGAAGATGTCTGTTTTCTTTCCCGACGTCTAGCCTGAAGGCTTCAGTGAAAACCCTCTTTAAGTGATGAACCGCAGAGAGGGAAAGCGCGCAGCACTCGCTGAGGAAAACAAGTCGAAGGAACTTACCGATGCGTAATCTTCAGAGGAGCGAATATCTAGACATAAAGCCATCGGTATTCATGGATCCCCGCCGAGTCTGCCTCAAGGATTACCTTAATGTACTCATATAACGGTCAAAAAATGGATCTGAATAAACGACAGGTGCCTTTTAGTGCTGCTGTTGCTGCTGCAGGACGCACTCACCGCGCTGGCTGCTGCTGCTGCTGCTGCGGCACCACGACGAGGTGGAGGAGGAGGAGGAGGAGGAGGAGGAGGAGTGTGCCAGTTCCTCCGGGATTCACACCTCGTCAGACACAAAAGGCAGCAAAGTGAGACAACAGTTTAGTCTGCGAGTGAAGCTGGAGGAGACGAGTCTAAAAACAAGATGTCAAGTTGAAAGAGAAAAAATCATCCGGCAAAGTCTCCGCGTCGCATGCGTGGGAATTTGTTGCAGAGAGGAAACTATTCTGAAAACACGCTGACATTTGCGCCTGCGCACAAGAGAGGCTTCTGGAGGCACTGAGTCCAGTCTCTCTCTCTCTCTTTCTCTCTCTGTCCCCCCGCTGGGTGTAATTTGTGAGGTACTGAGTCGGCTTCGTCATGTGAGTGAGTCACCTTTAGTGAGAAGTTTAACATCTGAAGTCCCCACTGCGCTTCAGAAGGCGTTTTAGTCCAAAAAGGAGTCCAAATCCTACGGTGGTGACTTGTGTGGCATCTGTGGCCGCTGGCAATCCTGTTTACTTTCAGCACCACGGACAGCGACAGAATAATCGCCTCAGGGCACCGCTGGGCTCAAAGCAAAGCCTCAGTGCAAGTCCATTACAGCGTTTTAACAGCAAATAAACACCAATCTCAGTCTGAATTCTAAGAGCTGCTTTAATTAAATCTCTACAGGGTCGTTGTGAGGCAGACAGGGGGGTGGATTTTCAGACATTTTTACCTGTCTTCCACCAAGACACACAAGAGAGAGATGCTGAATTATCACTGAGGGTGCAAAGTGACCCCAGGAGAAGAGATATGGATGGACACAAATGGATATAAACAACCAAAAGCATCATATTGACACAAAACAAAAACAAACTTCAGTGTAATAAGACTCTTACAATGACAAAAAGTTGTTTACAAGCTCAAAACCAAAGAAACAGCCCATCAGTTGAGATATTGATGGCCACAAATAGATCCAAACAACCACAACAATCATAAAGACACAAAAAATGAAACAAACTTCAGTGTTATGAGAACCCCAGCAATGAAAAAAAAAATTTAGATGTAATGCAAAGCTCAAAACCAAAGAAACAGCCCACCAATCGAGGTATTGATGGAAACAAATGGATAAAAACAACCATACCATCATAATGACACAAAAATGAGACAAACTTCAGAGTAATAAGACTCTAACAATGACAAAAAATTGTTTACAGTCATAATGCAAAGCTCAAAACCAAAGAAACAGCCCACCAATTGCGATATGGATGACCACAAATGGATATAATAAGCCAAAACCAACATATTGACATTAAAAGGAAACAAACTTCAGTGTAATACGACTGTAACAATGACCAAAATTTATTTACAGCCATAACACAAAGCTCAAACCAAAGAAACAGCCCACCAATTGAGGTATTGATGGAAACAAATGGATAAAAACAACCAAAACAATCATAAAGACACAAAAATGAGACAAACTTCAGAGTAATAAGACTCTAACAATGACAAAAAGTTGTTTACAGCCATAACGCAAAGCTCAAAACCAAAGAAACAGCCCACCAATTGCGATATTGATGGCCACAAATAGATACAAACAACCAAAGCAATCATAAAGACACAAAAAAGGAAACAAACTTCAGTGTTATGAGAACCCTAAAATGAAAAAATTACAGATGTAATGCAAAGTTCAAAACCAAAGAAACAGCCCACCAATTGCGATATGGATGGCCACAAATGGATATAAAAGACCAAAACCAACATACAGACACAAAAACGGAAACAAACTTCAGTGTAATTAGACTCTAACAATGACAAAAATGTATTTACAGCCATAATGCAAAGATCAAAACCAAAGAAACAGCCCACCAGTTGGTTTAGTGTTTCAGGCTGTGCCCCTTGTACAGAGATTATAATCTTTGTCACAAAGGTTGCAAGTTTCACCTTTCAGACGGCACTCTTGCTGCATGTCTTTCCCACTTTTACTCCCTACAGTTCCTGTTTTTCTACTGCTGCCCCAACTAATAAATGAACAAAGACAGAAAACAAACACAAACAGGTGCAAAACAACTACATACGGACAAAAACTACAAGACAGAGTTGAACTGCAAAGTGATCTAAAAATCTTATACAATCAAAACGAGAAACCAAAATACAGACAACACTAACAGGCGCAAAACCCCAGAGACCAAAATTAACCACCAGACTTACTAGAGCTGAAATATTATGTCAAAAACACCTAATTCTAACAAAAAATGAGAGGACATAGCAAAAATAAAGATAATTATAAAGATCTAAAAGAAGCTCAAACACAAAAAGGTGCAATAACAACAAAAAACAAACAATAAATAACCACAAAGAGACTCAAAAATACATGCAAAAGACACACTTAAGATTCAAGAAATATAAACAGGTGCAAAACAACATGAGAGAAAGATGAATACAAGTGAGACATACAAGCTGTAGGAGCAAAACATGCATAAAGAACTAGACACAAAACAACAACAAAGAGCAGAAAATTCATGATAAAGAATAAAATGAAATACAAGGAAATGCAAAACTATGAAACATAGACACAAAACAACAACAAAGAGACTAGAGAAAAAAGAGAGACTACAAAGAGACAAGTGATGATAGTAAATTAAATAATTATAATAATAAACACCCAAAGAGCATTGTCTAAGGCTTTGTGTCAAAATATTTAATGTCTTTTTCTACTTTTGATTTTGATGACTTTGGCCTATATTCCAGGAAAATCAGAAACCTGAGATCTTGTATGAATATTTTCAGAAATCAATCAAAAAGTTATTTAAGATAAATATTTTTACACCAAATCACAGATTGTTTATTTTCAATTATACTATATTTATAACTCTGACTAAACGATTCTACAATTTTATACAAATCACATATATGTAAAGACTTGGTGTTTAATTATGAATATTATTTCTCCAGTCTAAATAATTTAACCCCACTTCCTTTAAAAGCTCATCTCATTATGGCCCCTGTGTTCAGTTTCTAGACTTGTCCCCTGATCCCTGGATCTAGGCTAGACGATTTTCCTTTACAGCCAAGAGCGCTGGTGTTTTTTCTTTTTTTTGAGAGCAGGAGTGATTGATCACCACGCTCTGGTCTTGTGACGGGTTGGCCATAAATCAATGAGGCATAAAAAGTATTAAACCCTGCAATGATGTGGTGTGGTTATTCAGTGAGAACAGAACCGAAAATAGGAGAGGCAATAATAACATCCATGAACACAGCAGTCCTAATAAAAATGTATTAAATGCTGGAAAAAAAAAAAGCCATATAACGCCTGATTGGATGAAAGGCAGTGACGCATGTTTCCTGCCATTCCCAGAACATTTTAATGCTGTTACTGGATCTGCCTCAAGGACATCCATGGAAATGCTCCCATTGAAAGAAATGATAACCTCTCCGCTATAACAGTCACAATCTGTAGGCTTTTTTCTGGCATATGGTTGAGTCTTGTTTCCATGGCACACACACACACACACACACACACACACACACACACACACACACACACACACACACACACACACACACACACACACACACACACACACACAACTACATCTTCCAGTGGTCTCAAGTGATGTGGATTTCTATCAATTTGGGTCTAAAACTGCTGTCATGATTACAACTGAGTGTGTGCAATAAAGTGAAGAGGGACAAAAATGACTGCTATCAGCGCAGCGCTTAGTTTCTCCTCTAATATTTTCACAGACTGGGTTTTTACGGTTGTTGCAGTATAACGTATACCCGATTTAGTAATTCAGGCGTTTACTAAAGGACAGGGTGACATTGATGGCAGGAACCATAATTGAAATGTGTGAAAAGGTCAAGGGCCGAATCTGCAACCTCTCGGCTATTGCATGGCCTCTTTGACCCCGAGGCCAGAGCAAACATGCGCACAGGTTCTCATAACCCAGTACAACAGTGTAATGTCAAATATTCAGACGCACAAGGGAGGATGTTTTTTCTTTTTTTCTCTCCATCTCTTTTTTTTTTTTTTTGTTTCAGTCATGCTGCTCAGATTCAACAGGTCATTTTTAGATCGGACAAGTTGTTGTTACGTCAGAGCTGGCCCAGGCGTAAGCAACCCAAGAGCCTGCTTAGGGCCCCGCGGTTAATAGGGGGCCCCCAAGAGCAATAGAAAAACATATATCTTTTTGATTTTATTTTATTTTTATTTTATTTATTTATTTATTTTTATTTATTTATTTATTTATTTTGCATGTATAAGTGATGCTTTCTGTATGATCAAATATATATTATTGTAAAAAATTAAATAAAGTAAAAACATTTTAGTACTGCTGCTGATGTAGGCCTATGATTCTTATTGCCTTCTGCTGCGCAATGTGCACTGAGCATGTAGTTGTGGGGTAAAACAATGTCGCAAAAAAGGACATATCCTTCAGGAGCAGAGAAAAGAAAGAGGAAGAAGAGAAAAAACGCCAAGATTAAGGTGTGTGAATGATCAACAATCAATATTATTGGCAGAAATAGAGGGCCCCACAATCAAACTTTGCTTAGGGCTCCATCGAGGCTTGGACCGGCTCTGCGTTACGCGATCTGTATTTGGAGCGAAAATAGACTAAAATGTGAAAGACTTTGTCCCCCTTGGAAAACAGGTACAACACACCCACCTGACAGTCAACTCAGTCCTGTCCTAGACCAACAGCTAGGTTGAGTCTGAATCAACAAAACGGCTACCACTGCAGATAGACATTAGATTACACAGTTTATGATTTCAACATGGTGCCTAATATGGATTCTGGAGTTTGTCACTTTTGTATTTGAAGAAGAAAAATGTCTAAAATGTAAAATTGGATGGTATGAAACATCATCTGTCCAAACAAAGTGCTGCCCAGTTTAAAGTTTTAGGGAGGCCGGCTGGAGGGATTTCAGAGTAAAACAACCTTTGATATGATTAGATGTTTCTTTGAGTTACATTTCAGATATCACTTTTCTGTAAAAAGAATCTTCTCAGAATGAAATGATATATTCACTCGGGTTTGAGGCCTTTACTGCACTGTGGTTACTGCATCGTCTGCTGCCACCACATGTCAGTATTTCTCTTTTCTTTAAACACTTGGTAATAAAATCACCTTTATTTTCACTTCATTATGTTTGTAGTTTTCTATAAATGTTTAATGTTAAACATCTTGATTTAGTTTACATTTCTACAGCTTCATTTAAAAGTGTTACTCACCCATATTTCGGATTGTTCCAGCTTCCCCTGACAAACAGCCTCCAATCATTTCAAAATGGCCTTTTAAGCCCCGCCCACAGGAAGTGGAAGAGACCATTAGTGGATAGAGGAAGAAGGGGAAACTTGGACTTTTGATTAACTACAAAACCTTTTGAGTTGACTTTTGTCTCATCTATCAAAGACGATTCAGTTTTATGCAGATAATTCATTTAGGTAGGTTATTTGTTTTGGTGTGTTTCTAAGTTTGTTAGACATTTAGTTTGTAGTCACTCTCACTTCCCCCCCTGGTGTTTCTGTTGGACTTGTCCCTTGTGTTTATATTCCCTTACATGGCCAAGTTAGGGCTGATTATGTTCTGTTAGGGTGTAGCTGTACCTCCATTAGATTCTTTTTTAAACTTTAATGAAAGGAAATGTTAATCCTTTCCCGCTCCTTTGTCTCTTGCCTGATTGCTTCGTCCTTCACATGTAAGTATCAAAGTGTTCATCCATTTTTATGCCCTTTGTCTGCAACAAGCTGCCAAAAGAAAGTAAGAACAAGCCCACAAACAGTTGAGAAAAGTCGACTTCTTCATCCTTCTAGTGCTTTATTGATGGACCGCAGTCTCTTGAAGGTGTGTGTGCTCCACTCATCCAACACTCGATGCGGCTCTCCACAGGACATTTCTCCCTCTCTGTCTGTCTCTCTTCTGCCATCACGCTCCAATCACGCTGTGGGATCGCCATGCTGGCTCTTCTTTCACTCAATGTAGGAGTTAAGCTCCAAGTGGTCGAATGATAAACCCACAAACCCTTCTGATCTCTGAGAGGACACTGTGGGAGACCAATCAAGACCTCCCCTGCTATGTCTCCATTCTCCTCCCACAGATCTCTCACCTCCTGAGGGTCTCGCTTATGGAGGATGAATCAATCAGCTGTGCATGCTTGGGAAGACAAAGAGAGGACTTTGGTGGATCGTTCTCTAAATCTTCTGAAGGTCAATCGCCACAGCGGAAATTTTGATCATGATAGGTCGATGAAGCGGGTATGAATACAACCTTATCCTTTTTTTCTAGAGATATGGCACCAATGTTTTTTTTTTTGCCAATTTGGAGGACATAACAAACAGTCTTCCTAAAATGTCATGTTAAGGTGATTAGGCAGGATAAAAGGGATGTATTACTTTATAATGGAGCTAAATATACAGACAAGCAAATAACCTGAATTAAAGTCAATCTATGCAATCGGTCAATCGGTGCAAAGTTTCTTTATCTTCATGGGCGACACTTAGTTAAAGAGGTAAACCATCAAAAATGAGGAGTGGCTGCAAGCCTGCAACTACATGCAGCCTGGGAGTTAACAACTAAAATAAGATAAAGATTAAAACAGTAATCGTGAATAACTATGAAACCGACAAATGCAAGTTGTGAGGACTCTAAAGATAGAAATACAGCTATAGATCACAAACCAAAATAACCAACCAATATGACTTTATTTGCTTTATCCCAACAGAGCAGTGAAATACAGAGTCTCACATTGGTTACTGTAAAAAGTTCATTTTGAATCAGCTCTAGATGATCATTATTGGACTGGTACATTAGATCATATTGAATTGGTGCATTTTGATTTTGACGACAGCCTCTGCAGTTGGCACAAAAGCTCTTCTTCTTTCATTCGTCCTCTTTCTCTCTCTTTCTGCTGATGGATAATTCGCTGTAGTCATGAAGTTAGATTTCTTGCAGCTGTGAGAGGAGATAATCACAAACATGCTGATGTAGGTTTGATTGTCCATTAATTTTGGTTAATTTTGTTGACTGCAGCACATCACTACCTTTCCCACTTTTTTCCCAAAAGAAGAAAATTAGTGTTTCCTACTGTGGTCTCAGGCGTCACAAATTTGATTTTAAATCCACACAAAGTAGCAAAGTTTACTATATTTCATACATGAAAATATTACTTTCTTAAAGGATAGTTTTGCAGCATGGGTGTCCCGATACAACTTTTTTACTTTCGATATGAAACCGATATTGTAGACTTCAATACTGGCCAATATCAATATTGATCCAATATTAGCACAAACTTTTTTAGCCTTAAACATAAAATACTGCTACAAGGTCGACATCACTCCATCACTTTGTTAGTACCTTAGTACACACTGTTGTTGTGATCATGTGGGCTCTGCATACTGAATCAGGGCGCTGCTAGATAGAGGAGCTAGAGTGGAGTCTGGGATGGACTGCTTGTATTGGAGTGCTGATATCGGAGATTTTAGATGCAGGCCGATACAATCCGATATTCCTTTTTTTTGCTGATATCGGACCGATATCCAATATCAATATCGTATTGAGACACCCCTATTTTGTTGTTGTTTATAAGATTCTTGACAATAGTAAGTGTATTACCTGCCAGAGATCCCTGCTTGTCCCCTGATATTGACAAACCAGCCAAAGAGCCAGAGCAGAAGCTAAGCTAGCAGTTGCTGTAGAAAGGGTCAACGCCACCATGTAGTTTAGCTGACTTTATAAAAGCCTAAACACCAATGTCCTTGCAACTATACACTCTGTACACTGTTCACACCATTTCCAGATGCAATATGTTCCTCTTCTTGCAGCACAATGATCAGCTGTTCAGGTCTGCAGGCTTCAAAAGGGACAAAAATACAACTAAACTAATCAAATGAGTGCTTCCTCTTCATGGTGAAGAGGACATGCTTTTTATCGTGGAACAAGAGAGCAGAGTACTAAGAGGCTAAATGGACTGAAGGAGAGAGGGGAGAGACGTCTGTGCAAACTGAAGAGATCCAAAGTTACCTGGTAATGCAGCTTTGTAACCCGCAAGCCCATGAGCATGACAGGAACTGACGAAGGGAATAAAAGTGCATCCTTAAAGTGAGTATGACACAGTAATCCTGTATGAAAATGTACAATCTGAGCTGCTGAAGGTGAGAACTGAGCTGAAATAACAAACTCTAAAGCCATAAATGTGTCAGCGTGATACTCTTAAACATTAAAAAATTAGAAATGCAAATTATATTTGATACGGAGATACACATTACATAGATAAGCATATAAAAATGTACAATATAAATATGTCTACTGTGCACATGTCAAGTTGACTTGTTGATCGGTCCACTGCAGGTGCATGTCCTGTCAAATACACTTGATACTGGCAAGAACCTCATTATTAAATACATTAAATACAACTTCATTTTAAGTGATTAAAAATTCTGTCTTTTTTTTTTTTTTTTAGAGTATTTGAGGAAGGATCCAAATATTGGCAAGTGCAGCTGCTCAAATCACAGACTTCTTCCTGCATTCTGTCATTGCATTAGGTGTTTCAAAAATATTTAAGGTCCTCCATTTGGCATTTTAACATGTAGAAATCATTCATTTGGATAAATTAACATTAATACCACAAACAAACACGTCTCCGCCAAGACGACTGGCAGCTTTAAGCGGCCTGTTCATTACAGTTTGTGCGCTGTGGGGTTAAGATTTCACAGTTAGTCTGCTGTGTGGCTTTATGGCACAAAAAAAAAAAAAAAAAAAAAAAAAAAAAGAGGGATGAAGAGGAGAAGGGTTGCTGATCTTCCTACATGGAAGCGGCTAATATTTTCTCGCAGTGGCAGATGGTGAGATGAGCAAAAGGCTGATGGAAAATTGTCAGTTCACAGTTACGAGCTCTCGCCCTCCTCCTTGCTCTTTAAAACAAAATGCATGTGGAGACGTGCCAGCAAGTTGGTTGGAGAAAAGACGGGATGCAGCATGGGTTTGGGGAAAATGTGTTCTTCATTTTATGAGGGATGAGCCAACAAGCAATCGCAAACATGTGAAGCTGGTCATTTTTTATTTCAGTCAATTGGGCAATAACTTTGTTTTCACTCTTCTGAAGTTTGCAGCGTCTTTGCCAGATATCGCTGCGATCCATGTCTTTGTTTTGCAGAATTACTCCTTTTTAAAATCAATTTCTTGTTCTGAACAATAGCAGGAGAAGTCTTTCACAGGCTCTACTTTTGAGCTGTCAGTGTCTGATCAAAGCTGGAGCTCACAGTGTGGATTGACTCCTCAGAGCACGCCGGTTTAATTGCAGGTTGTCATGGAAAGAGAAACGCAGTTCAATGAAATGTTCTGTGATGGCAGAACCTTTAGTGTGGGAGAGGAGAATGACAAATCCCACGTCAGAAGTCTCAGCAGGGGACATGTTAGTGCGTAAGAGTGTGAGAGCGCGTGTGCTCGCTGTTGTGTATGTTGTTAAGATGCTGTGTACAAGTTTCAAACTCAAGTCACACATTCAGGGAGGAAAGAAAGAAAGAAAACCTGGTGTTGACTTTTATAGTACAGAGGGCTGAAAAGTCCAGAGGAAGCTTTTGGTATTGTGTTATTCAGTGAACCCCATCTACTGGAGCAAAAAGCCCAAATTAGCATCCATTTGAAGAAACCTGTCAAAGGTACAGCGCTGAAAAAGGGCTCAGGCTTGATGAGGTAAAGGGCGCAAAATGACGCACAAACTAGACGTAGAAAGCCAAGAGAGAAAAAAGGAATCGTAGTGATTGATGTGTGCTGCAGAGGAGAGGCAGCAGTTAGGTTAGGCTCAGTTTGGCTACAGAGAGGGTTCACACATGTCCCTTTAAGTACCGAATCATCCCATCCTTGACAATTAAATGTTGTGCCCTGTTTTAAATCAGTGCAGGAGGCTGTTTTTTTTTTTTTTTCATACTCTTATCCCACATGCTCTGCTCTGCCTTTGATTGGTTAATACTGAACAATTCAACCTGATAACCTCATCTTTAAACTCGTCACTGTGCTCCATGTGACCGAGTTGGCTGGCCTGCTGTGTCTACCTGTAAACTAAATCACTAAGGACATATTAGTTGTTTACATAATGCCATTTTAAAGCGGGATATTTACACCCCTCATATGCCTTGTCTGCAATGTGTCACACGCAGAAATTTATTAGCGCGGCAAAGTTGACCTCTGACCGCCCCTTGGGAGGTAGTTAATGACGGCGATGTGTAGCGTTGAGTGTGTTGTGTGTTGAGATCCTGTATGTGTTAACAAGCTGAAGCTCATGTTTCTGCAACAATACAATGTGTTATCGCACACTGGGACACCAATTTCTTTATTTGGATAAATAACTTCTGGAAAAAGCTTTGAAGTTTTGGTGTTTCGCACATCTGTTGCATGCATTTTTTCATGTGTCATTGTTTCCCAAGATTAAGAATCTCAAACCAAATTATATAAACTTCCATACAAGGGAAGAATTTGCCCGAGGCTCTTCGTCTCTGCACTGTTGTTGTTGCTGTCAACCTTTTTGCAGATGATCAAAGAGGGTAGGATGATGGTTGACTGTGTGTGATATTTCACCAAACGCTGGCATGAAGTCTTATAGAGTTCAGCTCTTCCTGTGGTTATAACATCACAGGTTTTAATGGTTTAAGTGGAGGTTTTTGGTTGAACACACATGCTTAAGGAGACCGGGTGATAGCAGGACATTACTGCAGAGATAGATTTAACACCAAAAGACTTAAGACTGTGGGCTCTATTTTCATGTACACCGGTGAGGCCCAACATTACACACACCAAATCCATCTGTGCTCATATGAGAGAGTGTGGAGGACGCCCAATGCAGCGCTTAGAGTGACACCGGTTGAGGAGCTGCCTTCTGTCGCCATCATGTGGCATTACTGTCTTCAGACATCTCTTGATCTCTCTGACTACTTCACGAAAATAGTAATACGCCTCGGCGGTGGCGGATTTAAAGGCAAGGAGAGGAGCTGATGTGATTGGTGAAAACAGGTCTCGGCTGTGTTAAACCCATTCCACGCCCTCTCTCCTCCCTTGCAACGACTTACGCCGCTGGGAGGAGTTGAGTTAGGGAGGGGGGATACTTACACCGGGCTGCGCCACTCACCAAAATACCAAATTGTGCTTGGGAACGCCTTGTTGGCGCGGTGGACTTGACTTAGGCCGCGCCTGCGGCACGTCTCCGGCGAGACACGAAAATAGAGCCCTGTGAGTCAAACCTCTTCAGGTAGCTCAGGTCGTAATTTGGGTGACATGACATTATTGTTTTAAGCTGTATTGCTGTCACCGGTTAGTCATAACCAGAGTAATAATGGCGGGAAGTAGCATAACAAACTCTTCCAAATGGTGTTTCACAGGTTGTGCCTAAAGTTAATGGTCTGTTTTAAGCATTATGTATCTCTGCACATATTATGGCTGAGTGAGAGACAATTTATGGTAATTCTAGCCAGTGAATAATGCAGCTTAATGCTTAATAGAGAGTAGAATCAGAGACATATGAGGATTTACTCTTTTGTATTATCACACGCAGATTCAGGGAGCTGCTTTTCACTGTTACTTTTCAGTTTTTGGCCAGGTTTCTCATGACTTCTGCTGGTTATTTTAACATCTAAGAATAGGGAAGAGGCCCATGCATGAGCAAAGACCTGCCACACTGATCACTATGCAGTTGCGCGTTTGATAAATGGTTGCCATGCGCAACATAGTAATCACCGACAACTGATTATAAGGCGAGCGAGAGCCAGCTGCATGACCTCCAGGCTTTGTTCGAGCAGCTGGAGCTTTCAGAACGCTACAATGACCATTCGACCTCCTGTAATGACTGAGATCTCATGAAGCTCCTGAAGAGACAATATAGAATTAGACTGAATGCTACTTGTTGGTGATCCATGGATATTAGCATGAGAATTGATCATCTTCAAGACATGAACTGTGCTCAGATTTTTCTTACCTAAAGTTTAATTTAAAGTTTAACAACAAGGAAATTAGTCCCTTTAGAGCAGACCTGGGCCATTTTACGGCCCGAGGGCCACATCCAGCCCTTTGTGTGGTCCGTCAATCAAATCATCAACATGTGATACAAGTGTGTTGCTTTTATTTTGAAAACCTAGCCGTTGTTTTATTTCCAAGTTTAAACATCTGGACAAGGACAAGTTTAAACATCTGCAAAATATGCGTAGATGCCTTATAACTGCCAAGTCTGCTTATTATAAAAGACTTTAGGGTTGTTTCTCTCAAAAGTCGCTTGTAAAATTCTTTGAGTCACAGGTGTGCAACCAGTAGTTGCTTATTTGGGCTTGCTTTTCTGTATGTGTGAATCCCCCTGATTTGAAGTTGAGGTTATTGTTGGTTCGGCCCTCCAACACAGCTCAGGATTCTCATGTGGCCCCATGTAAAATTTAATTGCCCACCCCTGCTTTATAGCATCCTTAGTTTTCCTAAGACTTGTCGGAAGGTTTCAGCTAAAAAACAAATGTACTGAGTCGGGGCCAGTACCAGATAAGCACATTAAACTATAATCCATAAACGTAAGGTAACAACCGAGACCTCATGGTGCTGTGACATCAATGCGATTGAGTTTGAGACGGTGAAAATACATATGGTATGTTGTATCTGAACAGGTTAGCTTACGAGCTAAAGTTACTTAGCACAGATGAAAGTTAAAACAAAGATGTTTAGCAAACTGTTAAAGCTCACAAACCATCGTCATATGAGAAATCCGACGCTATGACTCTCCACAAGTTGTCCTTCAGGTCGTTATCTTTGTAATGTTTGTGTCTTTTGTCAAAAATCACTCTGTTCTCCGACACGTAAACAATCAGCCGGTCGGCCATGTTGGATATACCGGTGAATCTGACGTTGCAACAACATGAAATCTGATCAGAAGTGGACACACAGTATGCGAAACTTTAGAAAAATCGACCGTGATCCGAAACATATTGCAGGACGGGAAAACGTTGCTGATGTGAACGCTTGTACTGACAGGATATGGGTTCAAAAAAAATATTGACGTCGGAAATAACTGCATGAAAAAAACAGTCCCAGTGTGTAAGAACCTTTAATGTCAAGATAAGTTCTCATTATCATATCTAAAACAAGCAGGTATTTATTTATTGCTGAAAAAAACTCCTCAGATGTGATTAAGAGCTTTTATCTGTGTTGTGATATCAAAACGTTGAGCTGTAGAAAATATTACACCGGGCGATTGATGCTTCTTTAAAATATACTTTTAAAGCATAAAATGTTTAAAAAAGAGTGTGTGTTAAAATGCAAAGATTTTTAATTGAGATGTTTCATCATGAGTTTAAGTATTCACTTTAAGAGCACATACCCACTCAGTCGTAAACATTATAAATGCGCCTCTAACAGCATCAGAGGAATCAGGGAACAAAACGTCCTCGTTGTCATGGAAACTAAAAGACTCAGGAGCTTTATATATACTGGTTAAGAGCTAGGCTGAGATGTCAGGTCTGTTTCTTTAGGAAAGTATGAATGCTTTATAATTAAGACCAGAATAACAGCGCAGGGTTGTCTGTCACTGACACCTCTGTCGACCAAAGGACATGAAGTTTACAGAAAACCAAAATCAGACATTTGAACAAGTGACAGCTCTTTCTCGCACGCTTCAGGACAGAGTCAGTATAAATGGACTAATAAGGTGCCCGGAAAAGGCTTAGGGCTAACTGAGACACTGCCACAGATTTTTTTGTCACAATTAAGAAATAAAACCTTTTTCCCCACACAACAACCAGCAGAAAGCCGATCATAAGTCGTGTTATGAGTGACTGACATGATCACTAATTTGACGTCAGCAAAGAAAGCGCTTAGTGAAAGCAGAAACCTGCACAACTTTTAACAGTGGAGAGAGGACAGCACAGATCAGCTGTTTCACTGTGACAGCCTGACAAACAGAGGGACAAACAGCATCTGCTTTACTTGGAGTCAGTCCATAAAAAAACGCCAAAAAAAGCAGACGGATGTTGACAACCTGAGTCTGAGGCTCACTTCCTTGTGCCAATCCAGAGGTCCTTGAGGGGAGTTTGGGACATTTGTGAAACTGTTTTTAGACAAAAACCCATCAGGAGGTTCTGAAGCTCAGTCAGGGTAGACATTTGGACCTATGTGCACAAACACATTACTAGTGCGTGTCTGCACAGATAGAATAGACGCAAACACATGACTCAATATTAAACAGGTATTAAAGGTTTTTTATTAGTTGCTCTTGGAGATGAAATGAACCATCATGTTTACTCGGCACGACAGAAAAGACACCGTTACATAATTCTCATGGTTGTGTATGTGAGCGCATCTAAACCCGACACATTTGACAAAAGCCTGTGAGTGAAGAGATTATCAAACCTGCCAGGGCTTTTATTTCACAAAGAAATGTGCCACAAAAGCCATCAGACTCTGTATCGCACACACACACATACACACACACACACACACACACACACACACACACACACACACACACATACACACACACACACATTTAGCTTTCTGTTTTTACAAACACACTCACACACACACACACACACGCACACTCACACACAGATGTTTGGTCTGAATTGCGAAAGAAAAGACATGCTGTGCGATTCAAAAGCTCAGTAATGCGAACAAGCATGAAATGCTGGCAGCCCGAGACGGGGGCTGAGTCTGGTGATTTGAGACACAGAGATCAAACTAGTCAATAAAAAAGTGCCCAGGATAAAATGCTGCATGAAAAGTTAAGACTAAAGATGTAAAGTGTGACGTTGCAAGTGCACGAAGAAAATCCTCAATTCGATGAACAGCGTGAACATAAACTAGATTTCTACAGCAAACTACAATTACTTTCTAACACTAAACACCCTGTAGTACATACTGAGACATTTTGAATAATAATCAAAAATTCACACACAGTTCTTAACAATTTGAAAAGCTCAGAGAGATTACAGAAAAAAAACAAGGAGAATTTATCTGTCGCTTTGGCTTAGAAATAAACAGATGAACGCATTCTTTGTGAAAACACCAGAGTATATCTGTTTTTGTGATGTTATTTTTGGAGAGTATATCCTGCAACTTTAAATGGTAAGAATTCCTATTAAAATATCCTTTCCCGTCATGATTCTTCACATGATGATGAAGGCAGTTAAAGCACATGAAGAGAGGATAACCAGGCTGCTTTAACCTGAACAGATGGTGCTCAGCTCTCAAGTCATCAACAGGTCAACATGGTTTAGTCTTTGCCCAAAAGACAGATGCTCTCCTCCAGCACAGAAACAGCTCTCCTTACAAGCCAAATGCATGCAAAATCCTTTAACCCAAGGCTGGTCAACTGCACATACAAATGGCTCATATTTGCACTGTGCAGTCTGCTTACATGCTTTTGCAGCTTGGTCAGGCATGAGACAAAGAAGGCATGCTTACATTTCTGTTTTAATCATTGTGATCGGTTTGTGACAGTTTGTACGGACAAACTGTGCTGCTCATGCACTCAACAATGATAAAATTAAACCACCTTAGCAACAGGAAACTGAACAATGTGTTCTCTACCTCCCTCTCCTGACATCATAACCTCAGCATACAGAAACATGTATTATTTAGTTTACAGTAAATCACACTAGGGTTACATTTGTAGACTACAGCCTATTAACTCAGTGGTGATGCTTCACTTGAATGCATACTCAAGCATTTATCGAGCCTCTATGACTTGTCACAGCATACGTGTACTTCATTAAATCTTAAACTTGAGCCTAATGAACTCATGCTGTGCTCACACTGTGATGTTTCTATTTCAGTCACAGACAGACAGTCACAGACGTGGGAAATAGAGTATATTAATAGGTCACAATATCTCTGCAGGAATGTCCACTAAGTTCATTTGGATTTTGGCCGAACTTCTATATTCTATATATCTACATGTTAAAAAAAACACAGACTGTATGCCTATAGATGTGTAGTACAAAGAACAAAGCAATATTCTAGTATGAAGTGTAAGCTGAAGATTTTCTGTGGGGAGATATTAAGCTGTGAGAAAACATCTAAAGGCTCCACAACAGTTAATAAAAAAAGAATATCGCACAAATGGCAACACCATGGGAAACCCTGGCAGATCAGATGTTTCTTGTAAATTTCCATTTCTATTATTTCACACAAGCATCCCTGTGTTTTTTTTTCTTCCCATTGCTGTTCTGTCACACCCGGAGTAAATATTTAGTGTTGAGGCTTAATCTTATGTAAATGTGCCAATATTTACCAGTAAATACAGTGAATGTGGGCTTTGTGCAGCCCTGCAGCTTTTCCATGTGTGTAAAGATATAGCAAATTGATGAGGGCTGATTGAAAGCTGGTGTTGCTGACTGTGTTAGATCTCATGGACAGCTTTCACAGTTGGATAGTGTGTCGGAAACAGTACAGCGAGGCAAATCTGAAAGTCGTTTATCATGTGAGTGATAATTAAAAAGTTACAAGAGATCCTGAAAACAGTTGAAACAGCCCTTTAATCTGTTATTTTCTTTATTCTTTGAAGGTTATTATCAAAAGCCTAGAGAAGACAAATTTCTTACTGTAGATAATTTCATAAAAAGTTTGAGTCAAAGTATCTACGTCGACTCTGTTACTGTCTCCACACTCCAAGCGCGAGTGAAATCATTCGCGCGAATGAATTACATGTTAAGTCGATGCAAAGACGCGATTAGATGCTCCTTTTACTCTTGCGGCGCGAATGATGCGAATTGGGCGTGAGCTAAAAATGTCTCAACTTGAGCAGATGTTTGCATCAGGATAACTAATCAGCAGGAAGGTTGCCGGGTGACGTATGAAAACGGACGGTTGTTTACTGGTACCTAAATTGGAGGACAAACTGATTGGGCTCTATTTTCGTGTACGCCGGTGAGGCGGCGGAGGGTGGCGGCCCCCGCGCAGTTGTACTTTCATCTGGCGGAGCCCAGCGTTCAGCCAGTTTGATATTTTCATGGACTGAGGCACACGGAGGCGAACCGAGATCCACCAAGCTGGGCGTGGTGGCGTGGCAGGGGGAGGTGTCGACAAGAGGTGTCTTCTGTCGCCATCATGTGGCATTACTGTCTTCAGACATCTCTTGATCTCTTTGACTACTTCATGAAAATAGTAATACGCCTCGCCGGTGGTGGATTTAAAGGCAAGGAGAGGAGCTGATGTGATTGGTGAAAACAGGTCTCGGCTGTGTTAAACCCACTCCACGCCCTCTCTCCTCCCTCGCTACGACCTACGCCGCTGGGAGGAGCTGAGTTAGGGAGGGGGGACACTTATGCTGAGCTGCGCCGCTCACCAAAGTACCAAATTGTGCTTGGGAACGCCTTGTCGGCGCGGCGGACCTGATTTACGCCGCGCCTGCGGCACGTCTCCGGCGAGGCACGAAAATAGAGCCCATTGTGTCAGTGTGTGAGTGCCCCAAAGTATATGATACCTTTTCTTTTAATTACTGAAACCGGAATAAAAAGGAGTTTGCCTGGAGGCAAGTGAGTGAGGAGGTCGGATTACCTGGTAAACTGTAAAAAAATTGGCAGGGATGACCATTAAAATTACCAGTGACGTACAAATGAAGCGAGTAAAAACTATTATTCACACATCTAGATTCGTGTGAATTAAGCAAGTAGATGATTATTCTCGTGCTTGGTAAGAGCGCCCCATTATGGTTTCAATCCATTTGTCACAATATGGGATTACTGAGTCTCCATCCACTGCATCATAGCACCTGCCCGCAGCGCCAAAACAACCAAATGGTTTACTGATCGTTATATAACTGTGCTAGACTGGCCATCCAACCAGTATAAAGAGAATCTGTGGAAAACTGTCAAGAGGAGGGACCCAAAGATACAGATAAGCTGATGGTCACTCTTTCAGTAGCTTGCAGTGATGAGCCCAAACCAAGAATTAAGTGCAGACATGAGCACACTATTTTCTTCATTTCAAACCCTTGATTTGCCGTCAACAGCTCTTGAGTGGAATTGAGAGAAAAAAAAGGCTTGTTCTGCTCTCTTACTCGTTAAAAAATGGATGATGAGAATACAAAAACCCTTGCCTGTTGACATGGTGCAGGGCTGTGTTGCAAAAAAACATAAAAAAAACTCCCAGAAACAGCGAAACCTCTCCCTGCATGACGCATAATTTCTCTGCCAGCCTGATTGGCTCAATTCTGAACCGAAATAGTAAGAGAACCACGGCGAGTCTGTGACGTGGAAGTCCAAATCAATGGCTATGCAGCACCCCGTGGCAATCACAGCACATGAATATTTCTACCTCAGCTGTTCAATCATTACTGCTTCTTCTCTGATTGCCATGGTAACTTGGTGCTCTAAGTTTGTGTGTGTGTGTGTGTGTGTGTGTGTGTGTGTACTCCGAGAGTCAGAAAAAGGTTGGAAATATCGGAGGTGGCTGGCCTTCATCATTTCAGAGACGCAGATGTTCGATGACAGGGGGTACCTGAAGAATCCAGCTGGGCTCGTAGACGTCAGATCGGCGCAGCCTGGGTGTAGAGTTCAGAGAGGAAATGACAAGGATATGCAGGGCTTGAAAAAAGAGTCGAGGAAGAAGTCAAGGAAAGCTGGAAAGCAGTAGAAATACAGAATGGAAGCAAAACAACAATCATGATATCTGGACAGGTTTATTTACGTGCTTCAGTTCTGTATATTGTACAGTTATCAGGACGAGACTTGTTTATCATACATAGATTCAATTACTATGGCACAGACTAAGTGGTAGATGTAAGGGACAGAAAAAAAACCAACAATATTTATAAACCTATCCACAGTTTTCTCTCTCTAATAGTGGAATTAGGTGGAAAATCTGTATTTGGGTCAGTGAGAAAGACATCACCGAACCACAGGTTATAATTTAATATTTGTCTGTTAATGTTTATGGTTAAATCATAGACTTTATATAGAACGGACACCGTCTCACTCCTTGCTGGGTGAAGCCACTCCGAGAACAGTGCCCTCTGTTGACACAGGCTGCAGTATAGGTCATAAATCCCGCCTCCTCCAACCATCCTTATGGAGCTGTGGACAAACTTTAGAAATTTGTGACACCGAATATAATTTTTTCTCCCCCCTGCTTGCGATGTTGACATGTCGTTACTGTCAGACTGGTTTGTGCTCAAGTCCTCTTTTTTTTCTGTACAACTCCATTTTTAA